AAAGAACTCCATAAGTACCCTTAAATTATTCGCACAGGACAGAACATGTTTTTTATTCAAATTGAAGAAGTTGAAAGTCTACTTCACTAGAGTCCGTTTTGAGATAAACTCGAACATGGAATGGAATGAGCCAAATGGTCCTGTATCAAGGGGAGTAGGCTCGTCTACATCAAGCTCGACTGCGGCTCGGCTGGGTCCGCGCCATGAGGAAGGAACAGGGAGACAGTTTGGCTCACCTGCAGCTTATTTGATTCAGTCGGCCGCACGGTCCATGCTGGACGAGGCGACCCCTGACACGGCTGTTTCTGGAGTTTCGGATGATGAATGTGATAGTGATAGCATTGTAGATGGGAAATATGGCAGTCTCAGAAGCGTGGATTCGTCGACATTGAGTTCACTTCAGCACCGAACAGACCAACCTGCAATCCCCAATGAACAAGATCGAAAGCGGTTTATTGTAAGCATTAAAAGTGTTTGCGGAGCATCGGATTTCGTCAATCTAATGTGTTTCTCCTTCAATTTTTCTATTTCAGGGATGTCTGGCAGCAATTCTCGCCTCATCTTACGATTACGACGAGCCGGACGATGCTGCGTCGGTAATAGACTTGGGAAGCGACAACTTTGCTTACCTTGAATACAGTGGTGAGAGTTTGTATGACATTGAGGATGACGACGGTGAAAAGTCTGAGCTAGGAAAGCCACGACAATCGACTGGACTCAACACCAAATCTCATAGTTTTGACAGTATTCAAACCCAGGGATCAACTGATTCATTGGGATTGACAAGGCATTCAACAAGCGAAATCAATAGCAGACATCACAATCGAGGGAGGTCGGCTTCGGAGAGAGCAAAACTTGCGACACAGAGGCATCGAAAAAGACGTTATGGGGTGCTTTGTGATCTCTTGGTGGCTTCATCGGATTTATTGTTGCTTGACAAAAGTGTTGCAAGAGGGTTTCTACCGATGCTAGGACGAGTACTTGTTCCACGAAACAAAGCTGGGAGTTCTGATACGTCTTCAAGACCGCCGCTTCATGGCAAAAAAGTTGCGCCGCAAACGTCCGCAGGTTCGAGCCGCGAAGAACCGTCGTCAAGGACTCAGAATTCATCACAACAATCCTCTCAGTTCGGGTCTGACTGCCAGTCTTCACTGAAGGAGTTCATTCCAGAAGAAGTCGACCGAGGAGATATCCTGCGACCATTTTTGGAGTCTTTGACCCCCGGTTCAGGATTCCGATGTTTGTCGCTGCTCATTTTGCAACATTTGCTGTCCAGCGAAGTTGGGTATGACTCTAGAATACGGCATGTGCTCAAGAAGGTTGGGGTTCTTGTTTTGAACCATGACATGGAACGTGATCCTGTTGAACGTGGGTTATTACCAGGCAAGGGGGAGCCGGATTCCGATGCGTATGCAGAACTATCATCTCACGCTGCAAGGAAATTTGAATCTCTTGAGCACAGCATCGCCCGACGATTAATTCGATTGTCGGAGTCAAACAAGCAAAGAAAGTCAAAGGGATCTAATGTCATGGTCGACAAAGGAAAAAATAATGACAGCGGTATTACACGTGAAATGATTGTTCGCGGTGTCAAGATTGGATCTGCTGGCATCGTTGCAGGAACTCTTTTCGCGTTAACTGGAGGACTTGCAGCTCCCGGTAAGGCATACTTTGTGCACGTGGTCTTTGAAAGTGTAGGTTAGTAGGATTATGACTCACAGTATCGTCGCAACATAGGTATTGCTGCTGGAGTAGCAGCAGTTGCAGGATCAACTGCAGTTGCTTCTGCCGCCGTCGGTTTACTATCGAGCACTGCAGTGGTAACAACAATATTTGGAGTAGGCGGAGGAAGTCTTGCTGCATTCAAGATGCAAAGAAGAACACAAGGCCTTACAGAGTTTGAAATAAGAAAAGAGACCCACCCCTCGGAAGATAGTAACAACACTGACATTGAAGCTGAATTGTTCAGCACGATTTGTATATCAGGTTGGCTCAGGGACAAGTATGACTTTCAACGACCTTGGGGTATACACCCAACGAATCCAAGTCTTTTCAATCGACTAGAGCTACTTCAACGATTCTACTCCATCCATAGCCCTGAACATGTACCGAAATGTGAAAAAATTCTCGCTAGTTGGGAAGGAGAGGAGAGAGAGCTATGGGCCATTCTCCATGAAAAATATGGGTGCACTCCTGACCACCTATTTCCATTGGATGACGGGACAAGAATTCGTGGTGCCTTGAGCTTAGATCAGGAAGAAATCTTGGACCAGATATTCGTTGAGCTTGGTTACAACAGTGCCGCTCCAAAACAAGAGCGGCCGGGCGCTAAAGAGCCAACTCCATTCGAGAGGATGAAAGAGGGTTGGAGCAACCGACATCAAGAAAGAGGAAAGCCAAAATCGCGTGTTCGGAATGCAGATCAAGCCCAGTCATCATATCATCGATACAACTCAACGCAGGGACCTGCAGGAGACAAACCGGATGGGTCCAACGACGTTGACCAAGTAGATAATCAGCCACCAAAGCATCTTGCAACTGTTTGGGATTATTCTTCCATGTACGGAGGCGAGCTTTATACTGTCCGATGGGAAAGTCAGTTGCTGCAAACATTATGTGATTGTGTGGTGGATATGGCTGTGGATGTCGTTACTGGAGCTACCAGACAAATCTTGAAACAAACAGTTCTTCATACACTACTTGCAGCTGTCATCTGGCCGTCCTATTTGCTTAGTGCTGCTAACGTGATTGACGGGGACTGGACCTTGGCTGTTGAACGCGCAGATCAAGCTGGTAGAGAACTCGCTCGAAGCTTACTATTCAGCAGAGCTGGTCGCCGACCTGTTGTCTTAATTGGTTTCTCCTTTGGTGCCAGAGTTATATATTCGTGTCTCAAAGAGCTTTTCCGGCTCCAGGAAGATTGGGAGGATTACCAAGAGCTGAAACAAGGCAAGGCGGATTCCAATAATCGTGAAGACGCTCTACGACTTGCAAAGCTTCATCGAAAGTTTGATGGTATGCGGGAGCCAGCTAGCGTCGTCGAAGATGCGATCATGATGGGTTTGCCCAATCACTTAAGTTTATCATCATGGAGAGGGTGTAGGCAGGTGGTTGCCGGCCGACTTGTCAACTGCTACTCAACGAAGGATTTGATATTGTCGTTAATGTTTCAAGCAAAACGGTCTTCTTTGGGGACTTTTAATCCAGCTGAAGGGGTAGCTTCGATTTTGAAGCCTGTATGTGGCACTTGTCCAGTGCCATTATCGGGAGTCGAGAACATTGATATAAGTGATCTCGTGTCTGGTCACGAGGATTATTGCTTGGTAACAGGTAGAATACTCGAGCGCGTAAGGCACGGACAACCTTTGAAGCATGTCCCTTCAACTGACCCTTCAACTGAATTCAACGGTGATGCTCAGCAACTCAAGGCTAAAAAGATAAGCTTTTGAACTGTACAACACTTTTATACTTCCTTCATTTTTTGCACTGAAGCTTCCACAAATGGTTTTATGGGACGACTGCTGCTGAAAAGCAGACTCATTTTTTGGATGAGTTGAAATTTGTTCAGCGATATACGGTCTAGTTTAGTACCTATTTTTTAATCTATTCATCGCATCGAGGCTGTCATTTCACCAACATCAATTAGACTAGTACTGTAGGCAACCTTATCATTATTCGAAAAGGTAACAGTCGTTGGAAAAATAGTGGCAATACAAACCGATGGATGAAGAACCTAGAAACATTCCTTAGAACTACCGGTACCTTGTCTTTGGAGCCCCTATCGCCCGAACGATGTCCGTTGTTTGCAGTCTTTTATTCAGAGTTTGATATCAAGGTTGGGCCGCGGATTTGTTTTCAGACGCCGAAGAAGTTCATGGAAAATGAAATATCTATATCAACAAAAAAGATTGAAGAAATCCTTGGCGCCACCTTTGATACGTTGCGCGATGACGATGACAACACTGCAAATGGCATCGACGACATTGAGAATTCGGAGGGGACTGAAAGTGCTTTCTCCATTTTTGATTCCACTTCAGAATACATTATAACAGGAAGTGAGCTCACAGGGAAAATTATTACGCTGTCAACCCACGAACTCCACATCATGACACGACCAACACTTATTGCCGACGAACGATACGAGAGAAATTCATTGCTGTTCAGCGTTGGTATCGTCCTACGCCGAGCAGCTGATCCAAGGCCGTTCCGACCAGTTATTTCGAAACTTGCAATGGCACTTCAGAGCATGGAAGTGGAATCACAGTTTCTATCGCATTCCTCGTCTCGTCCTCAGCTTCAGCCGCTACTAGAACGTATCCTTCTCTCTATGAACGGTTCCATGATGGAGTGCAATGCGCTTCTAGGAAGCTGCAATGCTTTACACCTCAAGCTATTTCACCCTCCGAAAGCAGAAGCTTTGCCGATTCACGATCATGAGGTCCCAATTCTGCTACAGAAGAAATTGGATCTTGAAATGGTGAGCAAACTAATTTTGAATTGTGCAACATATGCAAGGACTAATCTTTGGTTTGAATTTAGCACGAGTGGGACTTGAGTATTTCGTGGACTTTACTGTACATTGATGGGGTCAGAACTACCCACCAAATTGCCACAAAGGCTGAAGTCGATCTCGAGATGGTTCGAGCGTGCTTGAGAGTGCTTAAGCACCATGGATTCATTGCAATGGTTGACATATTTGTATACTCCAACAGATACGAATTCACCCCCAAGGCAACGGCCATGCTAGCAGGCAGAGAAGAATCGTTGCAACAGGAAGCGGCTCACTACTCCAGAAAGGGAAACTTATCGGGCACGGCCAATGGTAGACCAGGGCATACTAGTGATTCTGAAGGTGAATCATCGAGACATTCCTTGCGCTCTTCTCGAACGCTGAATGTTCTCAACACCAGGCCGTCATCCTTCAAACCTCCGTCAAAAATGCTCGCAGATTATTACGAAACGCAGCCAAATCGAACAACACGCCACAAAGAACTAGAAGTGGCACTCGCGGAGCTCTACTGCACCTGCAATCGAAACGTATCCTTCGGAGACTTATGGGTCGCTTTAACAATGAACAAGACCACAGCCAAGTCAACTCATTCACCAGTTAGAGAAAAGAAAGACCCAATCGACGAGGAAATGCTCGACCGTAACTCTGTTGATTCTTTCGCCATCTCTCCTAGTGAAGCAGCCCATTGGCAAAGTATCCCAAAGCCAACTTCTGGTGGCAGCTTGGACTGGAATTATTTCTTGACTTGCATCGATCATCGCAGATTCTTTTCGTTTGGAGTAGTTCATGGTCTCGTTACACGAGTGCACGAATACCCTTACTTCCATGGTTCCTTTCCTGAACGACGACAAAAGCAGCTTGAAATGAATGGAGATTCGAAACGAAGCGTCCAACAAGCCTCGCTTGAGGAGAAATCATACAACCTTGCCCGCCAAATAGCCACTTTGATGGACGGGACACGGATGGATGACGAATTTGTTTGCAGCTTCGAGCAGCCATACAGATGGCTTGTCAAATTGGTCGAAGACCAGAGTGGAGAGAAAGTCGCCTCAATTCTTATGGCTTCATGAGGAATGGGGGCTTTCCAATCAAAACCTGGCGTTCTATTGCCATGGTCACATGACATCTCCGTCTACGAGCTTGGGAGCAGACATTTTGCATAGGTCCATGGTGTTCTTTAGGGAACACATTGACATGGTGTAGTTCGGACATTGAAACGCACGCTAGGGAAGGCATTTTTCCTGCAATTTCTGAACATGTTCAATCGCAGCAACAACAACTTGTGCTGTAGCTAAGCTGTCTGGCAGTCTCGTAGCAAGGTCTTCATATACAAAGGGTGAAGCGCAGTCTTATCGGCTCCTGATTGCGTTCCAAGGTTTTTGTTCAATACGTCTCGGTTCTTTCAACACAATGGATGAGACTTTTCAGTCAACAGTGTACAACGCAATATTCTTTGCTGTTTCTGTAAAATGAAAAGCAAGTTTGGCCATCCGGAGCTTTTTTGCTTTTTCAGATAGGTAGACGAGGAGCTCAGAATAGCATCGAACTTGGCTTCCGTCGGAAAGCTGACGATTTGGAAACTCAGACGGAAACACACAACATGGAACTAAACAATATAGTACACCCAATTCTTCTGCCAGTTCGATGATATAATCAGTAGCCTGGTCAGGATGAAAGCCTACCACCAGCTTCGCCTTCAAAATCAATTCTAACGCCACTTTCGCATCAACTATATCTCCTTCGACAACATCCTTTCTTTCAGAGTATCCTAAGGTCTGTGTTTCTTTGCCCTTCTCGGTCGCTTGCAAGAAATATGTAGTCCAACTTTCGATGCTGTTCGTCCTTCTAAAATCAGAAACAGCGAGCACGAGATCTGCATCAGCCAGTAGTCTAAGGTGACTTGGCGATTCAAACTTAGTTCTCCCGTCCATTTTGTGAATTAACGATGCCAGCGGCTGATAACTCGGCAAATGAGGAATCGACCGCTCTCGTAATTTATCCGGATTGGATCGCAAATAGTCCACACTCTTTCCAATCCGCTGAGTTTTTGTACAAGTTGGGTCCAAAACAACCGATTTAATGCCATCTACATTGGTTAAGAGCTTGTATAAAATGTGTCAACCACTTCTCGCTGCCTGCAATCAACCATAAATAGAAGCACGCTTTTGAACATACCCAGCTCAAAGTCCCTCCACCCCCAGCAACATCGAGTATGACATCACCAGGCTGAAGATGACTGTATGTCTCTAATAAAAACTCTCGAAAGACGTAGACTCTCGTTTTTCGTGAGGCAGCTCGAGTGCTAGATTGGTCCATCGCAAGGCAACGATGGATACGCACTGTACGAGCTAAAATTTCAATTGTGTCATTTGGCTTGGGCTTGGTGAATTGTATTTTTGTGCCGACTAATTCGATCATTCCAGATACGAACTCTGGATATCATGGCAATTTCTACTACTGTAGATAAAATATCAATACTCTCAGAAACTTCCTCCCTATCTTCTCGTTATAACGCTGCAAATATACTGGATATAATACTGTTCGAGAAGAGCATCCCCTCAGGATCCTTCAGCCGCAGTATCTTCGTCCGTGAATCGTATTCAGCCAGGCCGATTTCCAAACCCAATGTTGCCCCCTCCAGGATGGTACTTGCCCTTTCATTTCCAAAGCGATCTTCCACTCCCTTTAGATCCAGACCGTCAATAGTTCGTAGCCTTTTCATCACCAAGTCGGTCAGTAATTCGTCATCCAACAAGAGTTCATTCTCTTCGACTTCGTCGGTGGAATGTTTGCTCTTGTCATTGTCATTCAACCATTCGTAGTAATCCACCAATGTTTTTGGTCTAGCGACAAGTCTCCCGTCGACAAAGCTAGTAGCACCAACACCGATCGCATACCACGAACTGGAGGGTTCCCAATATATTTGATTGTGTTTGCTCCGTTTTCCTCCTTTCTCACTATCGTCGGTAACTCCTCTATAGGCATACGAGCTCACTTCATAGTGCTCGTATTGTTTGGATCTCAGATATCCAGCAGTGTATTTGTACATGAAAGCACATTCGTCCTCTGTCGGCAAGGGGAGTGTTCTGTTGAAACTACTAGCACTAGTACGAGTACCGGTTACTGCATCTTGTTCTTGATACCACGACGAAAATACAGTGCCTTGTTCAATCTGGAGATCATATACACTCATGTGCGAAGGTTGTGGAGACAGCTGGGTTGTGGTAATTTGCAAGGTTTCTGCCCATTTGGCCAAGGTCAAACCCGGCACTCCAGTGATCAAATCAATGGAATAGTTGGCATCTTCTCCAAAGACTTTTTCAATCATGTCGACTGCGGCAAAGACATCAGCCGACCGATGGAATCGACCCATGTGTTCCAAAATTGCATCGTCAAAGGATTGCACTCCAAGAGAAATACGATTGAATCCAATTTCTTTGAGCTTTTGTAACTTTTCGATCGTAAAGGTCCCTGGATCCATTTCAATCGAGACTTCGGCAGTGCTACCGTTGTTGTCGTCATTTGTCTTTGTCCTTGAATTGGCATTTACATTTGATGTTTGGTCATTTACCAAATAAAACGGACCATTTTCACCAATGGCATGTTCAAGTATTTTAGAAATGGTTTCGACTGGGGCCAATGATGGTGTTCCGCCGCCAAAGTAGATGGACTGTAGTGGAATCTTGCCATTTTTGGAGAAAGAGGAGATAGACCCTGCAATCCGATACAGTTCAGTCAAGAGTGCCTCTTCATACTGGGCATTCATGGCCTCGAATCCTTGAGTGGCTCGTTCGTTGGAATCATCTGAATGCTGTGAACTTTCTTGATTGTTATTAGTCGGTTTGCTTTCTTCTATTGATGGTTCGGTGGATACGCGGTTTCCGATTGGAACGATAGAAAAATTGCAATATCTACATCGCCGGCGACAGTATGGAATGTGTACATAGAGACCGATGGGATGTGATCGTTCCTTTTCAACCAAACTGTTTTCATGTAGATGCAATGCTGACGTGTACTGTCGTGACGACCATTGATGGCTTTGGTACAACAATCTACTATTAATAGGACTGCTTCTTTGTCGTATTTTGTTCGATGAAGGAACAAACTGGTTGGTGCAGTCTGATATTCTGTAACTAAATGCCTTTGCAACACCAGAACAATATGCCAATAGAAATAATACTGGAACTAGCAGTCTTTTTATGAGTGAAGAAGAAGAATCACTCGTCTTCATTTCCATCGTCTCGGGTTTTATGATGTGATGGCTGAATTTGAACCTTGGTCCCTCTTTTCTATTATGCATCCCCCATTTGTTGGCATCATATTTTGACCCTACTTTGACAGCGCCGGCCGTACCAGGTAGTTTACGTTCAACAACGTAGGATAGTACGACAATGGCGCCCGAACTGCCAATTCAATATTCAATATTGAGGATTGAGGGTTGAGAAATTGTTTTGTCCCGTTCAAGATTGCCAAAGTAGAACGAAGACTTTACTATCTTCAATCTATCATCTGTTGCAATAACTCATAAGATATTTCCAAAATTTGGTCTCCATTTCGGCAAGACGAATATTCATCATGGACACTGACCACGAAAGCAGCCGAAGATCGTCCGCCAAACGACCTCGAACGGAAGCAGCTGCAGCTTTCGGAACGATACCAGTCCCAGCAGAAGCAGAAGCAGAAGCAGAAGTAGAAGCACCAACTTCCACAGTCTCTGGATCATTGCCCATGTCAACCCAACAGTCCATCGAGTCTTTGTTATCCATTCCTGTCGCTGTGGTTTTTCGCACATGTTCCTCCCAAAAAGGTCGACCATTATTGACGCGTGCTGAAGCCGAGTGTTTCCTGCGAATATCCTTCTTGGCTCAAGAGATTGACACCCTTGTTGGATCGTCAGAGTCTCTATTTTTGCAACAGCAGTACTATAGCCAATACACACGGGATCTCTTATCATCATCTTTGAGTTCTTCTTCGCAGCCATCATCATCCTCTCAAAACAGTCATGCTCCAAGTGAAAATCAAAATACTACTCGAACGCAAACGGTCTACCCGCTCAACCCAATGTTGCGACCTCTTCTTCCCATTCTGAACTTCCTGCAAGAAAAATCAGCGCCAACCCTTCAACGGATTCATCAAACACTCAGTCATTTGTCAGCCGAATTGATTGGTTGTTCCTCCATTTTGCGACAGTCTGCGGAACAAAACTGGACAATGGCAGATGCTTTGGACGCTATGCAACAGGATTCCACCGAGGAAGGACCTGCCTTGTCGGACGAAAAAAGAAAAGTAGCCGATTTGGAAGAAGAACTCTGTCAACGCATTGAGCGAGTGGTGGGCATGTCGCAGGTGGAAGGTGAATCCTCTTCAGCGAAATTGTCACAATCTTCCCAGGACAATCGGTACCGTCGCAAATTGTTTGGGGAGAACGACGACCAACAATTCGACACCGAAGGGGGTCCACAAGGAAATGGTGGTGAAAAGGACCATTCGGAACAAGATCATTCCGATAACACAAGCAATGATGGAAAGGATGGGGTGGATCAACAATATGCTTTGGATTTGAAACCAATTTTAGAGTATTGTTCGGAATTGTTTGATGATGTTCTGCAGACGGGTGGGTCGCAGGAAGAATCAATAGACGATGAAAATGGCGATGGCGCAAATAGCAATGAAAATGGTACTGATGAGAGAATGCACGTGGACGAATCATCATCACAAGGGGAGAGGGGAGAAACTTCTCGGAATGGCAATGTAGGGGAGCAGTCGAGCGAAAACGACGGCAATGCAAGTCAGGATGATGGTGTAGCCGAAAGTGGTGGAAATGGTGAAATGGAAGTGGATCCAGTAGAGACTAGAGCCGAATCATCTCAAACGCGCAACAATATCTCGACGGATATGCGCCACGAGGTGGAGAATGATGACAATCACATCGCTGCCACAGAAGATAGCAACACAGGCCATGAGAACCATGAACAAGGAACCATGGAAATTGAGAATGCATTGCCGGAAAGCATCTCGAGCAACGCAATGGTGGACGCTAAAGAAGCTGCAACTACAGTGGACGAAGAAGTGGAAGAATACCCGCCAAGTCAAGAGACTGATCTGCAATCTGGTCGGTCCCGCGAGAGGAGTCAAGGAAACTCCTTCTCCTTGCAGAACAACATTCCATCGCCCAATGAAAATGAAAAGCATCCAGCCGTTTTGCTCCCTCCCATTACAACACAGCCAGAAGGAAGCTCGTTTCCACTCACTGCCGAAGATGACATTGAAGAAGACGATGATGATGAAGATGTTGATGACGATGATGATGACGATCGGAGCCAAAGGCCAATGTGCTCGCAACGAACATCCTCTGCTGCCGAGGCGCTGGCAATTCTGGGAAACGTTTCGAGGTTTCCGACCAAAGATGTTAGTCTCTTTTAGCAAATGTTATGAGCATTGACAAAAATCACAAAGCAATCAAATTCTTTCGCCGACGCAACATTGAATCGGAGTACCGTAAATGTAAATGTAAATGAAACGTGTTCAATCTGCACCGTATTCAAAACGTCAGAGCCTACTCTACTGCACGACGATTCCATGCTGTTCTAAATGATGAAAAGTCAAAGTGCAAGGACTAGGGTTTTCTACACTGTTAGCATTTGCAAGTCGACTTGCTTGTAGGATTCGTTGTAGATGTTACATGCTTGGAAGCAGTTGGATATGCCATTTTCCGATTCTGACTTTCTTTTCGCGAAGGGAGATGTTTAGAAGCTGATAAGAGGCTTGCTGAAAAGAAGAGTTTGCACAATGGCCCCAGTGAAAGCGATCATGGCAAGACGGCAGTGCACAACTTCGGATTCCTTGCGGAATGCCTTTTGGGAGTCAGTCAAAGAGGCCCAGCCCTTGCCTTCCCATCCGATTTCACCTGGGGTGGAATCATCATAGTGCTTGTTGTAGTTGATTCCCTCGACAACACCGATAGCCATCAAGACTTGAATGTTTCCAGCGAATCCAACAGAGCTGATGGCTCCGAAAACATCAGTGTTGGTGAATTGATCACCTGGAATGTGAAGTCCAGATTGTTGAACAACCATACCGACAAGAGCAAGCATGCAGATACGTCCGTGCTTCAATTCTGCCCAACGAGCATAGCTCAAATCTGCTTGGATATCAGAACTAAATGAACAAAACACAATTGAAGATTGCAGGAATAAGCGACACGCATCTTTCTCGAAACCCCATGCATATTGCAATCCATCAAACAACTCACAGTCTCATGGGGTCAAACCCCATATCTCCTGGCAGAGATCCATCAAGCTTTTCAGGGCGGACCAAGAAAGGGACGGCCTTGGACATTTCCTCAGCATTCAAGGCAACAGATGCTGCGCGTTGAGACTATTTTTTTTGAGTCCAAGAGAGAAACAAGGAAAATGTGCACGTTAGACAACTGAATTCAGTTAGACCCAGAACACATCTTTCGAATCAGGAAATTGGACCCAAACAAACTACATTCTTCCAATCAAATTTGTCTGAATCCGTACCTGGGAAGCAGGGGCGAAAGCGGAAGCGCTGGCAGCCAGAAGGGAAAGAAGAACGGATTTCATCATGGTCAAATTGTTGGCGTTCCTGAAGAAGCGGATTTTCGACTCCTCAAGGTCTCAAGGCTTTGTATTCTCCCCTACGGTGCTGCGCGTAGAGATTTACGTACAGGCAAGGATCTGTTACGTAAGCTTGAGGGATGCGATCCTCGCGATCCTTCAGTTCAACTAAAAGGGAATCTGGAATCGGGAATATGTGATATTTCAGATCCAAAGATCCAAACCGCCCGTCACCAGTGTTTGCGATTTCAGATTTGATCGAAAAAATGTGAGAACGGTTTTTACGTAGAAAGAGTACATACGAAGACAAGATTTGAATTCGGTGATGGCTGATGCTTGGTCAACATCGGCTTCGGTTGTCAATCACATTTTTAAAACGACACAATCAAGATATTATTTTAAAATTATATCTCGCTTGCCATCATAACATTTGAAGACAAATGACCTTGAGTATAGTTCCAGTATTGGCAGCTTCTTCTGCTCCTTCAGCGTTGAACCAAGCCTTGCTTGTAGGGCGTGGAGGGGCGGCAATCCTGGCAGCTTCAGGGGCATCTTCTCTTATAGATCCAGCCATCACAGCACTCAGAGGTGGAGAATCGAAGAAAGTCTCAAAGTCAGAAAAAAAGCTACAAATAACGAAAGAGGGAAAGTCAGTACTTTGCATGGCCATCGCCATGAGTTTGCACTATCTCGGTTACAGTTTTGCTCGGCCCATCACTGTGGCTCTTTTCACATCGGCGTCTACAGGCTACCCTGGTGTTCCTGGCGCATATCCATTCACGATGGCTTTCGTGAGTCCACTGTCGCTCATTCTACTGATGGGATACGGGAAAGTTCTCGAAAGGGATGGTCCTCGCAGAGCACTGAAGAAAACGACTTTCTTGTGTTCGATAGCTATTCTCATGGTATCTGCTCTCGTGGAAGCCACGCAACGAAGTGGAGCTGCTTTCTGGGGAATTCCAGCCATGAAATTCATCACTGGACCACTGTATTTGTTTCGCGAGAGCTACGTCCAACTCATTACGAGCCAGTACTGGTCATTCATGGCATCTGTCTTAACTCCGAATCAAAGCGCCAAGTGGTTCGCTCCAATCGCCGGATTGACAAGTATCTCCTCAGCGGCTGGAGGTATGGCAGTATCAGGTCTGACCAAAAAGCTGAAGCTATCTGGCACCTTAGCATGCACAGGTCTTGCGTTGCTTTCTAGTATCGTTGCGACAGAGAAAGCCTATTCAATTGCAGAAGTAAATGGCTTCAGTCCAGAGCATGGCCCGCAAAAAAGCAAAAAGTCGAAAGGAAAGGGCAGAATGAAGGCTGCTGAAAAGAAAGAAGAAAAGGATGGTATGGTTGACAATGCAAGGAAACTCTTTAAAAGGGTTCCTGTGCTAAGGGCTCTATTTTTCGAAATCCTTGCGTCGCAAGGGCTCGCTACTCTACTCAATGTCTGCTTTGTTCAAAGCCTGGGCAAGTCAATTCCGGACGACACAGAAAGAGCTGGCTGGGTTGGAAACTTCTATGCTCTGATCAATCTCATCAGTATGTCACTACAATTCGGCGTGCTTCCTCTGCTGATGCAAGTGATCGAGCCAAAGGATCTCTGGAGATCTATCCCGGTTATCTCGCTTGCATGCATTACATTCCAATCGCTGCAGCATGATCCATCACTTTACGTTGTCAGTTTGTCGCTATTGGTAATGAAGGTGCTCGAATATTCGGCTCGGAGAATGCTCGATGAGATGGTCTACGTTCCTTTGGATTTCGAGAGCCGATTTGTCGGAAAGGAAGTCATTGGTGTATTTGGGTACAGATTCGGAAAGTCATTGATGTCCCTTTCATTGTCAGGACTCACTTCTGCGTTTGGAAATTTCAGCCTTCGTCAATTATCCATGTTCTGTCAACTTGCGGGACTCGGATGGGCAAAAACTGCATGGGATCTCAGTGCTCTTGTCCCCACTCAGAAGGAGGCCCAAGACTCATACAATAGCTCGCACAAGAAGTAAACTTCACTCAATAGATTCGAGAGTTAATGTCCCGTACAGCGAATGCATAATTCGTAGAAATGAAATGGCTATCCTCGAATGCTTTTCAGTGCACCTATTCTTCAAAGGTTCAAAAGCACAAATCAGCCCCTTCGATGATGATTCATTTGTGAAAAGAGGACGATGATTCATTAGTTCGATTCAATTGGCTACTCCTTTGTCTAAGTTGTCCACTCTGGCATTTGATTATTGACGTCAGCGATGAGCTTTCCGACTCGTTGGAATAAAAAAACCAACGAATTGCTTCCACGTGGCGCTCGTTCATTCACTCAATCAGTAAACTTCGAGAGATGAGAGTCAGCACCCAATTGTCAATACATTCCATTCTGAAAGTTGTCAAGATCCAAAAGTCACATCAATCCATCAGTAAAGGTCATCATGAGCGATAAAGGAAAGGAAGCAGGAGCATCTACTGGAAAGTTGGTACGTTTACATTCTTGAATGAATTATGTTTGAAATTGATGGATCCTTTTGTCTTATGAGATTCGTCACTTGCCCGCTTGTAGGCAATCTTGGTAGCTTGCTGGTATGCCGGAAACACTTTGTACAATGTTTACAACAAGAAGGCTACCAATATGATCCATGCACATTGGTTCGTTGCCACCGCTCAGCTCGTTGTCGGAATTGTCTGGAGTTTGGTTATGTGGGCTACCGGTCTCCGAAAGACTCCAAACCTCACAGCCGCTGATATTGCATCCTGTATCCCAATTGGACTTTGCGCTTGTTTGGCACACGCTGGTTCCGTTCTTGCCTCTGCTGTCGGCGCTGTCTCTTTTGCCCAGATTGTCAAAGCTTGTGAGCCTGCCTTCGCCGCTGTCGTCGGTTTGTTGGTCCCTCCTATGGATATCAAGCCTGTCTTGGCGTACTTGATGCTTCTTCCAATTGTCGGTGGAGTCGGGCTTGCCTGTATCAAGGAAGGAAAGGGTGTTGATATTAACATGACTGCATTCCTTTACGCTTCCATGGCCAACATGGCTGCTGCATTGAAGGGAAAGCTTGGAAGCTCCATCACCAAAGCCTTGAAGGGAGACAAGTCAAAGAACATGGACGCTGCCAATGTCTATGCCGTCATGAACATCATTTCTTTCTGCTGCTCGGTTCCTTTTGTTGTTGTCAATGAGCTTCCTACTTTGCAAGCCGAATGGGACAAAGCTGCTGAAGCTCATGGATCGTCGGCTCTTGTCACCAACATTATTGTTTCTGGTTTCATGTTTTACATCTACAACGAGTTCGCATTCGCCTTCACTGCTCACGTCGGATCTGTCACCTCTTCTGTTCTCAACACTGCCAAACGTGTCATTATCATTGTGGTTTCTTCCATTGTCTTCCAAGAAGCCATGGAACGCAACACCGTTATTGGATCTGCCATTGCTATTGGAGGAACTTTCGCTTACTCTCTTGCATCCAAAAAGAAGCCTGCCCCCAAGGCCAAGACTTCTTAAGCATCTTATCTGAAGATAGCACCAAGCAAGGACTTCCGTTTAATGCGACGAGGTGTTTCCTTTCCTTGCTGAGACCGTCCAGCTTTGTTCCATGTCGAAGACGTAGGGTTTTATAATCCAAATTAGGGATAAATCATGAATAAGTTTTTATGTCAGTATTGTTACAGTCATAGATAAATGATTTCACTGCTCAGAAAGTCCGTCGCTAGATGGTTGCTTGCCACCAGTTAGTACCCAGCAATCCGACTTCTGCTGTTCTTTCTCCTTGGAACACTGACCACGTCAGTTGCAACTGCATTTTAAAATGGGAGAAGACCCCCGTTGTCTGTCACTTGGAGAGGTTTGTTTGCTTCTAAATGAGCTGAAACTGAATCGGGGTAAGAAATTGTCCGTTCTCTTCAGAATTGACAACATTGATCGCAAGAATTACATGACATCACCAACGTTATCCCGTTTTCATTTGTGCATACACGGAGCACCAGCTGATCATTGCAATTTCTAGAATGCTCCTCAAATATCCTTCCCAAATCATTCTTGAATGCTAGAAGTGGCTTGCTTTGATCGTTTGGCTTAACGCGCATCGGACAGTAGTTGTCACTACAGCAGATGTCGCCTGTTGGTGACAATCGGAGATAGCTCGCAGTACAAAGGGGACAGACGACTCGTTCTTCTTCATCCATATCATATTCCCAGTCTTCATATTCATTGACTTGATATTCGAGTGACGTTCGCTCTTCTTCCAACACTTCCTCCAGCAGCATCTCGTCTGCGAAGATATGGCATATTCGAAATGAATAGATGAGCATGGGTGAGGAAAACACAAAAGCTAGTCAATAGCCATACGCACCGTCCACTTTCAACTCTTCTTCTATCTCCAACAATATGTCGTAAAGGTCATCGTCCGTCAAATTGTGACCGTCCCAGTCCGAAAAGGTGTCTTGCATGTTTCGTGGATCCGAGTGCACTTTTGTTGTTCCGTAGTCGGGATCAAGTTCTTCGCTCGGCGAAGCAGAGATAATCCCTTCAAACTTGATATCACTTGTATGCGGTGTCATTACTGTATTACGTTCCTTGAGAACTTCCATAAGCACATCTTCTGCCGATGCCCCGGGAGAGCGAGAATGTGAAACGTCATTTCTGAGTCTCCTTTTCATCAACAGTTCTCGCCTCCTTTTCCTTGCATTTTGCAAGCAGGAAGCCCTCAAGTTCTCCTTCCATCGCGACGATGGAAACGCCTTTGGATTCTCTCTACAATTTCGGAGCGACGACACTCTATGCGCAAGTGAACTCATCTCCTCGTTGTCAGAAGGCATCCTCACCGTTTTTGTGTTGTTTAGCAGTTCTCACGCTTGGCGCGCCAACCGATGATTGATGATTCAGTCGACTTATTCATTCGAATGATCGCGCAAGTTCAATCATTCACAGAAGGTCAAAGTTACGAAGTGCCTGCAGAGTAATGATGAGTGATGATACACCGATGAAGGAGGGTCTAATTTTCTTGGAAAACCAACAGAATGCACTAATATTATAAAACTACAAATGCTGGAAGTAGCTGTATGCCGACACGGACCACGCTGCAAGTAGACGTCGTAGATCATCCCAGGTGGTATCTCCGGCAATGTCCTGAACTCTTTGACCAACCATCATAAAGTTAACTAGTAGGGCACGGAGTTGAGCTTCTGGACTTGGGCCTGGGGCATTCGAATCAATATAAGTTTGCAGACAAATGTCAAAAGATGTCGAACCGATACAACCGTCAACTCCTCCAGCCAGTATCCCTTGAATCCACCGGCTGACTGGGATTTGGGCTTCTTCAAACACACCAAAGAGCGCGGCAGAGGATACTGCACTGGAAGCGTATACCTTAACCCAATCTGAAGTCAACCTGGAAGATACTTCTTCTTGTTTGGAGCGAGGTCCAAGCTCAAAGAGCTCTCCATATAGTACATCTGCATAAAACTGAGATGATACTGATGCGATTATCCCAAAGATCGCACCAGATATTCCTGGGCCGAGTACCATATTATTAAATGTCAAAGTCCCTCCAAACTCGGCTTTCAAGACAGCATACTCCAACCATCTAATCACATCAGCGAAAATTTCGACAGCATCAACATCGCCACCGGCTTCCACAGGGAGGAGGTTGTCTACTGAGACTTTCTCTTCTATACTTTCCTTGGCTTTGGCGAAAGGCTTCGGCATCGTTGGACGACTATTGCGACGATTGCGCTCCTTGGCAAGTAGATCGTTTAACAACCTGTCTTCTTCAATTACCATTTCTCTTCTTCGTTGTCGAAGCTTGATTAACTCAGAGGGAATTACAGCAAACAGCGTACTTCCAACAGATGCCAAAACAGGTGGCAGGCCAATCGCCATTAGCAATGGTAAAGATGCGCTGTTCACAATGAAATAATCACTCTCCGCAATCGCGTTCGTCATCCTTGAATCTTTTGAAATGTCTGTGTTGTTTTTGCTTTTGAAAGCGTTCAATAGTGAAGAAAGTGATGCAGAGGCGAACACTCCTACAAATCCTCCAACGCTCTCACCCAAAGCACCAGCTACAAGATCTGTCGGTGACGATGGAAGCGTGGCACCTACCACGTTAGAAACAGCAGTGACGGCAATTTCATCCTGTGTTACATCATTCGAATCATTAATAGAAAGACCAATGATAATGGCCAGGATGAGAACAGCTGCCACCCCAGCTCGAGCTGGTTCGTAGTCCCGTGGTCGCCATGGCAAACGCACTTTCGACGTTCTGCTATACTCTGCAATATTAGGGCGGCTCTGTGTCCCTATTTCATTCAATCGTGTAGTCTTTGGGTAGCTTCTTATCACAGGGTGTTGGTGCTGGAATGCTGTTGATGGATTCACCAAAAGATAACAAAGAAGGAATATTGAACACACAAAACGTGGCAGAAATAATAATCGGCTTTGAGTTCGGCTGGGGTCAAAGTAACACGTCGAATTTGTTTTCATGTTGGTGGTAGAATGATGCGAAGGGAGCCTAGATGCTTCATCAATCTCCTTTCTTGCACATGTTTCTTCTTTGAAATCGGACGAGAGTGGAAATTGAGTCAGTCAGTCAGTCAGCGTTTCCAAGAAGTCGAACAAATCAAAAAACCTTGATTTTGTCTGTATGTATTTTTATTTTGTGAAAGCATGATAATGGATAGTCGTACACTCGTACGTTCGAACAGTTAATGGGTTGGTATAGTATTTGCTTAAGCCGCCTTGGTCTTAGGAGCTGGCTTTTTGGACGTCAAGGAGTATGCAAAAGTACCACAAATTGCAATAGCGGATCCGATGACAGTATTTCTTTCCATGGCTTCTTTGAATACAATGGAAGAAACGACGATGATGATGACACGCTTGGCGGTGTTCAAAACTGAGGAAGTCACAGATCCCACAAGAGAAGTGAATGCAAAGGCACATTCATTGTAGAAGTAGAAGAACAGTCCAGAGATGACGATATTCTTGATAATTGCGTCAGCGCCGTGCACTTCCGCTGCCTTGGCAAAGGTTTCCGAAAGAGTAGGAAGTTCAGTGAAAACAACAAAAGGGATAGTGAAGAAGAAAGAAATGATGTTCATGACCCCGTAAACGTTGGCAGCATCCATGTTCTTTGATGGATCGCTCTTCAATGACTTGGTGACTGAACCTCCAAGCTTTCCCTTCAAAGAAGCAGCAGCGTTTGCCAGGGAGGCAAACAAAAAAGCAGGAACATTGATATCAACTCCCTTTCCTTCCTTGATACACGCAAGACCGACACCTCCGACAATTGGAATAAGCATAATGTAAGCCAAGGTGGGCTTGACATCAACTGGTGGAACCAAAACTCCGACGGCAGCAGCGAAAACAGGCTCGCAGGCCTTGACGATTTGAGCAAACGATACGGCACCGACGGCTGAGGCCAAAACTGTTCCACAGTGTGCAAGCGAAGCAAACAATCCGATGGGCATGCACGCCATGATATCACTTTGTGAAAGATTTGGCATCTTTCTGATTCCACTCAACCACATGGCAAGACTGATAAAGATACCAACAACCAATTGAGCAGATGCAACAAACCAATGCGCTTCGATCATGTTGAGCGCCTGTTTGTTGTAAATGTTGTAGAAGGTGTTTCCGGCATACCAGAGACCGACAAGAGTCGCCTAACGCACAAAAGAAAAAAAGATACAATGAACAACGAAAAGAACATCAAAAGAAGGTATTCACAATCAGCGTTGCAACTCCTTACCAGCTTGACTGGAGACGCGGATGGTGTTGCTGCTCCTGGTTTGCACATACTGTCCTGTTCGAATAAGTAAGCTTTCGGTGAGTTGTTACTATTGGAAGTCTGTGCTCCGGCAATAGATTCATCCTGAGTTACAAACGTCGTGTCGAATTCGCAATCATTTTCGATCGTACTTGGAAACTGACGTTTTTCTGGAGATGACGTGCTTTTTACGCCGCTCCATCTGCGTCTGACGCCGGTCGGCACTGGCTGGCCTGCTCATTTCATTATCGACTCATTCGACCAATAAGACTGCCCTTCGTCAGGGGACATCAAGTCCAATTGATCTTTTCTTTGTGGCTCCTCCGATGCATTGCAGCCAAAAGGAAGTTAAACCAAGGATTAAACAAAAGTGCATCCTCCTCCTTGACAGCAATTGTGCCTACTTTACGAGTAATTTCACCGTGTTTGACAGAATAATAATAATAATCGAGTGTTAGTCATGGCTGAAGATTTCAACAAAAAATATTCTTACCATGAGATGTCCAACAAAGTTGAGCAGGCTGATAGATCTCAGTTCCGTAGACGTGCTCATGAACCGACTGGTGAAGTTGAAACCCTCCGAGGACGTTCTGACATTGGGCGCATGGGAGATCGTGCTCTAGGTGATAAGAGTTCAAGGCCAACCGAACTCCAAGAGAAAGTGAATCGCAAGCGTCAAAAACAAGGTGATTATGGGGACTCAAGGCGAAAGGAAAATGTTGTCTCTGCCTCTGGTGGACAGACCATTTTGGATTTTGACAACTTGACAGGGTATCAACCAACGACCCAAGCCGCTAGAGCATCCTATGAAGCAATCCTCACCAAAATTGGTTCGAAGGCTATGCTGGGAAACCAGTCCACGTCCATATTGAGGGATGCAGCGGAAGAGGTCATCCAAATTTTGAAGGATTCCAATCTGAGAGATCCAGAGCGTCATGACCAAATATCACGTCTTCTCACTGGGAAAGCTGCGTCTACCAGAGGGAAAGCAGTGGCTGGTGGATTGTCTTCAGAGCAGTATTCCAACTTTGTTCAACTTGGAAAGCAACTGGATGACTTTGACAATGTTACCAAGAAGGTAGCAACTGGTGAATCGGATGACGAAGACGACAAAATGGACAACGAAATGGGAGTTGCTGTTGTATTTGACGAATCAGATGAAGACAAAGATGGAGATGAGGGTGCGAGTGACATCGAAGACGGTGTTGTTGTCGACGCATCATCGGATTCTGAAGCGGAGGAGGAGGAGGAAGCAGATGCCGGAGAAGCACTTGACGATGGAGAGGAAAAGCTGATACAAGGAGACGGAACCAAGAAGCAGTCACAGCATACCCAAGATAGAATATTGACCGTTCATGAAATTGATGCCCATTTTCTCCAGCGTCAACTTTCTCGCCATTTTGAAGATGCTGCGGAATCAGCGCGATTGGCTGGAGAGGTCCTTTCGGTGTTGGATGTCCGCAATGCTAGCGACGTCCGCGAATGCGAAAATAAGCTTTTGCTGCTTCTACGTTTCGATCTTTTCGATACTATCAAGCTACTCTTGCATAACAGAGTTCGTGTTTGGGCTTGTGTTTCGATGAAGCGAGCGCAATCAGACGAGGAACGAAATGCCATCGAAGAAGCCCTCATGAAGGACTCGACTGGGGAGGGAAAGAGAGTCTGGAATGAGATTCATTCAAAGAGTAGAGCCGAAGATTGGTCACGTGAACGGATGAGAGGCCTTACTGAAGGTTTGAAGGCCGACACTGATTCTACAGATGTTTCAAAGGCCTTGGATTCAATCAAGGTTAAAGGAGAAAGTGTCACCGACGAGAAAATGCAAGTCGATGATGAGAAAGAGAAGGCCGTCGAACTCAATTTGGATCAGCTCGCATTCAGAGAAGGTTCTCACACAATGAGCAACAAGAAGTGCGATTTACCAGACACGTCATGGCGGGCAATGAAGAAAGGATACGAAGAAGTTCATGTTCCAGCAGTTCGTAGCGTAATTCCGAAAGACGAAAAGTTGATCCCAATCAAGGATTTGCCATCTTGGACTCACCCTGCTTTCAAAGGAATGGAGAAACTCAATCGGGTTCAGTCGAAAATGTGCGACGTCGCTCTCAAATCCTCTGAAAATGTTTTGCTTTGTGCACCAACTGGCGCTGGTAAAACCAATGTTGCCTGTCTGACGATGTTAAATATTCTTGGTCAATACCGACGAGAAGTTGGGAACGACGACGCTGAGGATGAAGACAAAGAAGAGGTCTATGATCTCAATTCTTTCAAGATTGTCTATGTTGCTCCGATGAAGGCTTTGGTCCAAGAACAAGTGAAAAACTTCTCGAAACGTTTGAAGGATTATGGAGTTGTTGTCAGGGAGCTGTCTGGTGATTCAAGCCTTTCAAGGCAACAAATTGCAGAAACACAGGTGCTTGTAACCACACCAGAAAAGTGGGATGTCGTGACTCGACAAGGAGAAGGACGAGCTTTTACTCAATTGATCAAACTTGTCATCATCGATGAGATTCATCTTCTCCATGATGATAGAGGTCCCGTCCTTGAAAGTATAGTTGCAAGGGTTGTCAGGCAAGTAGAGACGACAGCCGAGCCCATCAGACTTGTAGGTTTGTCGGCGACTCTTCCGAACTATGCTGATGTCGCGGCCTTCCTACGCGTAAAACCAGAAAAGGGTCTTTTCTTCTTTGACCATTCTTATCGACCAGTACCATTGCAAATGCAATATATTGGTATCACCGAGCGTAATGCTTTCAAGCGATTCCAGCTCCAGAATGAGATTTGCTATGAGAAAGCTCTTGTACAGAGACAAAATGGAAATCAAATGCTTATCTTTGTTCACAGTCGGGCAGAGACCGGTAAAACCTCAAAGGCACTTCGCGATATTGCATTGGACCGGGATGAACTCGCCAACTTCGTTCGTGATGGCGGCGCGACACAGGAGATTCTCAGAGAGGAAGCCTCAACGGTAAAGAATGCCGACTTGAAGGAAGTACTGCAATATGGCTTCGCAATTCACCACGCTGGTATGGGACGGGAAGACCGTGAACTGGTGGAAGATTTGTTTGCAGATCGTCACATCGCAGTATTGGTTTGTACAGCTACCCTTGCATGGGGAGTAAACCTTCCAGCGCATGCTGTCATCATCAAGGGGACGCAAATATACGATCCTTCCAAAGGTCGATGGGCCGAGCTAAGCCCTTTAGATGTCCTGCAGATGCTTGGTCGTGCCGGACGCCCGCAGTACGACAACGAGGGAGAAGGTATTATCATGACTCAGCACAGCGAACTGCAGTACTACTTATCATTGACGAATTTGCAGCTACCTGTTGAAAGTCAGTTGATCAAGACTCTGCCTGACCACTTGAATGCGGAAGTTGTTCTCGGGACTGTGCAATCAATTAAAGAGGCAGCCGAGTGGCTTAGCTACACATTCTTATACATCAGAATGCTCCAGAACCCCAGTCTATACGGCATTCATAACGGGGAAAACGTCCTGAAGGAAGATCCAACTCTAGAACGTCGCCGCATGGATCTGGCACACACTGCTGCAACGATCTTGGAGAAGAATCACTTGATTCGCTATGACAGAAAAAGTGGCGGAATTCAAGCAACGCCCCTTGGCCGTGTCGCCAGTCAGTTCTATATTTCGCATTCGTCAATGGCGGTGTATAGTAGACACATGAGACCAAATATGTCTGATATTGAATTGCTGCGGCTTTTTGCATTGAGCGGTGAATTCGCTCATATTACAGTCCGCGAAGAGGAAAAGCTGGAATTGGCCAAACTTGCTGGCAGAGTACCCATTCCGGTAAAGGAAAGTCCAAGTGAGCCTACGGCAAAAGTGAACATTCTTCTACAGGCGTATATTTCTCGCCTGAAGCTTGACGGTTTCGCACTCGTCGCCGATATGGCTTTCATCCAGCAATCTGCTGCCCGTATTATGCGGTGTTTGTTCGAAATTGCACTTCGACGGAACTGGTCGTCACTTGCAAAACTCACTCTCGCCATGTCAAACATGGTGTCATACAGAGTTTGGCGCAGCCAATCACCACTTCGACAGTTTCGAAACGTTCCTGAGGTAGTTGCTAGAAAACTCGAACGAAAGTCTGACATCGAATGGTCTCGCTATGTAGATCTGACAGCGTCGGACCTGGGTGAGCTTGTTGGCGTTCCTAAGATGGGGCGTGTGTTGCACAAGCTTGTTCACCAATTTCCTCGTCTTGAGCTCTCTGCAGCGCAGATTCAGCCAATCACCAGATCTCTCCTTCGTATAGAACTGTCGCTGGCCCCTGCATTCAAGTTTGATGTAGACCTGCATGGTTACGTACAGCTGTTCCATGTCTTTGTTGAGGATGTAAACTGTGAGACCATATTGCATCATGAATACTTTTCTCTGAAAAGCAGCAATGCAGACGAAGAACACGCGCTGGGTTTCTCTGTTCCGATTCTCGAGCCGTTACCGCCCGCGTACTTTGTACGGGTGGTATCGGATCGATGGTTGCATTCAGAGTCGGTGCTACCAATTTCTTTCAACAACATGATCCTTCCCGCCAAGTTTCCTGCTCCTACCGAACTGCTGGATTTGCAGCCGCTGTTACCAAGTGCAATTGGAGAATCAGCACTCGCTGGGCTTTTCAAGTACAAGGAGTTCAACCCTATCCAAACTCAGACTTTTCATGAGTTGTTCAAGACATCGAAGAACTGTCTCGTATGTGCTCCATCTGGTTCAGGGAAAACGGCGTGCGCCGAATTTGCAATTCTTCGGATGCTGATGACAGTTAGTGACGGAAAATGTGTCTTTGTCACTCCTACTTCAGAAATCTTCGAGCCTATACTGAGAGACTGGAAAAAGCGATTCGGTCCTCTTATTGGCGATTCATCAATTGTTTCTCTCTCTGGCGAAGTTTCATCAGACTTGAAGCTTTTGTCGACCGGAAAGATAATCTGCTGTTCAGTTGAGGTATGGGACAAGCTAACCAGAAGGTGGCGGCAGAGAAAAGCTATTCATAGCGTATCACTAATCGTCTTCGACGAGCTTCATTTCCTCGGTGGCGATGTCGGACCAACAATGGAAATCGTGATATCTCGAATGCGATACATCAGCAGTCAATTACAACAGCAAAACGACAGTAGCATGCGAATTATAGGGTTGAGTGCATCTTTGGCCAACGCACGTGATGTCGGAGAATGGATTGGAGTGAGCAGCAAAAGCTTGTTCAATTTCTCTCCAAAGGTACGCCCTTGGCCATTGGAGATCTACTTCCAGTCTTTCGACCAAAACAACTATTCTGCTCGCCTCATGGCCATGGCGAAGCCCGCATACAATGCTGTCGCCCGGCATTTAGATGGAAAGAATGCTATCATTTATGTTCCAAGCCGAAGGCAGGCCCAGCTTTCGGCAATCGATATCATGTCATATCATGAGAGTCAAGGTGGGAAACCATTCCTTGATCCTTCCGCTTTATCGGAAGTTTCAGAAGTCGCTCGCAGTGTCAAAGAACCCACACTTGCACAAGTTCTTGAAGCTGGAATCGGGTTTGTTCATGGTGGAATGATTCAATCAGATTGGGAGAAAGTTGTTGCACTTTACAACCGTGGCATTGTCAAGATCATTGTCTGTCCCGCAGACATGTGCTGGAAGTTACACAGCGTTGGCCACCTTGTCATCATCATGGGAACAGAATCGTACGATGGACGCGAGCGGCGACACGTCGACTATAGAATTGTCGATTTGTTGCACATGATGGGAAGGCACGGTGTTGGATCAATTGGAAAGTGTGTCATAATGTGCCATCAACCGAAGAAAGACACTTTGAAAAAATTTCTCTATGAACCTTTGCCAATAGAAAGTCACCTTGACAGCTATCTCCATGACCATATGGTTTCGGAAACTGTGACCAAGACGATAAGCAATATGCAAGATGCTGTTGATTACCTCACGTGGACCTTCCTATATCGAAGGCTACCAAAGAATCCAACATATTATGGACTTACTGGGACATCGAGTGTCAATATCAGTGAATTCTTGAGTGAAATGGTTGAATCTGTCATGGGTGATTTGGAAGAAAGCAGATGCTTGCAGATTGGCGAAGAAGGAGAGACTTCTCCTCTGAATCTGGGTATGATTGCTGCATATTACTACATTCAGTACAAGACGATCGATATCATTTCATCTTCGATCACATCGAAGACAAAGATTCGAGGTGTGATGGAAATTCTGTCAGCTTCTTGGGAGTTTGCTTCTCTCCCTCTTCGATATGGCGAAGAGAAAAGAGTCAAAATTTTGGCACGAACGCAACCACACCAACTACCTGACACTGCGTATGATGCTCATTCGAAAGCACTGGTACTCTTGCAGTGTCACTTTAGTCGAAAGGTCATTCCCGGTGATCTGAGAGGTGATCAAAAGATTGTCTTGACTCAATCGGTAAAGTTGCTTCAGGCAATTGTTGACGTGATTAGTAGCAATGGGTGGCTAAAACCTGCTCTAGCTGCGATGGAGCTCAGTCAAATGATTGTACAAGGTCTCTGGAATAAGGATCATGTCCTTAAACAGGTTCCACACTTCACGGATGAAATGATTGATCGCTGTATCAACTACAAAGGCGAAGAACCGATAGAGTCGGTTTTCGATATTTTGACGATTGACGATGATGTCCGAAACGATTTGCTCTGTCTACCAGATAGCAAAATGGCAGACGTCGCTGTTTTCTGCAACAACTATCCCAGCATTGAAGTCTCCTTCGAGGTACAAGATTCTGACAACGTGACTACGGGCGATCCTGTCCAAGTTTTAGTTGAGTTGGAGCGTGAGGTCGATGAGGATGAAATGGGTGAAGAAGAAATTGCAAGCCTCGGCACGGTCTCATCCCCACTATACCCTGAAGAGAAGAAGGAAGCATGGTGGATCGTCATTGGTGACATATCGTCTAACACGCTGCACGCTTTGAAGCGTGTGAACTTGCTGCAAAAGCAGAAGGTTGTTTTAGAATTCTTAGCTCCGGAAGAAGCTGGCGATCACAAATTGACTCTATTTTGCATGAGCGATAGTTACATGGGATGTGATCAAGAGTACGCCTTGTCCCTGAGTGTAGCTGTCGGCGAAGATAGTGGAAGTGAGAGCGGGAGTGATAGCAGTGGCGATGAATAATTCATAAAAGTCACAAGGTTCTCTACAACATTATCTTGTTTCGAGTCGAGTTGCTGCTATAATAAAGAGTGTCGCATATCGATTTGAGTAAGAATGCAGCACTCGTACCTCCAAAATACGACGGAAGAAACTATCGTCTAAGGATATCTGGAATAATAGCCCATATTGAGATTGTCAGAAAAGAAGGTATTGCGGCCACTGGCGAGTTGATCTACGATTGGATCATCTTCTAGGGGCAATGGGTCTCTAGGAAGCGGAAGCAAATCATTTTCACCCAGTTCCGATCCATGATGCAAAGGAACGTCTAAATTTCCTGATTGATTATTGTTAGCAAACCCATAGTTTCTATGTACCAAAGTGATTGAGTTGTTGAACGTACCTGCAGATGATGGATTGTATGGATGTCGATATTGTTGATAGGTTTGGTTCGGGTTAATGTACTGACCAAACGTGCTCTTCTTTGCTTGCTCATCAAAAGAATCGACTCTAAGATTATCGAAGAACCCCGATCTGTAAGGTCGCTGCATGGGTTGTGGCATTTGTGCTTGTGAATGCTGGTTATGGTGATAGTTCTGCACTGTCTGGTGGCTTGTGCGACTCGCAGCATCCATTCTTGCTTGATCGTCTCTCCACTTGCGAATATTCTCCTTATAAAGGGCCCTTTCCCTTTCCTCCTGCTCGACGTATGGTGCTCGTTCTCGAGGACTAGCGTTCCTCCACATCTCCCCAAGCAGTCTTGAAACATCGGTGTTGCTCATGTCTGGGTTTTCTTGCTTCACCTTGGCGCGACGAGTTTGTGAATACTTCAGAAAAGCAGACATGGGACGCTTCCATACGAAATCGAGGTTAGATAAAGTGCTCCTCCAATGTCGCAATGTTCTCGCTTATGTCTCCCTACATACCTTTGGTGCTAGTGGATGCTTTTTGGCTCGACGTTTCGGGACTGACCATGGGCCTTTGTATGCAGCTGTAGTACACGAAGGTTGGTTGCTGATATGCCAAGTATTCACATGCCCTCAGATGCAACAAGTACATACCTTTCTCTTGGACAAATCGAATCTTATCATTGCGTGCTTCTTCTTCCCAATGAGTCCGAGCCGAACTGGAGAGGGCTTTCCATTCTCTGGCAACAATTTTCAGAATGTCATCCTCCTACAGCACAACACAAACAGTCAGATAATCCTCAAAATTGGTTGCATGATCCACCGCAGCGTACGATTTACCTTTCGGATTCCCTGCTGGGACATGATCTCTTTTTTCTTTGCATCGGTAAAGCACATAAATGCCGAACGCGGGGGCTTTGGTGGTGTCAGGTTGGCGTTCTCATCGTTTGGTGGAAGTTTGCGATTGTTGACAAACGAGTCTGAAACATTTTCAGAAGAACGGAGAACCTGTATCGGAGAGATACACTTTGAATTAATATTCTTAAGCTTGTTTGGAAGAGTATTGGATAGAAACTTACCTGTCTTGTTGACGCCATCGCAGCACGAAACGACGAGTTAGTATTATGAAACAAAGACAAGGACTAAACTGGAGTTTTAGGATGCTCACCAATTATTCTTTCAAACTAGAAAACGTTTTGCCTCTTTCTGTCAACAATTCAACGACGGTATCCCGCGTTGGAGGAAACAATCGTTGAATGTGGTTGAATTGTTTACAAAAAGTGGGAATGCTATCTTTGTTGTGTGTGTGTCGTTTCTCCGTTTTTAGTAATGCTTTCATAAAAAGCTTCGCGCCAAAGAAGATGCGCTCAAAAGGACAGCAATGTCACGATTCACTCTTCCGACCCAACACAACCAATCAGTATGTTAGAACAGAATAAGCTACTTCACATCGAAGTCGCAGTCAAGCCATCATGTCTTGTTCCTTTGCCAAAGATAAAGGAACTATGGCAAGTATTTTGTAGTAGTGATTTCAATTCAGAGGGTTTGATGGATGGGAATGAAGTCAACCTTGACAAGCTACCACAAGAAATACAACAATCCTGTGCAAAAGCAAGCATAGTTGACGATAGCAATGAAATTTCTCATTTCGCTGCTGGCGACTCCTTCACAATTCACATATTTGTGTTGAGCCAAGAAGAATCATGTACAGAAGAGTTGGAACCAGAAGGTGGGGATGGCGAATGGGTTTCTGGCGCCGACTCATTGACAATACCACATGCTAGCCTGGAGAACCTATGGGAGAGTTTGATCTTTGAAGAAGGCTTGAAACGGCAGCTTTTGGACTATGCCCAATCTGCGCTGCTTTTCTCTGACAAGATGGTTTCGTCAACCATTGTAAACTGGAATCGGATACTACTCTTGCATGGGTACGTCTCTTTGCCTAAGCCTTGTCATGTGATTGCTGTTTGTTTCTAACACAATGTAGACTACCCGGTACTGGAAAGACGAGCCTATGTCGTGCACTTACCCACAAATTAGGGATCCGATTAAGTGGTCGATTTCCAAGAGCTACATTACTTGAGATCCGATCACATTCACTTTTTTCAAAGTGGTTCTCGACTAGCGGGAAGGTACGCAGAGTGTCTGACTTCTTATCGCTGTTAGTGAAATTATCTAATGTCTCTTTCACAGCTTGTAAGTACTCTGTTTCAAATGGTCAAGGATATGGTTCTTGATGATCCGGATGCATTGGTTTGCGTTCTGATTGATGAAGTAGAAAGCTTGGCAGCATCTCGTGACAGCAGCTCGGGTGGGGATCCAGGCGATGCAATGAGAGCCGTCAATTCACTCCTGACCTCGTTAGATAAGTTAAAGCCATTTCCAAATGTGCTTGTTATGGCAACAACGAATCTACATCTGACGGGGAGTGTCGATGCCGCGTTCGTTGACAGATGTGACCTCCTCCTTCAGGTGAAGATGCCGCCAGTGAAAGCCCGATACCGAATATTCATGTCCTGTATTCTGGAATTGGCTCGCGTTGGAATCTTGGAAATAGGCGAAGGAGACAATTCTTATTTCATGCCTTACCATGAAGATCAGTCGTCGCGACAGTCCAATAAACTGAGCTCGAAGCTCCTGGCATGTGCAACTTCTGCAGAGGGGTTGAGCGGACGAAGCTTGCGTCGTCTTCCACTACAAGCACACGCGAAGTATTTAGGCAAATATCAGTTGCAAGTTGTATCTTGCATAGAGTTCTTGGAGGCACTATCTAATGCCATTGACGATGAGCAGAAGGCCCGTCGAGAAATGAAACGGGGGAAAGAGGATTGACTTTTGTTGCTAATGCAATGTTTAGATAGACCTACAAACTTTCCAATAAGGTTGGGATAGTAGGATCTCAATGCCGTGCTCTCTTTGCTGGTGGGGCACCATCTGTGTTCTTTAGTATCGAAAATGAAAAACCGCACTTTTCTGGGACTTCTCCAAAATCTTCCCATCCAGCAACACCCCACCCAGCTTTTCCAAATGCATAGGATCCATATCCCGCTTTCCATCCACTTCGTCCATAAGCCACTGCCAAGCCGGCATACTCTGAAGACGAGGAAGAGGCGGAAATTCCAGCGCGCAATCCAACATGTTTCGACCCGGCTGCTGTTTGCGGTTGCCGTCGCTGGTCAGCTTTGGGTGTAGCCAATTTCACTTCCACATGCCGTCCTTGAACGTCCAGGGGTTGTGCTTCGATAGCCCGTTGTGCTCCATTCGATCCGTTTTCAAAAGTGACAAAGCCAAAGCATCGTGATCGATTGGTGTTTTGATCCATCATTACTATGGCGTCGACCACAACTCCAAATTCTTCAAATATTTTTCGAAGACCATCGCGATCAACATTTGGCGGGATACCACCCACAAAGACTTTATTTCCCATTTGTTCGGGTGAGGACCCACTGTTCCCTTCTTGGCGATTATTGTTGCTTCTAACCTCTTGACGTTCCTCGTCTTCTTTCTTGTGAATTGAAGGAGGTGCGACACCCCGCGCCTGAGCCCGCTTAACATCGACAACTTTATGATTGATTTCATGCTTGGCTTCGTTCATGACAAGATCAACTGTACTACCCTCTCGAAAGACAACAAAAGCAAAACCTCGAGGATCTCCAGTGACACGGTCTCTCATAATGTCAACAGAAGCAACAGGACCATACTGTGAAAAATGAAACGAAAGCGATTCTTCCGTTGTGGCCCAGCTCAGACCGCCCACAAAAATCTTGCCTTCGAAAGAAAAGGATGAAGGAGAAGCAGCTCCTACGGTTAGTCATATACAATCTGCACAAAATGACACATGCTTGCGATTGATTCATTCGCACCTTGATCAAGGCTTTTTTGTGGTGCCGCCATTTGCTGTCTCTGTTTTGGAGCAGCTGGTTCCGCCCCACCATGCCCGTAATAATCTCCCATCGCTCTTCTGTCTTTTACGAGCTACGAGTTTGTTTGTTTCTTCCTCGTACCTAAAGTATCTCTCTCTGCCTCAAATCGTCAAAGCATGATTACTTCGAATAAAAATTAGATTAGATTGATTCATTCATTCGAGTCGATCACAACATCTGCCTGCTCTGCGTCCGTCACTAATTCTCCATCACACGCAAACATCAGCGTGATCAGCTCGCAGTTTCCATGCTGTACTGTAGGTACGAGTACTGACTACCTGAATCAATTGCTTAGTTATCTGTTCTTGCAAAAGAGAAGCAGGAGAAGATGAGTTTTCTTCTATCGTCAGCGGTGGCATCCTCGTCGTCGAGAATACTGCAGACAGTGGCGCGACGAACGGCAAGCCAAAACCTACGTCAGCTGTCTTCCATGTCATTACCCAGACCTCCGCAACGAAAAGAAGAACCTGATTCTAGAAGGAAGTGGCGAACCCATGCCGTCCCTCTAATATTCAGTAACTATGAAGATGATACACCCATGCCCGAAGAGACTTCCAATTTGTATCCTTGGGAAGAGGAAGAAATGGAGCTTTCGGACGAAGTCAAGGAGATGCAACAAGAGGAAGACGCACAAAAACGACGATGGTTGGATAATGCTAAGCCACCAGTCCGAGAGCCGATTATTGATGAACGAGGACGTGCCTATGGACGAGGGGGACGAAAGACGGCTGCAGCCAGAGTTTGGATCCAGCCTGGTTTGGGCAATGTGGTTGTTAATCGCAAGGACTTGGTGGATTACTTTGAACGATTCTCGGATCGCGAATTGATTTTGCAACCCCTAGTGGCAACTGAAACATGTGGAAAATTCGATGTGACAATTTTTGTCGAGGGAGGTGGTCTTACGGGACAAGCCGGAGCCATTCGCCATGGATTGGCCAGAGCTCTCAATCACTACAATCCAGATGCGTACCGACCACCACTCAAACGTTTGGGGTACTTGACACGAGATCCAAGAAAGGTCGAAAGAAAGAAAGTGGGACACCTCAAGGCTAGAAAGAAGCCTCAATGGGTAAAGCGATAGTCTTTTTGGCAGCCATAAAAGAAATTTATACCGCGTACATTTTTCTTGCTTTTTTCTGTGGTTGTGTGCGGTACACATATGCAGTACTTTATGATGTTTTGGTAATTCAATGCAAGGCATTAAATTTTCGGTGGCATGCGATTACTATTGGCGCTGCTAAATGCAAGTTTTCTGGGGCTGTTGATATTAATAATTCATGCTTCTGATTATCTATTCATTTGAGGATGATGTAGTATCATCTTCCCCAGAAGCCAATCGATATGTGCCAATCCAATTTATATCTGTATCGTCTGTCGATAGTGCCCAATCCCATCGGCCTTGAAAGGGGGGAGATGTCAGTATCATTCCCTGAACGTCGACTTCTTGCAGCCCACTTGCTTCTACCAAGGCCCGCACTTCCTCGGGAGACTTGAACTGATTCCAATCATGTGTCCCTACTGGTAAATATCGCATGATATATTCGGCGCCCACAATGGCCACCGCTTTGCTTTTGGTGGTCCGATTGATCGTGGACAAGAACAGTTTTCCATTGGGTTTCAAGAGTCGTTGCATGGACGAAAGAATGGAATCCACGTCTGCCACATGCTCAATTACTTCTAAGCAACATATCATATCATATTTTTCGGCATCGGATTGTTCTACTTCGATGGCTAGTTGTTCCACCGTCCATCCTCCGCGGTAGTCAATGGTACGAGTGCGAGGATCCAGTTCTGCATGAAGTCGGGCTTGTTCGGCCAGTGCTAGGGAAGGTTCCACTCCGGTCACCTTGGCACCCAATCGTGCCAAAGATTCTGACAATAGGCCTCCTCCACAACCAACATCTAATGCTCGTTTCCCCTTCAAAGAACGCTCTGTTGACATTTGATCCATGATGTATCCCACACGAATGCTGTTCATTCCAATGAGTGGATTCTCTTTGGGATCCCACCAAGTTTTGGAGAGTTCACTGAATTTAGCCACCTCAGTGTCAGATATCGAAGATGATGGTGGTGACGATGAAGAGGCCGAGGACGAAAGCATTCGAACAGTGCTCAACGACCACAACTCATGTTTCGCTGTCGCGTTTCTTGCTGAAGAAACCGACTGTTGGATAGAAGCTTTCCGTGACCAACGGCTAGACTTGTCGATTTTGACAGCGATGTTGCAGTATTGCTTTGAGGCACCATGTGCCAAGTTCCGCCAACCTTTCATTTGTACAGTCCTACCGGTTTATGTATTATAGGTCCCTGGTACTATGCAGTGCTGACGATGATGATATTGAATATTGAATATTCGAATATATGTGTTCTGTTGCGAGATTGATGGAAGAGGATTCGATTTGGTCAAATTGAACCAACCGCTCGGCCCGCGCACGAAACCACTTTGTCAAATTGATCAACAAGGAGGCAAACCCATATTTGAATCAATCTTTTGCTGCTGCAGTGAACTGTAGTCCACTCCTTCCTTTCATCGCCTCTTTGAGCGCTACAAGATCGTGCGAAAGATCACTTCCTAGATTGTTTGATACTCTATCAGATTTCCCACAAACTTCCAACCAAAGAAGACTGATTATTCATCCTAAATCATGGCTGTGACTTGGGGACAAAACCAAACACATGTGTTCGGCACACCAGCCCCAGGAGGAACTCCTGGATCAGCACCTGGAGGAACACCACAGCCTTCGGCCTTTGGGGCACCTTCACCCGGTCCAGCTCCAGGGGGGCTCTTTGGTGCTTCGACACCAGCCCCCAGTGGAGGATTGTTTGGAGCCCCATCACCAGCTCCCACTGGAGGAAGTTTGTTTGGCGCTCCATCCACTGGAAGTCTATTTGGTAATACAGCACCATCGCCTGCCCCAGGAGGTTCTATGTTTGGGTCGACGACTCCTGCGCCGGGACCTGGCACGAGTCTATTTGGAAGTAGTAGTACCGGTACGAGCTTATTTGGAGCCCCAGCCCCTTCTTCTTCGGGCAGTCTCTTTGGATCCTCGGCACCTTCCGGCTTTTATGGATCGAATTCTAATGCCGCAAATACAGCGCAGCCGCCACAGCCTCAAATCCCTGCACAAGCTGCCTTGCAAGCCCACTTGAATGCTTCTGCACAGCAAGAAGCCGATCGAGTGCGATCCAAACTAGAATCCTTACATCGAGCCTATACCAGCGGATCTACTGCCACAGTAACTGCAGGAAACAATCCTTTTGTCGCCATTGTCTACAATGACCTGACTCCGGAACAGCGACAAATGCAATGGGTCCAGGGAATGGGAAGCCATACCAATGTCATTTTGGAACCCCCAAAGCCACCACAAATATCCCAAGAAGAATGGAGCAAGGCAGTGGTCAATAATCCAGATCCACACAATTATATGCCCATCCCTTTAGTTGGAGGAGTTGCACTTCAAGCCCGAGTCTCCTGGCAGCAAGATCGCGCCAAGGAACTTTCCAAAAATGCTTCCATTTTGCACAAATCGCACGAAACCGTCCAACAGCGAGTGTCGCAAACCCTTCAACAGCTAAACCAGAAAATAGCCTCGCACAAAGAACTCCAGCACCAACTATTACAAATGATGAAAAAGGTCGAAGTCGTCCGCTGCATGAATCAACCCTTGCAACCAGATGAATTTCAAGTCATGCAACGGTTGCAACAAGTCATGCAAAATCTGGAGCAGGTCCAACGTGTCATGGTCGCCATCCAAGACAAGGCCCGAGCACATCAAGAAACTCAACGGTCCATCAACCGAACGGCCAACAGTACCGCCAAGCAAGGACTGCCGCCTACCGAAAAACTGCTTCCAGTGTTGCAAAAGCAACGACAACAACTGGAAACTTTGACAACACTGGCTGGAAAAGACAAGCGAGATGTCGAACTGATTGGAACACGGGCTGCACTCACAGTTCCTTCAGTGGGGTACTAAAGAATATGAAAATAGCTTTCTTGTTTCTGTAGCATCATCTCCATTATTTTTATTTTGGTTCTGTGACTATCTTAAAATCCTATCTCTCTATGATTGGAAACTAGAATTGTTCTAGAATGATGATCGCTTGATCTACTGTAATATTGTTGTGATGTGGATCCACCAACGCATTTGCCCCCTTCATTATGACTTTCGCATTGGTCTGAGGTTTTTCAACCACCCCAAGACAACCGCTCTTACTCCCTCCAAAGCTGAAGTGGCAGCAATCATAGAAATAGCCATGGGGATCAACAAAGAAGTCGAGGCCAATGCGACAGCAGCCTGCAAAACAGCTGGGGCCACAACAGTCGCAACTGCAATAGCACCCCATGTTCTCACCTCTGGCAAAGTTGACACGGATGGAAACAGTATCGTCGAGGTTGATTTTGGTGCGTTGAAAGTGGTAAGTGCTGTCTCGAGATTGTCGGACTCCAGTACATCAGGATTCCGAATTGATTGAGTCTTTTCTCCCTTATTCTCTTCCTCCATAATCGGTTGGATATCAGCTTCTTTTGGCTGAAAGTGAACATCTTGTGGTTGGGGGGTTCTAACTGCCATCGGAACAGTGCTTTCAAAAGCAGCAGAAATAGATGCTTCAGCAGCAACCGCTTTTGCTTCTGATAATTGCTCTAGTAAGAGGTTGAGAGATCCAGTTTCTGGTGAAGATCCATTCGACTGCGAAACAATGGTCACAGAAACCATGAGACCAAGCAAGAACGCGATAGTCAATTTCAAGAAATTAATTTCCTTCACGTCAGTTTCGTGTGCTTCTTTCATCTTCGTCACTATACGGTCGGACTTAGATCCATCTTGAAAGTTTATTTTTGACTTGCTTTCCATGTCTGCGAGTGGGCTTATGGTAGGACTCGAGGATGAAGAGGTTGACACTGAGGTGAGGGCTGAAGGCTTGGAACTTTGTTTCAGAATTGATGTTGGGACCTTCGGAAGTATCGGGCCTTGTAAGCTCGCAATTGTGCGTTCCTTGATTTGATTGCGCATTCTTCCTGCAGGAATCTCTTCCAAGGTCTGCATTCCGCTAACGCAGATCTTGTAGCAGTGTGCAATTTCAGCCCACGACACACTTTGATGAGCCATGGCTGTTTGCGATAGTAGCCTCAGAACAAGCATGAATTGCCGATCTGTTCGAATGAAGTCAAATCGTGTGCTTTCTTCCTTCAATTGTTTGTATGCCTTCTTTAGCTCTGATGGTCGGAACTCCCTCAACAATGTTGTGCGATCATAGCAGGTGGTGTTGCTGTTAGCAATCTGAGCCGATGCTTTTCCTTTCACTAGTGACTCTAGCACTTCAAGCATGGGCTTCAAATGTGTCAGAGTGGCTACATTTTCGTCTTCTTGTCGCTGCAACATGATTTCGTAATGATTCAAATATATTTCAACACCATAGTTTTCTCTGTCATGTTCTGTGCCGATTCTCCTGCTCTCCAATTGTTCCGTGGCAGCTTCAATCTCGGATCGACTATTTTCTCCTAGACTTTCATCTTCTGTCCAAATTTCAGTCGCTGTATCATCTTGAAGTGAGAATTCAGATGATTGGGGCAGCGTTGAAGGTTGGGCTACTTCATCTTCCTCATCTTGTGTGACGCAAGGGACGACAAGATCTGTCTCTTCGTCTTCGTCAAATTCCCCGTATGTCAAGAGAGACCGTGATGACTGTTGTTTGCCCAAAAATGGACCCATCCGGTTCTTTTTCACGGGGAATTGTCGGTGGATACTATCTTGGCTCGACATGTTGGTCAGCGTGGATATGCTTCTTTGCGTTTGGTGTTGTCGATGCTTTGGTCAGTTTGAATTTTTGTGCCAATAACGGCATTTTGTGCGAGCAACGGACAAAACATGAGTCACGGATCATGAGTTCATTCCCGTGTGACGACTTTGAACTGTACGAGTAGACGTGATACTTCCAGTTTTCTCTTCCACAATATACTCCAATGATACTACAAGTGGTCCTTGTTGGGATACTGTGTACTCAGTATTGTTGCATTGTCCAAGCGTTTATCGATGGCTCGTCATTATGGCATAGGCATCCCAATATTGCGAAATACCTGTTGGAGATGACGCTTGATGACACCGTTGCGTTTCCACAGCAGACACCACACTCTGGTCGTCACTTTGTCCCTTCTCATCCCGCCTATCAACGGAAAATCTTTGGAAGATTCAAGAGACGGAGGAGAAAACGATTCATGGAAGGGTGGTACTACAGATTGACGATACCCGAAGAAAATGTTAGTTTTGCCTTCATCATTAGCATCGAAGATCCTGGAACTGATTCCAAGCTTAAGCTATCTTGCATTCAAGTGGTAGGACCTGGCGACAGCTATCTCGTACAAGCTGATCGGGATGATACAAAGTTTTGGGCACATAAAACCCAACAAGCCTTGGGATGCAATTTTCGATATTTCTCTGATGAAGTTTCCAAGGAAATGAAGCTCAAGACCGCTTTGACAGTAGAGGAATGGAAGGAAAATGTTGAATCAGGTTTCCAAATACTACCTCAGCAGCTGCTGGGGCGTGTTGACGGTCACGATGGAAGTCAAGGAGGGGTGTTGCCGGGTCAGGGAGAACCAGGTTTCTGTGAGTTTGATTTCTCGGTGGAGCCACTGTGTGGATGGGGATCGCAGAAAAGTACGGGTGGATGGCTGGCTTCTTATGACGTCTTTGAACCTCATTGGCAAGTCACCTTAGCTGGTACGTACCCTTTTGAATTGGATCTAAACATGTCTGATGAATAATCTGATGTACTGGTTTGCATGGATCCGCTTCAGATGCAAGAGCAACTGGCTCGGTTGTGTGGAACAACAAACGCTATGATTTTGTTGACCAACCTTTCTATGCGGAGAAGAACTGGGGCGCAGCTTTACCTTCCAAGTGGTATTGGACGCAGTGCAATTCCTTTGAAGGGTATGATCGACTTTCGGTGACAGCGGGGGGAGGGGTTCGAAAAGTTCCATTTGGTCAGTCGGAATCCTTGGGGATGGTTGGTATTCATCACAACGGAACATTTTATGAAGCTGTACCATGGGCAAATGGTTACATGGATTGGAATGTGAGCACCTGGGGATTCTGGAACCTCACTGGCCGCTCTATTTCCGGTGATCAACCCTTTGATGCAGAAGTTACCTATGAATTAGATCCAAAAGAGAAACCAGGCTTAGTGTTCAGAGCTCCCACTCCTGATGAGGGCATGGTCTACTTCTGCAGGGATACATTCGAAGCGAATGTTACTCTTTCATTGTGGCACCTAGAATGGAATGGGGAAGAGTTTGTTCGCCTCCTCCCGCCAATCATTGACAAAGCAAGCAGCCACCAGTAAGTGCAGCTTTCGATTGCTTTTCGTCATTTTTTATCTAAGACTCAATCTTCATCCTTCACTCCTGCACCGTGCCAACAAATAGAGGGGGAGCCGAGATCGGTGGTAAGTATCAGATTCAAAATGAATTTCTAACGAAGCAAAAACTCCTCCTCACGTGCTTACTGTACCCAATTTAGGAGGACCTTGGTGGTCGGCTTGGATAAAAAGATCACAGTTGAAGCCAGCAATACGTACCTTGTTGCGCCTTCCCTTCAAACTGCAACGGCTTCGGAAAAAGTCGGATCGAAAGAAAAACAAAAGCAAAACATGATCTCGAGTATAGAGGGCAAGAGAGCGTAGAGCGTAGACTGACTACGACCCCAGCTACAAATAGATTACGGTATGTCCAATGCTCTTTCCAATAGGCTGTCCAAAGATGCAGATAAGAGTGCAAATTATGGAATGTTATTTTAATCGCATTTTACCCGAGCGTAAATGTACTTGACAAAGATCAAGCTAAATTGGAAGCCAGCACTTCCAAGCATCAAAAAGAAGCCGAAAGACATAATAGCCATGTATCCAAAATAGAACGATGATTGCAAGACACCGCTCATTCCGCTTCTGTGGAAGTAGTAGTAGAAGGAGTAGGCGTAGATGAAAACTCCGGTCATACCACCATTGACGTAAGCCGCCCACCACCAACGGTGATCTTCTCTTGCTAGTTGGAAGTACAAGAGAGCCACGGTGATGAAAGATGTAACAATGACCAAAAGCAGGAATGCAAGGAGAAGAATTCCGAAAAGAGTGTAAATTTGGTGTCCCCACATCGAGGCAAAAATGTAGTGTAGTTCGATGTAGATTGCAGAAAATGGCAAGAACCCAGCGATGATTACTTGGAATTCACGAGATCTGTACCAAGGGAACTCTGTAGGGATTTCGCGAGGGACCTTGCTGGTTCGAGTGGGAGCTCCAAAATCTGCGCTGGCGTAGTTCTTTGCAACGATTCCACCAAAAACAGTAAGGGGGAAAGCGATAAAGATAAACAAAGCTGTGACAGTCAAGATGGCAGTGACTGGAAGGGCACTAGTCGAGCCATGTGCCAATGCGATGGAGTTAACCCACAAGAAAACAAAGGTACATGGAGCAGGGAACAAGAGTGCGGTAGTAATGATGCACTGAACCCAATTTGTTTGCTTCATCTGTCTGAAAAGACGCACTGCCGTATATCCACCGATGAAAGATGTCAGACAGTACAAGACCACGCATCCAGCCAAGATTGATCCGCGTCGAGTGGTGGAAATCAGGCCAGTAAGTGCCAAACACAAATGGAAGAATGTAGTCAGCATAAGCTGGTTTCCGACACCAACAGCAGAGCAGAAAAGAACTGGGTTGATTGGGAATCGGAAGACATCGCCGTGAATAAGCTTCCATCCAGACTCTTCTTCGTCCATGACATCATCATCAAGTTCCATGTAACGGGAGAAATCATTCTTCAGCACTCTCAGAAGAATGATGGTTAGGAATGCGGTCAACAGCAAAACCAAAACAATAGAGTTGATGATTGACAGCCAGTGAATCTCAAAAGAGTTTGGCAAGAATCGAGATTGGGCATATCTGGTCATTCTGTTCTTCCAAGTAAGGTTCGGTTCCTCAAACCATTCAACAGAATAAGAGAATTGGACATGGTGGTTCACATCTTCTTTTGTAATATCAACCCGACGATCCAGCTAAACAAAGAGGGGTTATCAATGAGTCGAAGGTAATGTTTGGGCGTTTCGACGAGAAATGACAAGATCGAATCTTACATCAGTAGTGACCTTGGCAGAGACGACTTGATTGTTGTTGTGGCCAAGGAAGAAGTGAAGATGGGTAAAAAGGTAGACCTTGCTTCCTTCAACTTCTCCGACAAGAATATCCTCATCAGCGGTATCACCAACGTATCCCCACATTGGAAGGTCCTCAACAAACATTTCAAAAAAGTAGTTGTTGTGGATGGCATCCTTAAGCTTCTTCAAGTCAGCTGGCGTGAGAAGCTTCTTACACAACAGACGCCACTCAACACTATCAGCAAAGGAAATTTCATAAGGGGAAGTCTCCCGGCGATCTCCGACCATGGATTCTCCAAAGCGTTGTTTGTGACTCAATTTACCCTCACGTTTTTCTGATTCTAGGGCAACAATCTCAACATTTTCCACTTCAGCAGCCTCAACCTCCTCTTCTTCTGTTGAATGCTCATGGCAGAATGGTAGAGAGTAGTATCGATAGGTCTCCGTTGGGTTATTGAAGGGACTAAGACGTGATGGAAGGAAATCAATCGAAAAGATGAATCATTGCTATCATAGTCATTTTCACGTAAATAAACTACTGGGTCTACGCAAGACTTACCCGACTTTGTTGACCACAATGTGAACAGCTTCGTGTTCCTTGTACTTCTTTCCGGCCTTGACTCTTCTCACTTTAACACCATCGGTGAAGGTAGAGAAGCACACCAATGACAGTAGCAGCAATAATCGGTTGTACACCATGGTCGTCAAATATGTTGTTCAAATGACGATCATTATTGTCTAGCGGAGATCATGCTGCTCCGTCATTTTTGGGTCGATCGAGTCGATAGGATGAAGGAGATTGGTTAGTTTCATAGCAATAAGTCTTTGCAGTAGAGGTAGAGTGTTACAGTATATCTCAGAGAAAGTCTTGGAAATTTTCAACAACAAGCAAGGTCTTCATGGTTTGACTAGAAAATGTCTGTGCTGTGTCTCTCCTCGTAAGACATGTTCGCGAGTTTTAAAATACCAACTCAAGGTACACGTACACTACGTAATAGAACAACAAACTTTCTACATTTTTTGTGCTGTTGAGGCTGTTGAGTCATAGTATTCCATTCCACATTTCAATTTGCTATTTTCGGTTAGCTACAAAATTGATATATATTTATTCATCAAAAGAGAATTCACTGTCCGAGCCATCGTCGTCGAATGTGTATGATGCCGTCTTGGTGGTCTTGCGGGCACGGGAAGCAACTCGACGAGCAGGCGGTTTCTCATCCATGACAGCCGGCTCATTCTCTTCTTCATCGCTGGAAGCATCGATGAAATCGTCCTCAGAGTCAGAGTCTAGAACCATTGTTTTCTTTGGAGCAGGTTTCTTCTTTGGGGCTGGCTTCTTTTTTGCTGCTGAAGTGGCTGCTTTGGCACGCTTCGATTTTGGCTTGGGCACTTCTTCGACATCACTATCCGATTCGCCATTTCTTGGCGACGGACGCTTTCGCGAGCTATCGCTGTCTTCGGAATCTGAAAATGTAGGTTGAGCAGGAACTACGAGACTGTCCATCACCGGCTTGCGGGCCTTGGAGGTTGGAGGGGAAACCAGAAGCTTCTTTCCTAGTCTTTCAGCCAAGGACATCTCGATTTCATCGCTTTCTTCATCCTCTTCAACAGCCTTGGAAACTGGCTTCGGTGCTATTGTCTTCTTTGGTGCTGTCTTTGGTGCTGCCTTTGGCTTGGTGGCCTTTTGTGTGGTGGACTTGCCAGAAGCACGTTTTGTTGCCGGTTTGGCTGCAGCTGCCTTTCGTTGCTTGGGTACTGTGACTTTGACAACTTCTTCGTCAGAGTTGTAGGAGTCTTCTTCTTCATCAGAGTCTTCCGTATCGGAATCCCATTCGTCAGACTTCTTCTTGCCACGCTTGGCTGCAGCCTTTTTCTTCTGTTGATGCTTTTTGTTTTTCTTTTGCGCCTTTGACTCGTTTGCTTCGTCCTCTCGAATCCCATCGTCTCTTTCACCAAGGGCAATCTCGATGGCTTCCAAATCGCTCAACCAAATCTCACTTGGCTTGGTATTTTCGAGGGTTCTCAATTCCGCAGTACGCTCTTCAAGTTGGTTGCGAAGTTCTTCAGCCTTCTCGTATGTGAGAGACCAGATCTTCATTCCAAGCAAATATTCGTATCCCTTGGATAGATTAGCGGTTGAAGGCTCTTCTTCAGCGTCGTCTTCGTCGTCGGCATTGCTGTGAGTGTCCTTTTTGTCGAACAGTTCGTATCCTCGCTCCTGAAGGTCCTCAAGGAGCTCGATCTTCTTTCGATTGCTGACCACAAGTTCTCCAGAGCAGACTTCCTCTACGAATCGTGCCTTGTTGGAGAGCATATTTTGCTCACGACGGAGCCTTTGCAGCATCAACTCCTTTCTATCACAATAATATTTCATTCGAAGATCAAAGAACTCCTTCAAAATATCTTCGGGAGTAGCATACTTGTTGATAGTTCCTTCGGTATCAAAGAGATGCATGTTTGCAGAAGAAAGCGATCCAATCAGCTTGAATTTGGCGAACAGCCCACCCTTTGGAAGCTTTTCCCATTCATCAATCTTCTCCTTATCAGCCTTGATGGTGAATGAAACAGTAGCATCGGTATGGTTCTCCTGGAATGTCTTCAATTCAGGATCGACGTTTTTGGTCTGCGAAACAGTCATTTTTTCGAGGAACTCCTTGTAGTCTTGGGTCCACTTCTTAATTGGGAGTTCTGTAATTTGCAGCGTGGTGTCATCCATACGCTCGATATTTCCGTGAACAGCAAACTTCGAATCGCCATTTGTTTTTATCTGACCAGAGAAGCCGCTGTAGAACGGCATCATTGTCTCCAACTCTTCCCCTTCGATGAGACGGCGAATGTTTGAAATGATAGTGCGAGGGTTGTACGTTGGGACAGTTGAGGACCAACCAGTTCCAATACCATCAGAACCATTCACAAGCACCATTGGAATAACAGGCATGTAGTGTTCAGGTTCGATCGACATTCCATCATCATTCAAGTACGTTAGGAGCTCATCATCATCGGGATGGAAGATAGCCCTGGTGATCTTTTCCAACTTGGTGAAGATGTAACGTGGGGACGCCGCATCCTTTCCACCCATGCGACGAGTACCAAATTGACCACTTGGCGTGAGCAAGTTGATGTTGTTGGACCCAACAAAAGACTGCGCCATGTTGATGATGGTTCCATGGAGAGATGCTTCTCCATGATGGTAGGCCGAATGTTCACCGATATAACCTGCCAATTGGGCGACCTTAATTTCATCCTTGAGCTTGCGCTTGAAACAAGCAAATAGAACCTTTCTTTGCGAAGGCTTGAAACCGTCCATGACATGAGGAATGGAACGCTCGCAATCAGATTTGGAGAAAAGAATGAGTTCCTTGTTGATGAAGTCCGAATACTTCATTCCAGTGTCGTGAGATGCGGAATAATCAAGGAAGGTGTCCTTCTGCAAGCTATTCAGCCACTTCTTACGGTCGGTGACACGTTTCTTGCTGAAGACCATATCAATGAGGTCAGCTCCTGTTGCAGAAGATACAGCTGGATCAGGAACTGGTGCTAGTGCGTTGAAATCATCATCCATGTCATCCACAACCAATGGATTTTCTTGGGATCCAAGATCGGTTGAGAGTGGCACAAATGGGATTTCGTGCATGTCAAGATTCGAGAAGTACTCCTTGGCTTCTGCACTAGTCGAGGTACCAAGACCCTTATAGTACTTGATCTTCCATCCCTTTCCATCATTTCCAGTGGACTCTCTCCAATTGTTATATTGAGGAAGTGTGAAGAAAGTTTGGGTCGCTTTTCCCTTAGAGATCTTGACAATGGGTGTAATGAACTGCTGGAGGAATCCAGGGACGTCCAACAACGAAGGCCAAAAGTTGTGAATCATATTCACGACAAGGCCCTTGATGTGAGACCCGTCATGATCTTGATCAGCCATGATCATCAGGTGCCCGTATCCTGCGATGACGTGACAAGTGACAATATGAGAAATGAGACGGGGAACGTAGCAAGGTAAAACAAAAACAATCCATTCAGTGAAGAGTACTTACGAAGTGTCTTGATGTTTGATTCATCGTAGGTAGCTCCAATCTTCAAACCAAGAATCTCAATGATATTCTTGATCTCTTCGTTCTTCAAGACCTGAGTATGATTGGCATCACGAACATTCAATGGCTTTCCGCGCAATGGAAAGACCCCATAGTGGTCTCTGCCAACTACCGAAAGCCCGGACATGGCCAATGACTTGGCAGAATCTCCCTCTGTGACGATGAGTGTACAATCCTTGGACTTTGCACCCCCCGCAAAGTTAGCATCATCAAGCTTTGGAATTCCAGTGAGCTTAATTTTCTTGACGCCCTTGATTTTCTTAAGCTCACGGCCTTGCTTGAATTTTGCGAAGGAAAGAATGGTCTCGACAATATCACTCTTCTCCACTGCCTTGAGGAACTTTTCGCTCAACTTGCAGGTAGATCCAAATTGCTTGGGTCTGGTAGTGAGGAATTCCTTGGTTTGACTGTCGAAGGATGGGTTCTCCACAAGACAGTTGACGAAAACGCATAAGTGATTCTTGATGTTTCCGCTTGATACAGCAGTTCCACCCTTGTTCTTCTTCTTGATAGTTTGGACAAGACGAGCAGCAATCTGATCGGCAATGTAGTTTACGTGACCTCCTCCCTTGGTGGTAGAGATAGCGTTCACAAAGGAGATTTGCTGGGAAGTACCATCGGTGGAAGAGACACCGACTTCCCAGCGATCCCCGACCTTCTCGTAAGCACATGGAGCATTGATACCATCAAATAGCTTGAGGTAATCTTGGAAGGATTTCACGGCTATTTTTTTCCCGTTTAAAGTGACTGCTAGCTTCTTGCCAGGGCGGTTGACCATACTTCCAGCGATATCGTAGGCACGCTTGGAGAGCAAAGCGACAGTATCTTCATCGAGCTCGGTCATCTTGAACTTGGCAAGATCAGGAGAGAAGCTAATCTTGGTGTAATCTCCACGCTTTTTTTCGGCAGCTGTGCACTTCTTGACGCTTGGTTTTTCTTTTACTACCATATTGTTACGGAAGGTTTGTGTGAATTTGAGTCCATTGGTAGAATCCAAACATTCAATGATGAATTCAGTCGAGAAGATGTTGGCAAGCTTCGCTCCGTATCCATTCCGACCCCCCGTGGTCTTCTGCTCGTCGTCGTCAAAGTTGGATCCCGTCAACAAATGACCAAAGATCAATGTAGGAACGTAGCAGTCGTGCTCTTTGTGCATAACAACGGGAATTCCCTTTCCGTTGTTTTTCACCGAAACAAGATTTGCTGCGGCATCGATGGTAATATCAAGCTTGTCCATGTTTTGATCTCGTTGCTTGTTGTCGGCAGCATTCACAACAACTGCAAGAGATTGGGCAAATGGCAAAAAAAAGAGCGCGGTGAAGTGAGACTGACTGATTGATGATATCATTTGTGGAACAAGCAGGCAAGTAGGACATGTCAATACTGTATGTCAGTTCAATGTTCACTTACTTTCATCAAAGATCTTGAAAAGACCAGGAGTGTATGTGATTTCGCGGTTGACAATGCGGCCATTGTTCTGATCCAAAACGAACATGTTTTGCTTCAAAGGCTCGACGGATCCAATGTAGGTATCCGGACGCAACAGAATGTGTTCGAGTTGAGTTTTCTTTTGATAGGTTTCTTCAATGGTCTTGTTCTTGCCCTTGCCCTTACTTGTGTTAGCAAGGTTCTTGTTGGGCGAGAGCACCGAAAGTGCGGCAGAAGCAGGCATCGACCCCTTTGTGCTCTTGGCCACAGGGGGAGCCACATTCTCCTCGTCGTCGCTCATGAACGAAGCGTCGCTCACCTCGCTTTCGTCGTCATGGAGGAAGCTCATGTCACTATCAACACAAGCCATGATCTTTCTTCTATAGATTCTTGTAGGTGCGGTGCTGGACTAGACGTTGCCCTTGGATTGTTTGATGAAATTGTGGCAAAGAAAACGAAGTAGAGTTTTGGTCCGTGATGGAAATGTGAACTGAAATTCCCGTTGCATTCTACGACAACTTCTACACCTCGACTGGTAGGGATTATTTTTTTAGCCAACAGCTCTTCGCATTCTCCATTTCCCCGAAAAACATCCCTCCAAGAAGGCAAAAATAGTCTTCGCCATTTGACATTACAGTAGTCATTGACATCGTTCGAAGAGAACTTGTTACAGTGGTTTACCATTTACCAACAGTTACCAGGACAGGTACTGCCCCATTGTCAAATGGGCGGACGCGCAACCCATGACACGAAAAACGATAAATGTGGATCGAATCAAGATATTAAGAAATTAGAGGACGTTCTTGGTCGCTTCTTGTTCGACAACAAACAACGGCCAGAAGCCAACAGCAGTGAACGGGTATGCTAGTAGTTCTAGAGGCGTTTGCGGCTACTAAGCTCCGAAGATCTGAAGTAACATCTCCATCACCAGCAGGCCATTTATCCAGCGCCTGAATTTCTGCTAGTGACTAGACTACTGTCAATTTTTCATCAAGGATCCAAGATTGTTGGTTTTGCCATGTTGTGTCCGACTTTGTCCGTCAGTTTTCGGATGGATCTTTTCACCTGCACAACGTCATCATGGTTCATATCCTTCGTTCGTGTCTCACACACATCAGTTCTCACACATAGATCTAAAAGCAAAGGAAAACCATGGTCACTATCACCGAAGGAGTTGAATTCGATACTGTTGCCCGTGAATGGCGCTGCAAGTGGTCTCCTGACGCTGACAAGAAGTCCCTTCAAGAAGCACAAAAGCTTCTTAACGACGTCTTGAAGGACATCAAGGCTGTGGACGGAGTGAAGGATGTCCAACGCGTTGTCTGCGGTGGCTGCATGGATTTCAAGGTCATTACATCTTTACCAGCAGACAAGTTCGGAGATTGGGAGGCTGCCAAGTTTGCTCCTGAGGAAAAGTTCCTTGAAAAGCTCAAGGCAATCGACGGCGTCAGTCTAGTGGAGACTCAAACCTTCACTTTGATGCCCATGTAAATCCAAATGATTTTCTCGCCTCTCTAAACTAGATTCAAATTTCTTGTGTGGAGGCAACCACTTTTGTGAGTGGTGTTCAAGCCAACGCAATATGACCTAGATTTCCCGCATACCTCCAGAATTATAGGATCACATTGCACACACACACAAAGACTTTTTACTTTATGTTCATCTACAAGAGACATGGCTGAATTGCTTTTGATTGACTGACTCGTAACTTTTTTTATTTTGAACTGAACCAACTGCAAACACTACTTTGGACTCCACATGCCAAGCCTGGTGAGAAAAAGAGAGAAGAAGGCAAGCAGCGGTTAGAAAGTCAGTGTCACTAAAGTCCTGCACAATAATGGTCCAATCGAAAGAATGAACCGTCGAGTGAAGAGCACCTACCTTGTTTCAAATTGCAGCCTTCGTAGCTTTTCAGCACGATCCAGCAGAGACCCGTCTTTTCCTTTCAGCAACTCCACCCAAAACAAACAGATGAATGGCATTATCCCGTACAAAAGAAAGCAGTACCATGGTAGACTACTGATTTCGGCATCTTGAGCAACCAAATACACAAACAATACTGCAAGTGCTATTACCAAAAGGTAAAGCGTTACCCAAACGTAATTCTTACTCCATGGCCGTTCGTCGAAAATAGACTTGGTTCTGTGAATAAAAGCAGCAGAAGTCACGGTTGTACAGATGACGAAAGTCGAAAAAGAAACAGCCGAGGCGTAGACTCGGGCATCGCCAGAGTAACCGCGTAGGCCAGTACATCGGATCACCTTGAACCAGTCGCCAGTACTCAAGTTTGGTGCACATGCCGAGTCGAGTAGGACAGGTTCCAGTTGGATCATGAACTCTCCAAAACAAATCAAATAGATCAGTTGCGGTAGCACTGCAGGGGGAATTGATTTGTGAATTCCATGCCAACTCAAGGCCTTTCCCTCTTTCTTTCCAAATGTAATTGTGGGGTCATTCTTTGGAGGTACTCTATCCATCGAACTGCTGCCAGGATCGCTCAGGGAAATGGGAAGTCCAATCAATGGAAGCAACAGTTGCAAGTAAAACACAGCCCATATGATGGGAATACTCGGAAGGGTTGTGGATACGGAGCAAACGCTGCAAAAAATATAGAAGGCAAAGGATAGGTAGCCGAAAATCAGGTAAAGTGCTGAACCTGTGGCCGCCTCCAGCGATGCTCGGCCATGAGCAAGTATTGTGGGCATATACGCTAATGAGGCAACCCCCCGAAGTTGAAAAGCGCAGAGATGCCCAGAAATGGCCGCGACAAAATCAATCTCGGACGGAAGCAAAGCATTGTAGTTACACTGCATCGAGGGAGTCTTCTTGAAAGAGTCGGTCAACACATCAATTCCCACAGCAAGGTCAGCGGTCGAAAAAATTCGAGAATTGCGTGGAAGGTGTGCCAACCCCACGGTGATGACGGTATCATTGTAGTCCTGAAAAGTCCTGACCATCTAGATATCATTGTGGTAGAGAAAAATGCATAAGCAGGCAGTAATCAAGTATTATTGTCCAACATGATGCATAACATACCTCCTTGGTTGTCTCTTTTGTGACATCAGTGAAAAGACTAACCAGCAAAGGAACATTGTCCACTTCCTGGAGATGCTGTCTGACACTATCGATTCCATGTGGAAGTTTTGCGTTCACATCCCAGTCAGCATAGTTTGAGACCATTCTGTGAGGATCCTCTTTTCCCTGATCCAGAGGACGGAGCGATATTGCACAGTTCCAGGCCACATCAATGCCCATCTGTGAAGCAATTTCCTTTGTCAAACGCATATTTCGAGGAGAGAAATATACAAATCTCACTCCGGCGTCTTGCAGAGTGCTCAACAAACCTTCAGTTTCTTGCCGTGGAATTACAGGTGACCCAAGGACACCAAGAAAGATCTGATTGAACAGTTGCGGCCATTCGGACTCTATGGCAATTTTGCTCCGCACAACAGGAAGAATACTTTCGATGGGATCATTGTCTAGCAAGTAGAACTAGAAATTTGTTAGTTGGCAAAACCGACTTCGGCATGGCTGGTTTCTTGTGCTACTCACTTTTCTGGATGATGGGTCTGAATCAAGCAATCTTCGGGCAAAATTGGGAGGGATGGGGGAGTAACTGAATGCTGTTGAATCCAAATCTCCAAGTTTCCAGCCCTTGCTTGTTTCCAGGATCGTTGATCGATCGTGGGCAGATAGAGGCAATATCGTTGCATTCTCTCCCTGCCACGCTTGTGGGCACATCCTTGTAACCATCCTTGGATCACCAACTGTTAAAAGCTGATAGGATCCAGTTCGAGTGTCTTGGACGATAACTGATGTTGAGGCTGGCCGCAAGTAACCCCAACAGCGAGATTCTTCGGATCCAATTTCATGGGAATCTATTTGCAAGCTCTCCGTCAATCGTGCAGTACTAACGACATGCATCCTCTCTTTCTCGCTAAAAGGCGAAATGTCACCCCGTTCACCCTCGATCGTCTCCTTTGTCGAAAAACCGATACATCTTGCAAGCGATCGAAGCTGCATGCGACGTTGCTCGGCGCATATGAGGCGTACAAGATCTGCTTTGAGCGCATCCAGGGATCCGGATCTGGCATCTAAGCTGGTTCCTGCTCCGTCAGAAAAAGTGCAATCATTCTCGTCAATCAACATACATGCGAGACCAATGCACTTGAGTGAAGGAAGATGCTGCCACCAAAGGGGATCTTCAAATTGAACTTCGTTGTCTCGATCGTCGCTGCTTGATGACGATGAGTCGTCGTCGGCATCAAAGCTCCTTCCACTCTTTTTGGTGCGCGCCTTTCGAAGCAGTCTTCGACGTTTCCGGCGACTACGAATATAGTGATGATGATTCTCTAGACCACTGCCAGATTCCGAATCCGAATCGTTCCATTCACCATCTTTTTCCTTGCGTAAATCAGTCGACGTTTCGTTTTCATCGCTGTCACTATCAGATTCGTAGTTCGGGCACAAATCCAGCAGTTTCAAACCCTTTTCCGAAGGAATTAGGAGTTGTTGTGGTATCGCATGTGGCTCACATACCAGCTCGTCGTCAACAAGTGTAAAGGCAGTTGCTACCCCTAGCTTTTCCAGAAGATTTAACGATGCCGGTGGAACTCTCACCAACGCGGAGGCTCGTATTGCACCACCAACTCCTGCAAGAAGAGGATGACACAAGTGTGAGAGCTTACATCCTATCTTAAGAAAGATATCGTTGAGCGATAACCGATTCAATATCGTCGCAATAAAATATCGAAAAACCAACATGTGAGTGTCAACGAAACTCTCTGGTAGGATCTCGTCTCGCCTGATCGCGACAGGATGGTATGATGCCAGAATTCGCGCTGTACCTATGGCCTCCATACAGACCACGCACATTGTTCCCACAAAGGGAAACAACCCGATCGAAGCCAAAAATGGAAGGGAAATTGTGCTATAAAGATTTTGACTTTTGTCATATCGACCGATCAGAACTGCACTTGTTGCGATGAATACGACAACCCCAACTATGGCAAGCCGACCACGAATGGTCAACAATTGCCTGGCCACTTGAGGTTGTCTTGAACGCACTATACGAAAATCAAGGAAGGCTGGTGAATGAATACGATCGAATCAGTGCATCGTTGGCATATCATCTTACCGTTCCTTTGAAGTAGGAATGTTTCCAATGGAGTATCCAATACAACAAATATTCTCATGTTGTTACATAAGGTAAGAAGATGGTCTGAGTCATTATTCAGCGTGCTTCTTCCCCGCGGCAGGGTACCAAGCACTGAGGCTGTCCCCTCCCCAAAGGTATCAAGGGTGATGCGTTCCCCTGCACCTATGACCTGGCCGTTTTCAATCAGTCTACAATTCGCTGGTGCCGTATCACCAATTTGCATCGCAATATGATCACCATGAACTAGAAGAAGGGAGGGAATTCGACCCCAGGAGCCTCCAGATACTGCGCCATCCAATGTTGACCGGAATCTGTACACCCAATGAATGTCGTTGAATGAAGATCCTTGGATGTTCAGACCGTCATCAGACTTTTCCTCTGTAGGATATCCCATTGCTTCGTCTTCTTGTTTGTCTAATGCCTTGAGAAATCTTGATATTTCTCGTCGCTTCAGATTGTCGCTTCCTTTTGAAGTTGAGAATTTCCGTCGTCGAATCACCCAGAGATTGACTACAAACCCAGAGAATAAAATGACAGATGCCACCAATTGCGATAATCTTGAATCTTCTTCAACAGGCCCGTATAAGTAGCCAAAAATGCCAATCGCAAGAATAGCCAAAGAAGCCCCGAAAGCTCCAATGTAGATATCTAAATTCATGTCCACCCACCACCGAACAGATCTTGGAGATTCATGAATTCGATCGGGTTGATACGATTCATCGCGGACATGAGATTGAGCAAGACGGCGTTCCAAACAGCCTTTCAGCCGGTGCCTTGCTTCTTTCCATGAAATAGGAACATATTCCCGTCTGCTTGATTCCATAACTTTTCGAATGAAAGCTTGCCACCATATACCGGTATCATCAGCAGATCTTCGAATTGTTATTTAGTCGAAGTAATCGATTGTCAATAATTGCAAGGCAATTGTACTGGTATTAATACCTTCTATGCTAGTGCCAGGCGCAGTACTGTAGGAAGTGCCCATCTTGAAGCTTGAATGTGGCCATCAAACAATGAGGTAAATGAAATCTAATTTACTTTGCTGTGTAATCGCAGTGTGTTCATTTTTCATCCATGTCAACCATCTGCTCGGATGATGATGTTGGCAACCGTTGATAATCCCCTGCCAAGATTTCGCCTGGGATTCGTCCACCAAAGACCATAACTTCTCCGGTCTGGGCATTGAGGGCAGCCTCGTGCCCACATCGCTTTGGACCGCAGTCCTCCACAAAGAATTCACTTCCACTACCTCCGGGAGATGCTTTGGGTCCCTTACTCCATGTCCAAGTGCTAGTGTCCAACAAGAAGCTACCCTTGAAGATGTTGTCTTCACCACCATTGGTGTCTTCCTCGTTGGGATCCCATCCTCCGTAGAAGCAAATTGTCTTCCCATCATCCAAAAGCGTAGCAGAATGACCAGTTCGTGGAAAAGGTGCCTTTCCAGCGCAGACGGGATTTGACCATTTCCAGACGTTTTGTTCACTGGATTCCAAAACATGAACCGAATTGAAGCAGCTTGTCTTGTTGTTTCCACCAAAAACAACCAGCTTGTAGGTATCGCCTTTGCCCTTGACTGCAGTTGTTGAGTGATAGGAGCGCGGCTTTGGTGCCAAACCTGCAACATATGACAAAATGCAACAAGGTTTAGAATCGATGCTGTCGGGGGTGGTACGTTTCATTTCTTCCTCATGACTTACCTTCCACTTTCGGAGCGGTCCAAACCCAACGAACGGTATCCAATACACTGACAGTGTTGAGCCATCTCGCACCCTTGACTCCTCCAATGAGCACCAACTCGTTGGTGTTTGGAAGCAAAGTAGCTGTGTGACCGCTGCGTCCTGTTGGAATGTCCCCACTCACCGCTGGCGGGTACCACAACATAATGTCGGTATCGAGGCACTTCAAACTATTGCTGGTAATAACCTTGTTCTTCTTGATTGGATCCATGGTCTCTCCACCAAAGGTAATGAGAAGTTGACGCTAATGAGATAAGAAGATGTTAGAACGAGCACTTTGGAACTCACACGACCTTCATGGATACCAAACGAAAACTAACCTCTGGAAGATACGTGGAAGAGTGCCATTGACGCATATCACCACGGCATTGAATGGGTTTGTTCCAAGAGCCATTAGTCATATCATAGACGTGGACATCATCTAACATGACGGGATTGCCTTCCAAGTCAAAGGATTGGCCTCCATAGATCAAAACCTTTTCGCCATTGATCTTGGTCATCGAGTGACCCCATCGAGGGCTAGGAGAAGGATGGACTCGAGGAATGGCACTTGGTGACTCTGCTATGCTCTCCTTAGCTTCAGTTGAAATCTTGTCGTCGTCCATTTTAGTTTCACTTTCTGCCTGAGTCGTTTCTTGAGGTGAATTTTCCGCGAAGACGGAATCGTCGTCGTCTTCCATTGGAACAGTCGCCACAGAGTCGTCGTCATTGCTGTTATTCACCCGATCCAAAATGTCTCGAACTGAAGTGCTGGATTGTACGTCGCTATGACCACTGGATTGGGTTCGTTCTTGTTGCATGAGAGGATTGCTCATGGCAGCATCATCAGCTTGTGAGGACATGGTTTGTGACAAATCCGGTTGGGTTTGTGTTGCTTCTTGTGTTGGCTTTTCAGTCTGACCCAGGTTCGGGGGTTCATGATTGATTGCCTTGCGACTCTTCTTAGCACTGGCACTGGGAGTTACCAATTCGACAGTACGCTTGCTCTCCTTGTTGGTCTTCTTGGTAGTGGAGGTTGTCTTGACGAATGACAATTTGGTTTGACTAGCCTTTCCTCGCTTTGATTTTGGTCCAGAGGGAAAAACTGGAGACTCCACTTCAACAGTAGCGGTGGGTTGCTTGTACTTGGGGGAGTCGGCGGCAGTGATAACCTCGCCCTTTAAACTGACCTTGATAGAGCCAGTAAACGAAGAGAGTGACAACAAGACTTCGTGTCCGTTTCGCTTGTAGGAAAGTCCAGCGTCATTGTCGGAGGGTGTGAGCGAGAAAGTCACACCACCAACAGTAAGTGTCAATTCGGAAGGATCTGCGACGACAGGGGCCATGTCTGGACCAGAATTCGTTTCTTCTACCAGTGTTGGCATCGTTTTGGTTATAAAAGGAGTTTGTGTGTTTCCACAAATTGGAAAGTTGAGCAAGTATTTTGTGGTAACCCGGGAAGTCGAAATTAAATTTATGGCGCGCGATAAAGAAATAAAGAAGGGGAGAGTCACAACCCTCATACGTTGCGTCCCCCTTTAGACAGCTTCAAGTCAGGAGCAGCAAAGCAATAAGGCAGCACTCATCCCTACTGTAGACTTCAGCTAGGTGCAGCGGTTTTTGATATTGGTAACCTCTAGACTCCAAATATTTTTTTGTTTCCGTTGTTTAATTTAGCTGCAACTTCTACATTGATGAATCAATGATGATCCCATCAACTTCAATGAACCAGTTCCAAAAACAGCGTTGAGGCCAGATCGAGCCCTTTTGCGATACTTCTAGTCTATCCACAAAGTACCAAGCGTTTTCACTCTCTTTCAGCCATGTAGTGCTCATGCTTTGAGTCACCAATGCGTCATTCGGAGTGAGCGTTTTGATACCGTTAAAAGACTGGAAGTGTCACATCCAAGCCAAATCCCCTCGAAACGACACATATTAAAAACCCTTTCCGAATGCTTCCTGTTCTAAGGTTTGCAAAACCATGCCTCGTACAGAGACTTGGAAAAAAGTAAATCATTCTCTCAATATCAGACCGCAATAAGGCCTGGTGTTCCAAAGATTACTCCACACCCGGAAATGACTGTGAAAACTGGGTGCAGAACGAAAAGAGAGTATGCGGTGGGACAACTTTATCCACTGATTCCACACTTATCCTTTTCATTCCACCCGAAGATTCACCACCTGCCTAAAGTGCGGTTATAAACCGCTCACTGTGTATTTCAGGAGAGAAAATTCATTAGATGAGGAATACATACTTCTATCAAACTCAAATGATTGCAACCACATCGACGCATACCTGGACAGGCGGTTTGCCCGGCTCATCCCATGCAGAAGCCGCACTTGCGGGCAGGGGAGATGTTGGTATCCTCAGCAATGTTGGGGTTGTCCAACAAGGATTCCTGACCAAAGGTCAAGAACTCGGGCTTGGCGGGACCTTCAACTTGGTAAGGGGTGGCAGGGCGGAAAAAGGCGGCTGCGGCACCAATAAGGATGGCAAACAAGATGCTGGTGATGGCGTTCTTCATGATGATGATGGTGATGATAATGCTAGACTTGGGTGATTCACTTTTGTATGAGCAATCGTTGAATGGAAAGCAGATGAAAATCCAGAAAAATTATTGACACCCCCAACGTACCACCACGTACCTCCGTTACCTACATGTACAACCAGTACTGCAGTCTACATTATCCCGATGCAAACTTGAGAAGACGGTCGTCAGAATTCTTCCGACATTCGATTAGTTCGACCATCTTTGGATCGAAAAGGTCAAATATAGATTGCAGCAACAACCGACCCTGCCAACAAATCTGCTCTTCAGTAATAGACTGCTTCTCGTACAGCTGGACATAGCACCAAATATTCCGCGACATAATCATGCTAACAGACGGCCGAAAGTTGAGTTTACTTGCAGCATGCTTAGTTTTCTGCATTGGAAGTTACTTTACTTCCTCAAGTGTAGACATCAAAAAGCTTTCTCCGAGGTACTTTGAACATTGCTTGGTTCCAAACCAAACCAAGAAAGCATGTCATAGAAAGGATATTCCTTCTTGTAGTGAAGAAGACGCGGGAGCTGAAAAATGTCATCGGGTGGTATCAGAAGCCTATCGTAGTATTAATCTGCGTGGATGCCCATGGGAGTTGAGAAGCGTAAGCGCTTGCGAAGCTGAGTGGTGTACCACGTCACGCTCCCGAGGAGACCGTTCCTGTGAGAGAGAATGCACTGGCGTCAGAGAGAATCTCGCCAGTTGCGTCGATCGGCAGATACAACAGTTTTTCAAGAAACGAGGGCTCGACTCTGACGGAACCCCAAACTAGTGGAAGGTTTTGGTGATTGGTGAATCAACCAAGGGATGGTCAAATGATGAGCAATCTATAGGTCCTCGTCGTAATATTCATCACCTTCCGAGGCTTTACTTGTTTCTGATGCATCCCAGTAATCATCTCGAAACAGTTGCAAGACTTGTTGACGCTTGACATCGCCGTCGGTCCAATTGCAAAAGTCTTCAGCCAAGCTGGCAGCAATGTCATCCTCACTGTCGCTGGCTTGTTCTCGCAACCACTTGACAATTTCCACACGTCCAAAGGCCACTGCATGAGTCATTGGTGTATTTCCACCGTGGTTTGGCTGGTAAAAGTCAACACCTACAGTGTTTTTCAAATATTTGCAAATTTGCAGATTGCCACCAGAAGCCGCCCAATGTGCACACGTGCAACCATTGCGATTTGCTATTTGAAAGTCAGCACGATGCCGAACCATTAATTTGACAGTGTCCAAGGTTCCCGACCAGCTGGCCCACATGAGTGGAGAATTACCGTCGTATGTGAGTTGATTGACCTAGAAAGAAAACTCAGTTAGGTGCTGATCATGTTAATGACAACGAAGTGCCACTGTTTGAGAGAAACTTACCAACGTCTTTGGATCCCCGCACGACAGAATATAATGGCAAACGTCAATATGCCCACCGGTACCAAATTCCTTGGCATTGGCACCAGCTACAGCCCAGTGAAGTGGTGTGGCACCATCTCGTTCGGTCAATTCCAAGACCTGCTTGGGAAAGTACTCCACCAAGAGGCTGACGGCATCCATGTTACCAGTTCCAGCTGCCCAGTGCAACAAGGACACTCCACGATTATCTCGTTCCAATGGATTGGCGCCGTGTTGAATCAATACGTCTAAAATTTCAGCAGAAGTAACATTGATGTGTTCGAGTGGCCATGTATTGTTGAATTGACATAGTTCGTCTCTCGATGCAGCCAACGCACCTCGTCCAAACATTGCAACAAATGCATCTATTTGTTTCGGTGTAATCATTGCATCCTTACTGTTGTCTCGCCACTGATTGCACAAGGCGCAAAATCGTTTCGTCTTACGAGATGACAACAAAAACTGTTGAAATCGAGTTTGGTCCAGAATCAACTCAAGTCCATGTGGTAGTCCTTTGTAGACAAGGAAAGCATGTTTCGGCGCAATCGTCCGCTCCAATCGTGCTCCAAAAAACTGCGGTGGGATATTTTTGTGAAAGTCAGAAGAAGTCAAGTCATTCAATCCCATGGTTTCTTGCAGGAATCGCACTTTGGGATGTAGGTGTCTTGATGCATTGAGACCCAACAAAGGTGGAAAAGAGGCATTCATTTGGAGGATCGTGTCTTCTGAATAGTACTGAGAAAGATATTCCAAACTAGTCATGGATTGGATTTTTGGATCTTGAGGTTGACGGAAAAGGTATTTATATCGATGGTTCATTCTTCTAGCCAATCTAGGGCCGTTGGCTCGTTGTTCATGTGGCCGAATGTCTGGCATCAGTGATGATTCCATGGGTCGTACTTCGATTGAGAATGAGGTGCATTGGGGGAAGTAGCATAGCCAAAAGGAAAGCACTAGGAATCTTAAGCAACTTTGAACCATTGATGATTTTTTTTTGATAATGTTCCATTCACCATCACCCTATTGTAAATAAATTGAAATTGTTTTATGGCTTTGACATCTTCGCGAATGAAGGCCAGAAGCGCATTTTCGACCACATCGAACTCTTTTGATTTGAACAAGCAATCACGCTGGCCATTCTATTATTGTACTCGTACGGTACGAGCAAATACATGAATTCACAAAGACAAGCAGACACATAGTAGCAAGGGAAAACAAGGGGATCATTGAAGGGAAGGTGTATCTTTCAGCGACTCGAGTAACCACAGGGAGGAACTCCGCCACACGAAACAATTCAGCATTGGCTTACTGGCTTTCATTTTTTAAAGTGACGATCATATGCCAACACCTGACACCACAGTGCAAATAGACCTTGGTCCTATCGTTGTTCAGCTTCAACCTCCAAGCCCAAGGAGGATGTCAAAGATATCTCGTCAAGCACAGCCGCAAACGCGGAGGTGGATGATACTGGGTGGTTTTATAATTTTGTTCGCTGCGATACGGATGTTCGTCGAAGAGAATGATCCCATGACCGAAACGCCAACCGCTTCATCCTCAAAAGTGCCGCCTAGCCACACCAAAACATCAAAGGCGGCAAGTCAAGAAGAAACGAAACCGAGGTCATCATCATTTGATATCAATGGTCCACCACCAGTCGAAAAAGAAACTGTCATGAGCAAAACCTTTAGTTTGTTCGATAGTTCCTCCAGCAAAAATCATGTTCTCCGAAAAAACTCGAAAACCAATGGTGGAGAAAGGTCGCTGTTCCAGCCTACTGCGGAAACAAAAACAACGAAAAGTGCGAATGCTAATACAGACGATGAAGTTCCGCATGCTGCTGCTGGAGTGATTCCAACTGCTGCCGAGGCTCTGCTGTGTCCTGATTCGGTGGTCGACTATGTCATCAATGCCACAGATCTCAAGGATGAATGTGATGGCCTAAGAAATGCGTTCAGCAAGTACTGCGCAGATACCGAAGGTTCCGATTCGAAACAAAGCAAACCCGCTCGTCGGTTACAAGAATCTGATGAACATAACAACAATTCTCAACGCAAAACGAATCCAGTATTGATTTGGGAAAGGCGACTTCGATATCTGATAGAATCCTTGCAAGAGTGGTGGGGACCTAATATTAGAGTGGAGATCGATTCTATTAGCCAATACAATGATGATTTATGGATCAAGGATACCGATTCCATCCACAAATCACGACGACTCAACGACGCTGCAGAACAATTTCTAAAAGAAGAGACTTCAGCAGAACTTGGAGAGACCTTGAAGAATGAAAACGAAGATGAGCACGCAAATGAAGATGAGAACGCAAATGAAGATGGAGATATTGATCAACTTCTAGAGGGAGACGAATCGAAAACGCCAGGAACAGAGAAACCAGTGAAAACGGCTCCAAAGGGTCCCAGAATGTCATTAGATCTTCCCATCAAGGGCCACCATCTATCAGACAAAGCTTTGAGTGAGAGTCTTTTGCTTCATCAGGATGATAGATCTGTCATGGCATCGGTCAAGGCAATGCAGAATGCTACAAATCCAAATTCAAATACCACTGAAAAGGCTGCAGCGGTAAATGCAGCGGCATCATTGAAGGCTGTCTCCACCACAACCGAGTTGGTATCCAGCTTGTTGAACGATCCCTCTTCTGTAGAAGCAAGAACTTGCTGCACTTCCGTGCTGAGTGTATTCCATGAGATTTGCAGTGTGGACGAAGAGGAAAGCTTATCCGACAGGCAGCTATTTATCAGTGTTGCTGTCATTGTCGTCTGTGGACTGGTCAAGTCTCTGATTCGCCATTTTCAAATCAGGTGGCTTCCAGAAGCGGCTGGATGCGTTCTTGTTGGTGGTAAGTTCATTGGCGATTTTATTGTCAGCACGACTGTCTCGCTCATCTCAACCACCGCTTTCCTTTTCTCACCAACTAGTGGGCGCGGGTTGGGCTATCTCTTACTTCCCTCACCACGCCTTTAGTTTCGATGATCACTGGTTTCTACGTGTAATGGTGCCTCCTATCATTTTCGAAGCAGCTTTGAGCATTGACAAACGCGCCTTCAATCGACATGTAGTTCCTATTCTGTTGTTTTCATCGTTTGGAACACTGTTTGCAACCTTGATGACAGCTAGTATTGTCCATAATCTCAGTCAGATGCTGGACTGCCGAACGATTCCATTCATTGAGTCTATGACGTTTGGTGCATTGATCTCTTCGATTGATCCAATTGCTGTTCTTAGTGTCCTCAACAACATGGGGATGACTGATACAGATACAATCTACGTTCTAATTTTTGGAGAATCGCTACTGAATGACGGTATTGCCATTGTTCTTTTCGACACTTTGTTACATTTTTTGGATGAGAATATGAAGGGCGATGTGTATGCAGTTGCTGCGGCTGGCATTCACTTTATGGTCGTGGCAATTGGTTCACTCTTGGTCGGTCTCGGTTCTGGAATTTGCTGCGCTCTATACTACTGGATCATGCATGGTTGCCAGCAACCTTTGGTGGAGATCCTTACCTTCTGCTGCTGGGCACTTTTGCCATACTATATCTGCGATGGTATTGATTGGTCTGGTATTGTAGCTGTTGTGGCTGCTGGTTTCGTAATGGATATGTTTGTAGTGGGACAGCATCACCAGCTGGAGGAGAAAATTGCAGTCGATTCCAACTTCGAATCGAACGGACCTCGACGACGCAAGGTTCGACCGGTGTTTGGAAGAGAAGGGCATCTATCTCCCGAGGCGAAACTGCATATTCATTTTGTGACAGAAATCATGGCTACAATGATGGAGACAGCTATTTTTGCATACCTTGGACTCTTTCTGTTCAGCGCTCGATACCATTGGAATTTTTCCCTTTCCTTTATTGCAATTTTTGCGTGCTTGGTTGGGCGAGCAGTTATGATTCCATCCTTGAGCATTGTTGCGAACTGGTTCACCAGAAGGGAGCACAAGAATTCGGGTTGCTGTTCCCCGCAACTTCCAGTATCGGAACCAGGCGAAACAAAGCAACCGAACGCTGCTGGTGTTATTGTCGACAAAAAGATGCAACTAGTCCTGTGGTTTGCTGGCTTGCGTGGAGCAATGTCGTTTGCTCTCGTGGAGAGTATCCCACTTTATGATCCAGTCAGTGGCGAAGGTACCAAATTGAAGTCAGAATTGAAAGCTATGACATCGGCTTGCATCATATTTACGGTATTCGTGCTTGGAGGCCTAACCTACTACATGATGGAATTTCTGGGGTTGGCACCATCGACCGGTACCTCTAGCACCGACGGAAATAGCGGGCAAGAAATGGTATCTTTGATGACTAGTACCGGTAATGAAGAAGACTACGAAGAACCAGAGGAAAAGAGTATGATGATGGACAAGAAAGAAACACCTCCAAGGGGCAACAGATTTCGACAAAGAATAAGGGAATAGACATATATAGACATAATCTAGAGCACGACAATACGCTATGCATATTTTCAATTGATCCATTGACTCGGAAAATTGGGGAAAAATGAAAATGTATTTTAGTTGTTCTTGTTCTCTTCCACAATGTCGCTAAAGATCATGGGGTCTGATCGAATAAGCTGTTCCTTGAAAAGTTCAGCTCGTTCAAATGGGTACTTTCCACACATGGCTTTTCCACTTTGACTCGCTTGTTGAAAGACAGTAGAAGCTTGATCTTCATCCATATCTTCCAAGACGGCGCACATGCGTTCGACGACATGCACTGCATCGTAGGATTCGTCAGAAATAAGCATCAGCTTGTACATTGGGGCATCTTCAAATTCCTCGTCGCGTCGGCTGATGGGATCATGTGTCTTAGAAGTTTGCTGAGCCTTTGACTTTTGTTTTGACCTGGTCTCAGTCTTTTGTGCTTGCTTGATAGCTGGCTTGGCGATTGCTGCACCGCCACCAGAGTCTCCTTCCCGTTCTCCAGCGAATAGAATACTTCTTTGGCGAGAAGAGAAGGTCAAGGGAGTGAACGACGATGCCATGTGCATGACAGCTAGTAGAACTGCGATAAGTGTAAGCTTCATCATGATTGAATTTCAAGTGGATTGTCTTTTTGTTTGTATTTGTTTCTGTCGTGTGACCGAGTGTTGATGTCTGTCAACGAATTTCGATTTCCTTCAACGTGGGATTTGTGGTTACGCGTGGAGTCCAACCAGTCAACCCATCAAAACTCGAGGGCATCCGAAACATGAAATCTCAAATACAGATTTCCAATGCGGCTGAGGCCTTTGATTGCATTGACGCCCATCGCACTTCAGTTTAGATCTGTTCGAAGTCTGAGCATGTCGTATCGAGGGGGAAGAGGACGAGGCGGTTCGCGCGGTGGTAACAGAGGTGGTGGTGGTGGTAGAGGAGAATATTATAAGAACAAGTACGGACGCGGTGTACGAGGAGGAGGAGGTCGAGGTCAAGCTGATGATACTCCAAGAACTGCACCGGGGGGAGGATTATATTCGGATTTGATCAACTGCCTAGAACGTCTAGATGGCAAGAGTTACGGTGCATATCACGATTTGGATACCCCGCTCGACCGTGGATGGGTGAACAGCGACTTTGGATTTTCGTTGTTTGTCGAGAGGGCCCAGTCAGATCCCTTTGCCGCTCCTACCCGCTGCCGAATCATAATTGACGGTGCAACAGCAGCATTTCCAGTAAGTCTATACTCCAACAGGATCCGCTCTGTGGCTCTTTCCGATTACCTACTACGAGCGTTGCATGCCAATTGCAAGAAACTTGGTGCCGACGAAGCAATGGGGGGCAAGGGTTGGAGTGGTCCGAAAGGAGGAGATATGCAAGTGCTAGAGCCATGTCAACATGTTCTGGAACAATCTGCAGTTAGGGTCGATGAAAGGGGAAATGTAGTTGTCCAAATGAGCGTTAATCTTCCTGCAAGAGGCAGAAACATTCTGGGATTGGCAGCAAAAGAGATATTTGCCAAGACGCTGCCTTCGATGATCGAAAAGAGTCTACTCCTCAAGTCACTGCAGGCACAAAGACTTCAAAGCCATGTTGATTCGATTGAAGATCAAGTTTGGCTTCAGAAGGAGCTGGAATCAAAGAATTTGATCGCATTCCTGAGGAATGGAGCACTTCTACCTCGGATTTCCGGTGTCGATGATCGGCCGATGGATTCACAGAAGGCTGTTCCATTTGAATCTCCACAACGACTAGAAGTCTCATTTCGACTGCCAAATGCAGGAACTACAGTCACAGGAATGGGGATTCCGAAGGGCATCTCACTGATTTGTGGTGGTGGCTTCCATGGGAAATCCACACTCTTGCAGGCTCTACAAGTTGGAGTGTATCCAAAAATTCCTGGCGACGGCCGTGAATTCTGTGTCACCTCACCAAATGCCATGAAGATTAGGGCCGAGGATGGGAGGAATATTCAGTCCTGCGATATTAGCAGCTTTATCAATAATCTTCCATTCGGAAAGGACACGGCATGTTTTGACACGGCTGACGCTAGTGGATCGACGAGTCAGGCTGCGAATATTGTAGAGGTGAGTGATTGGTGTATTTGCTTGTATTGGGTGCTGGGATTATTTAAGCTCGACAGTCGTTTTACCATGGCCGTTGTCAGCGCGTTTGGATCCCAATAATAATATTTCGTATTCATGAAATGAAAAATTCGAGGAGTTGATGCAGTGGCGGTTGTCAGAGAGCATCTTGGCTCCATCAAGCTGTATCAAGCGTCAAAGTTATTACTCCTACACTGACTCACTGATTATTTTGCATTTTGGTACAGGCGATTGAAATTGGAGCGAATACATTACTCCTCGACGAGGATACTTGCGCAACAAACTTTATGATCAGGGACTCAAAAATGATGCAACTTGTGGCTCCAGATAAAGAACCCATCACTCCATTTGTGTCAATAGTGCGGTCATTGTATGATGAACACGGCATTTCCACAGTTCTGGTAGTTGGAGGTGCCGGGGATTTCTTTGAGCCTGCGGACAACGTTCTAGTTCTAGATTGTTATAAATGCAACGATATGACCCAGAGGGCGAAAGAGATTGTTGTCAACGCACAAGACTCAAGACAAGCTTTACCAGCCAAAAAAGAATTCCGTGCGGCACGGCAGCGCTCTCTTATTGGAAATAAGATTGCTGCAAATGGGAAAGTAAAGGTTTTATCTCAGCAGAGGATTTCTTACGGCGAATCGGAGCTGGACATTTCCTTTTTAGAGCAAGTCGTTGTTAAATCGCAATCTGCAGCCATCTTGAATGGTCTTCAGTATCTATCGACTCAGAACCATTCAAATCAAACCCTCAAAGAATCGCTACTTGCTCTGGAAAAGAAACTTGACAGTGAAGGTCTGAGTTCTTTGACTCCGGCGCAGTTCAATGGTGGGATGTCTAGAGTGAGGATGCTTGAAATTGGGGCCGCTGTCAATCGACTAAGACGCCCTAATACACTTGTGCAAGGGCAAGTCAGATAATAGAATGTTCAAGAATAGTTTAACATTGCTACATTTTCACGAGATATTCTGACGTTAAGTTCCTGACGTTAAGTTCCTGAGAGTATGGTTGGTCGAACAAGCGTGGACCAACTGGACACTTACTTTTCCCGATTAATCTTTTAGGTGACGAAGCTCTGAGGGAGAATCGCCGAGACTGTTTTGGTTGGGCTGTGACATCCGCATCTGAAGTTGCTCTGTTGTCGTTATTGACAATCGGACCATACTTTGAAGTTGATCTAGCTGATCTTGCAGTGCAGCAACCTGTCTGCTTCGAGAGCAGGAGCTCATCAATCGAAGCAATCGACAGAAAATAGTGCGTTTCCTCTCCACTGGACGAAGGGTATATACAGGCACAGAGTGAGCTTTGGTCGATTTCTTCATATGGAGAGAAGGATCGGGGGAAATTTGCTTCTTGTCCTGGTACTCTGATATCGATTCAACAATAGAACTCTGGCAGTTCTCCGTTATTGTAGAGCAGTGCGACAAAGCAGCTGCTCGAGCGATGGAGTTGTACTTTGAGCTCAGAAGTTTCACCTTTTCATTTCGATTTGTCTGACCAACCTTCGATCGACGAGGGAGCAGCTGGTCATCACTCTGCGAAGGAGCGGATTCAAACGAACGGCAGGGTTCGTTCAAAACCATGACATCCGGCGGAATCGGACTTTTATCGATAATTATTGAAAGGCTGTCATCATTGTGTACGGTCGGGTGATTTGATCCTGCGAGTGACGAGGTGCCTGCGACGCATGAGATTTCGAACATCTTTTCGACAAGAGTGGTCATGTCTTCTCTGAGATTGTTTGTGTCGACTTTCAACAGGTCTCTCTCCATTGTCAAACTTGATACCTTCTCCTTTAATGTGTCAAGCTCAGCTTCAGTACTTCGCAATGTAGATTGTACGGCGCCGTTTTCTCGCTGTAGGGAATCGATTTGGTCCAAGGCTATATAAAGATCCATACGCGAAGCTTCTTGTCGAATTCTTTCAATCGAAGCCTTGATTGATTCGTCAAGGGATTCATCGTCCGAGTAGTCAGACACTCCAAACGCATCGTCTAAGCCAGAATGTTCCCTTAGTATCTGCTCCATTTCACGCAAAAACTATGAGAGATTTCGTTCACAATGTTGTAGCTGCCGAAGCATTGTATGTGTGTAACATCGTGGAAAATATTTACAAACCCATCGTGGACAGTTGTCAATGATTAACGGTTTTCAATTTTTCGAGGAAAACTTGAGTCCAACGAGTCCATTTATTCAAAGGTTTTCTTTAATTTCTTACACAATGCAATCAATCGACCTTCTGCACTTTCGTACTACACATCCTTTCACTGATACACAAGAGAGAGACCAAGCGATGAAAATGAAAGAAACAAGATAAATAGGAGGTATACATGTCTAAAAGCAATAGCCGCTTTGCGGTTTGTAGAAAATGGAATATATACCCACTTAAGCCCCGACGATGGCAAAGCAGTAGAAGTCTATTTCTTTTGCTTCTTTGGAGAAGGTTCGACGGCGACCGTATCGTGAGCCTCAAATTCAGTGTGGTATGCAGAGTCGTGAACGCCAGCGGCGCGTCCACTTGGATCAGCACGCTTGCTGAAAGATTCATCCCAGCTCATAGCACGTTCCGTGGAGCATGCAATAGATTTGCCACCAGGAACAGTCTTTTCAGCGGCCTCACCGGGGAAAAATTCTTCGAAAATCATTCGGTATCTATATCCCTCCTTTGTGGTGGGAGTGTTGTGTGGGAAGCGGTTGGCAGCGTTGGCAAACATCTGATCAGAGATCTCTTTTTCAGCGGTGTCCTTCAAACTGTCGACCCATCCATAACCGACACCATCACTGAACTGTTCCTTTTGTCTCCACAAGATCTCAGCGGGAAGGTACGGATCATTTGGGGTATCAAATGCCTTACGGATGGCCCATTTTTCGATTCTCTTGTTCTCGGGTGCGACACCAGGACCAGTGTGGATCATCTTTTCTTTAGGGTCCAAGTTCATAGCAACATCCAAGAAATCAGCATCAAGAAATGGAACACGTGGTTCAACTCCCCATGCACTCATTGCCTTGTTACATCGCAAACAATCAAACATATGGAGACGGCTCAACTTGTCAACAGTCTCGTCGAAGAACTCTCTCTCATTTGGGGCCTTGTGGAAGTACAAATATCCACCAAAGACCTCATCAGCTCCTTCACCACTGATAACCATCTTGATACCCATGGCCTTGATCTTACGGGCCATCAAATACATAGGAGTGGATGCACGAATGGTAGTCAAATCGTATGTCTCAAGAGTTTTGATGACATCGCGAATGGCATCCGCACCTTCCTCAATGGTGTACGTGTAGGCGTGGTGAATGGTTCCAAGCATATCAGCCACCTTTTGTGCGGCCTGAATGTCCGGTGAATTCTTAAGCCCAATAGTGAAGGAGTGTAGCTTGGGGAATTGAGGGTTACGACGAGCAATGTGTCGGGAGCAAATGGCTGCGACCAACGACGAATCCAAACCACCTGAAAGAAGAACTCCCCATGGCACATCGGACATCATACGACGAACCACAGAACGCTCAAATGCAAATCGGAGGGTATCCTATAGGGGCGAGAAGTGGTGAGCATCATGAATAATCAGCTCAAGATAAGATTCGATCGACTACTCACGGCGTGGTACTTTTCGGTTGGCATATCACCTCCCGGGAGCATTTCAGGAGCCCATGATGGAGTGAACCAACGAACAAATTTGCCAGCATTCTCTCCCTTACTGCAGTAAATGTGTCCAGGTGGGAAGTTTTCGAACTTGGTGCAATGGTCAATCAGACTCTTCATTTCAGATGCCAGGTAGAGTGAACCGTCGTTTCCCCACCCAATGTACAGTGGGGTGATGCCGATGTGGTCGCGAGCGGCAAAGTATGTATCAGTGTTTCTGTCATAAAGAATGAAACTGAACATACCTCGAAGATTCTTCACCATTTCGATGGTGGGTCCATGCTCGGAAAAAAGGGGGAGGATGCATTCGCAGTCAGAGCCAGTCTGGGGTTCATACTTGGTCTTAAGTTCAGCGTACAACTCTTTGAAGTTGTAGATCTCCCCATTGGCAGCAACAATAACGCTTCCATCACGCGAGACGAGCGGCTGAGATCCAGATTCTGGATCCATAATCGCAAGACGTTCGTGGGCGATTCCGTGAGCATGAGGAACATCTTTGCTGGGATCAGCTTCTATGACAATGTATCCAGACCAATCAGGTCCTCGGTGGCGAAGCTTGGAAGAGCATGAGATAAGCTCTTTTCTGAGATCAGACTCAGGGAGACTTGAAGAAAAGATTGCAAAGATTCCGCACATTGTCAAAATCGATCGGTCACAAAAATGTGCCTTTTTGAAGCCAACAGATATCTGCCATCAGCATAAAGGAGGGTTCGGTATCCAAGCATGTGGTTTCGATGTACTGCAATTTCAAGTATGAAACTGTACAGATTTCAGAACAAGAGACTTGAACATTCCAGATTCCGTCCAACGGAATTCTTTTTTGGAACTGCTGCTAAGAAAGCGGTGGTGGCTGAAACAGAAATACCACTGATGCAGTACCGTTGGTACCAGGCTTTGTACGCCAAAACGTGTGATTCAGATTGGTAAGCGAGCTCATTTGTAGCCACGAAAAAGTGCCACAGGTTTGGACTTATAGTGGCAAATGGTAAAAGAAGTAGAGTACAGGATGGCATGGCATAACCCCCTTTTATTTGAAACGACTATGACAACTACAATCACGATGCAACTTGTCATAACGAAGTTAAGATCAGTCAGTCACCAGCATTACGAAAAAGAAAATTTAAATTAGCGTATATAGACCGTACTCCAAATAGAACAAGTCCCAGACGTTTTTGTAAAACTTCTTGACGGATGACATCGAATCGGGGTTGAGTTGCCGGAATCTCAGTACCAGCATGGTTGCCAACACTGCGTGGCCTCCGAGCATTGGTACCATATTGAATGTTCCAGGCGCCGACAGCAACCCCGTGAGGATAGCATGGACATAGTTTGCAAACAAGCATAGCGAAGCACCTTGTGCAACACGTTTGACGCCAATCTGCGTGGCAAACGTTTCGATTTGGTTGGCCTAAAAGAACAGTGAACGTGAGAAAACGTCTACTTGAAGATGAAAGCAAACCAACAAAGCGACGGAAAAAGTACCTTATCTCCTTCAATATCAGGCAAATCTTTTGTTACAGCAATTACAGTGGCATATGCTGTCATGAACCGCGCTACAAAAGATACCTTGGGCGACCATGCAAAGGATGCACCAACAGCATCCTTCACAGCGTAGTAGACACCAAAGTTCAACAAAAAGCCTCTAACAGTAGCTATCGTAAGCCCAGCAAGTAGCGGATTTTTCTTTGTTCTGATAGGAGGGACGGAGTAGATGCCTCCAATGAACAATCCAAATGTATACAGTTTGAATAGAAGCTTTGGAAACAAGTTGTATCTATCGTGCAAAAGAGACACGTGAAAGGACACGACATGTGTGAGGGGTTGGGCGCTCACCATCGAATACACAGACAACCAGTACCAGTACTCACACCACGATTGGCCCGAGAACACCAGAAGCGACCACTGCAACCCAGGCGGCGCGATTTGACATTTCCCCACTTGCAACGGGAAGAAATGGTTTGTTAAGCTCATCGATTTCTTTGTCGTATATTTGATTGATTCCGACAATAAAAGCATTACCCAAAAGAAGTGCAAACATGCCAGCAATGGCACGGGGCAACATGACGCCCCAGTTTGCATTTGTAATAGCACCGGGTGTATCAATTAGTGCACGCGTCGTTCCAGCAATGGATCCAAGGATTGTTCCTCTGATGGTATGTGGCCGGGTGAACTTGTACAGAGCACGAAGTCTTGCTTTTATTGATCCAGATTCGATTTCTTCCCTTGCGCGAGATATCGCGTCTGGATCGAAGTCGCCTTCCACTGACATGGAAAGGACAGGAGCTTGATGATTCATCGGAATACTCCATTGTCGTGAAATTGCCAACTTTGGATGCGGCATATTGGATGCAAAGCCTTCAACATGGAATGTCGAAACTGCAGCAACTACTAGTGTTGCCGCCAATGTATGCTTCATCTTTTTTCTATTCCTGATTGTAGGATTGTGCCATTGACTTCGATCCCTCGATTTCGCCAAGAACCTGACAATCATTTGTTGGGTGTCATCACCACTGACGTTCTATTCGAATGAGTCACTAAGTCAGATCAGTCCAGTCAATCAATCAGGTCAGCATGCAGTCCGTTGATCGAATCCGTCCGTCATGCAACAATTGTAGCGTCCGTCCGTCCTGTGTCAGTTTCAAAAGTCTGTGAACAACGAACATCAATCAATCAATCATCAACGATCTTCTTCTCTTTATTTTATTCCCACCCACATTGCTTTGACAAAAATCGGCAACATGACACCCAAAACAACATTATGCTTGACAGTTTTAATCGTTGCGATGAAAAGCTGCTCCAGTTTTTCACCGTCCGTCAAATATTTACCAACAAGGATCAGTCAATGGAAGAGTGGAAGAAGGTTACCAGTCATTTTCGCTTCGACCGCCGATGAAGTAAAGTCAGAGCAACAAAACAAAGACGACGATGAAAGTGAAAACATATTGAAAATTACTCCCAAGAGTGAATTAGTAGCACTGTGCGAACAGTTCAATCTATCAACGAAGGGTACAAAGGAAAATTTATTGCAACGATTGCGAGACTTCGCTAAAGACCAAGAGGAAGTCGAGCGGGAACGATTAATGAAACGAAAGAAGTTAGTGGAAGAAGGATCTGGCGATGATCGAGAAAAATATGAAATCGTTGATGATGAAATCGATGATGACGAGGAAGACGAAGTCTTCTTTTACTACGGATCCAAAACTACAACTGACAATTCTACCGACAAGAAAAACAAAAAGACAGAAAAAAAGACAGAGGAGATAAGGAGGGACTCTGGGTATGTTACTGCCCCGCCTCCAAATGCCGAGATAGGCGAGAATGGAGAAAAAGTGGTCACAATCTACTCTACAAACGAACGGAACGACTTGACAGGCATAGCAGCGGCACAGCCAGGACAGTCATCGTTTGACCCATTGACGTCGTCGACAAGTGACCCTACCGACGCCCCTTGGGATTCGAATAATCCTAGCAAGACTGAATCTAGTTCAATGGAGATTGATGCCGCGAAGGATGCAGTTACCGAACTCGTACGAACACTCCTAGCCATGACTGGTTTGCCAGTGTTTATTAACGAACAAGAAGATCAGGAGATACAACCAGCGCGAAGATCAAAGTTTGACGCTCCCGCAGAATGCATAGACTTCGATCCTTCCATGGTTCCAACAGAATTGCTCACAAAAACATCCAAAAGCCTTCGCACTAGCAGAGGAAAAGTCCTTCGCGAAGTGATTCGTGAGTTCGAATTGAGAGCCATTGGAGATGACGGTACTGCTGTGGACAACGTGCAACGAGGCGGAGGTCATTACCGACAAGTGACAAGGGTTCGATCTTTCCTAGAAGGATTCCGTCAGGCTGAAGTTCGCAGGCTATCCCGTGAAACGCTCACGTTATTGCTTGATAAGCTCGTCGGTGAAGGAATTGAGGGACTTGACATCACGCTGGCATCCATGACGCGTAGCAGTGACGATACTAGTGACGAAGGTGGTGAGTTGAATGACTCACTGATGGAGTACCTTGATGATACAATTCGGCAACAAGAGAAAAAAGTCGAGCAAATTGTTGATTCGACAAAGAAAATATCCGAGTTTGAGAGAGCCATGTCACAAGATCCAGAAGACGAAATTGAGAACTTGTGGAAAGTGGAAGACGAAGATGGACAACGCATTGAAACCTTCGACCCCAACATCCCTGAAAATCAACTAGCGCTGCAAGAAGAATATGAAAGGGCTGCCGAAGAGAGCATACCAGCTCCCATCCTTCCTTCTTCAGCGCCCGAAAAATTGCTACTTCTTCTCAAAATTGTGAGGGAGAGGCTAAAGATTGAGGCCACCTTCTCGCATGATGAGAAGTCTCGGAATTTGAGGGTCCTTGCTTATTGTCTCCAACTTAAGACAAATGCCCTGAGGAAAGAGATGATTGCCAAGGAATTCGGGGCATCTTTGGATGGTTTGGACAGCTTTCAGGAGCTAGTAGCAAGTTCCATTGAGTATGGCGAGAGCACAAGCCACCAACTCCATCCATCAAAAACCGGGGCTCTGAATGTTCCACTTTTGAAAACGATTTTGAAAATCATAAAAGAGACGAGAAAACAAAATACATATAAAGCCTCAGGACTCTAGGGAGGAACCCCAAATTAGACCGCACTGTTTTCGGTTCTTATCATTTATTGAAACGGAATCTAGTCTGGCCGAAATGGCATAAAGTATTACAACATATTATGTACCGGTAGCTGCGCTCGGTAGGCTGCAATACAACGACGCAACGGAACACGCACCTCAGCCCTCATCAGAAAGGAAATGATCCTATGGACTCTTTGGTGGTACTGGGACCTTGGCTGGTGCAGCAGCAGCAGGAGCGTCTCCGTTAGGTCTAGATAGAACCATAAGTAGTGTTCCAGTGTTGTACTTCATTCCTCCCTTGACACTGTCGTGGATGACGTTCATGAGGTCTACCCAATGCTTTTCGTCTTCCCGAGACATGCGGGCATATCCCTTGTTACTGATGTAGTTGAAAGCTTCTTCGAAGAAATCGAAGTAAACTCTATTTCCCTGCTCTTCTCTGACGAGGAAGTCACCCTTCTCGAATCCGGCGTTGATAGTAGCGATATTCATGGTGTTGATATGGGATGAAAAATGCTGAACAGAGACATCGATGGTTTCGAAATGGATTCGAAATGGATTCGAACAAGCCGAAAACGGTCGGCTGACGCGAATCATTTTTCGATTTACGAACAACCGTCAACGACAAAAGCAATGGAGGAATAGAGGCAAGAGGCACCATGCGAAACAGGCAGAACAATCATCGATCACACTGTCAATTTAACTTGTAGGCGCTAAACGTAATGGTCCTTGTTATGCTGTTATATATCTAAATAGCGTGGTAAATATCTTACAATTCTTTCGCGGGGGGAAGTTCAATCTCTGTCAACCAAATTTCAAGCGCTTCCTCTACAGTTGAGAATTGGTCTGCTGCTTTTCCAGCGCCCTTTTTGAGTTTTTTCTGGAGGCCCTCCACTTCCTTTACGAGTGCCTTGTATTTCTTTATTGAAAGTCATCCAAATTCGAATAAGTTTAGTCAGATGGAGTGAGATACAACTACATCCATCTTGGTATTTGGTTTCTTACCTTCACTGCTGGAAGACTGTCCGGAGAGGTTGTAGAACTTCTTCGGAAGGCATTGGAAAGTAGGTAGCCTGCTGCTGTCAGGTCCTTCCAGCTACCAGCATCCTCACTGCCAAAGTAGGCCTCTGCTTCTTTGGTGCTTCCTCCCTTCAGTGCCGTTCCGACTTCCAACAATCCCTTGACAGCAGTCTTGACGCGTTCATTGTATCTTTGCTTAGCAGAGAGTAAATATGCTCCTCCTGCTGTTGCACCGCCAGACGCATTTGCGCTTTCGACAGACATAGCGACTAAAGGAATGAGAGCCATGCTCTCGAAGAAGGATCTTCGCGAGGTTTCGGAAGCATCGACAGTTCCAGCATGATCTGTCGCTGAAACCTTGGAGGCAGAGTTACGACTCGGAGTGAAGGAAGCAGCTTGAGAACTGAATAGGAATAAAAGTGATAACGTCTTGAGGATCTTCATCGTTGATTTTTTGTCGATGGTACTGTAGATTAGCTGACAAGAAGATAACCAGAACGTGGTGACATCAAGGTTGAATCTTGGAATGAATGGAACAGGCGGAAAATGAAGATATTGAAGATATGGTGCAAGTAATGGATCCATTCGACTAACGAAATTCCTGCGCGATTTGGACAACTGAAACTTGTAGAAATGGCATCCGACGCGCTGATGAAAGTTTAATGATTATGAAGATATGTTAGCAGCCCTTTCGTTCTTGGCCTTTTCCAAATACGCCTTTTCGAACGCCTTCAATGCCAAATTGACATCCTTTGAACCAGTTTCTTCCGCCTTTTCCTTGTTGGTTGGAAGAATCTTTAATAAAAAGGCAGGGAATTTGACGTTGACCACCAAACGACTTTTGATCGTAAAAAAGAATGCGGACTCACTGATCTTTTTGTAGACAAGGGTTGTGCGCGAAGAGGTTGATTGATTGTTGCCATTTCCCTTTCCGTCGGATCCAGTAAGTTTGTTGAAGATCCATACGATCGGTGGCAACCCTTTCACTCTGTTCTCGTCTTGAATCAAGACAAATTCGTAAACTTGATTCTCGTTTGTCGCATCTCCCATAATACCAATGGAAGCTGTGGATTCCAGTTGGAGACCGGGAAAGTTGATGCCACTTGTTCGGACCTTGATCACGGAATCGGTTTCATAAGGAATCTTCTGTAGACCTAGTTCCTTGCAAGCGTCTTGCCAAGTCTTCAGGAGGTCAGAAGTCAGCTGGATTTCCTCCAAAGGTCGATCACCACCCGCCGATGCGAGAAGGTTGCGATTTGAAGTATCTTGCACAAATGAAGCGAGAAATTCATCGGAAACAAACGGTAGAGGACCAGTGGATACAGCTGTTCCTCCATCCAATACCAGTGTAGCAGTCTCCCCATTGTCATCCTCAGTTGAGTGAAGCGTGATCCGTCTATTGTCCACCTTTCGATAAGAGAACCATGTAGACAAGGTTGGATGAAACGAGCACACTTGCGTGGTCAAAAGAAAGCAAGTGAGCACACTGAATTGCATTCCCAACCCCTTTCAATGTAAAAATGACAAGATCCTCCAGAACACGATGTTGTTGTGCTGCGAATGCGCACTATTCGCGCGAAGATGCCTGTTGACCAGTTGCTGCAATCTGAAATCTTCTGTCTCATTCACATCGAAAATCTTGTTTCTAGCAACAACATGGGAAAGAACAAAGGAGGAGGAGGCAACAAACGCGGTGTAAAACAACAGAGGAATGGCAAGAACTCGCATAAGCAGCGCTCCAGATATGCAGGAGAAGAATCGACAGACGATGATGTTAGGCGACGAAATGAACAACAACAACAACAACAACAATCACGAGAACTCAAAACAGATCAAGATGGGTTTTGCCAGCCAGTTAGCGATGCAGAAGCTGCCAAAAAATCGCTACAGGGACTTCGATTGAGAATGTGGGATTTTGCCCAATGCGATCCGAAACGTTGCAGTGGAGCTCGGTTGGCCCGCCGTGGAATCTTTGAAAAGATGCCCCTCAAGAGTCCTTTTCGAGGCATTGTCTTGGATCCCGAAGCCAAGATTCCTGTGAGTCCAGCTGATTTGGAGATTTTGGAAAATGCTGGTATGAGTTTGATCGACTGTTCATGGGCGCGTCTGCAAGAAATTCCATTCAAGCAAATGCGATCGGGGCACCATCGATTGTTGCCATTCATGGTGGCGGCCAATACTGTCAATTACGGTCGACCCTTCAAACTGAATTGTGCCGAAGCTTGTGCGGCTACTCTTTCCATCTGTGGAAAAACAGAAGCCGCTAAGGCGGTGATGAACGAGTTTTCGTATGGGGAAGAGTTCCTGTCTCTGAATGCACAAGTCTTTGAAATGTACGCTGCATGCACAGATGCCGAAGACATTGTCCGAAAGCAGAATGCATGGTTAGAAGAGCAAAATCGACAGGCGGCTGTAGCGCATGATGCTGTAGTCGATCTGCCACCGAGCGACGATGAATACGACTATGAATCTGATGAAGAAATGCTACTGGATAGTTTCGGGAACTTTGTCATCAAGGACAAGGACGAAGCAAAGGATGGTACAGCATAGACCAATGCGGAGGCATAAATCAAGTAGACGTAGAGAAAAAAGCTGATTCAACTGGGTATATGCCTACCAGTACGTACCAGGTACCTATCAACCCTATCGGTACACGCTTGTGTTATTGAGTTTGTTCTGGTGTCTTAGGTTCGAACTGGTCGAAAGTCTGATCGAAAGAAATGAACATTGAACATTATTCAAATATGGGCGCGAACTTTTTTTAAAGTTGAAAGTGGTCACACTTCTGTTTTTTCATCTCACAAAAACAGTCACGAAGCACCAAAACCCCCAGTTTCCATCATGAGTCAAAACAAAGTCCTTTTCGAGCTCTGCAATGCATACAGCAAGGATAACGAAGGCATGACACAAGCTCAGTACATCCGCGACAAAGCACAACCAGCAGGCAAGTAGAATTTTCCAAGTTTGTCCAGGCGACGAAACCGGAATGGCAAGAAATTGCTGAAAAATTTCGCGAGACCGGAAAATCACCACAGTACAAACGGGGATCTTACAAGGAAACTGTCTTCAAGAAAGCTGTGGTGCTCTGGGACCTTCAAAACGAGACGGAAAAAGAGTACGAAGAGCCACCGGAAGAAAAAGTTGTAAGAAAAGCTCGTGGCACCAAGCGCAAGTCGACCAGTCGCTCCAAGACTACAAGGGCCTCTAGAAACACCGAAGACACTAAGAGAAGCACTAAGAGAAACACTGAGAGAAACACTAAAGTCATTGAAGACCATCCACCTCCTTCCCCTCCTACCGCGAAGAAACGCAAAACTCGCCTTTCGCCTAGAATGAAGGAAAACAAAAATATGGACGCAAATGATGGTGATGATGATGATTCTCCCAATTTTGAAGCCTTGGAGACTTCCTTGGATTCACTCACGGGTGAATTGTATCAAGTTCAGCTCCACCACAATTCGATGAAGCATGCACTTGCTGAGGCTCGCGAGGCCAACAAAGAACTCAAGAAAGATAAATCGGCTCTTGAAGTCGAGTTGGAAGATATCTCCGATTCCCTTGAGGAAGAATCCGCATGCCTTGGCCAACTCAAAGCTGAAAACAAAAGGCTCCGAGATGAAGCGGCAAAGTGTGCCAATGATGCCGATGCCGTGGCCCGTGAGACAGCTACCAACAAGAAACTCAACCAGGAAAATGCTGCCCTCAAGATCGCATTGGAGACTACCAAGAAAGAGCACGACCAAGAAGTCTCTAAACAAGCGCAGAATCTCGAAGATAAACGCGTGGCCATTCACAAATTTCAACAAGAAATTGCCACTCTCCGCAGTGAGTTAGAGCAGCTTGGCAAGCTTCATTGTCGCACAACGGAGAGCTTTTCTGTTCAAACCAAATTGTTGCAGGAGCAGTGCAAGACCCTAGTGTCTCCTGAAGCAACTTCTCATGAACAGAAAAGCCCAATGGGCGTGGATGACGGTCGCAAAGCAAGAAGAATTTCTCTGTAGTTTCTTCTTTGCGCACTGTTTGGATTTTCATTTTCGAAGTTCCTCTAATCTTGGCAAATTTGTTTTGCACTTGTATTGATAAGGCGGTCATAAGGTTCATTCATTTGAGATCCGAGAAGCTTTTGACAGGACCTAAAGTAAGAATGAAAGTATTCATTTCTAGCCATCTCTTTTTAAAACACCCGAAAATTTGATTACCCAACCAAGACAAGTATGTAGCACACTTTCCAGCAATACTCTGAAGCTTAGTCAAAGGGGTCGAAGATTGATCAACATGAACAAGCAAAATGCAATTTTCAAATGGATGATAATTGCTACAGTCAAAACAACTGTGTGTCAGAGAAGCGAATATGATGGAAACCAGCCGAGTATCACTTCAATCTTCGCCATCCCAATAGATAACTCTTGGTGATTCCTGATATTTAGATTCATGAACAAGCAGAAGCTGCAGCTTCGCAGCGATCTGCATGAGTTCTTAGAAAGCAAGCAACAATCGATTCGTCTGTCAACGGACTTGGAGAAAAAACGTTCGGGGTGTGTCGATGTCCTGGAAGAAATTGAATTCTTCTTGGTGGCTTGGGCAGAGTTTGAAGATTCTTCCGGTCTTCCTGACCAGCGGCTGAAGCAAACGTTATCATGGATAGTCTCGGTACTGGGACCCGGAGATCCGCAATTGCGAGATCATTTGTGGGACACTTTGGTGGCCACTGGCGCCAGTACCTCGTGTCGATTGGTGATTCTGGACTTTCTCGCTGCTACAATACCCCCGGGTACCAATGAAGATGAGAGATTTGAACTCATTAGAATATTGAAGCAAGTCTTTAACGACGATTCTAACCTTGTTGGACCTGTGCTGAACTGTATAGATTCCATCTATGAGGCTGGTGGACTGGAGCACCGAGACATCTTTCAATTCGCCCTTGATATGCTTCCAAAGGAACATGAATCCCGAATTCATCTGATTATCAATTTTCTGGTGAAGCACATTTCAAACGGCAAAAATGCCACAACGGTAGTGGAATCCATACGGGCAGAAATGCAAGCAATCGAAGAAACGGAATCACCCGAGGCGTTTGTGTTTCCTACATGCCAATTATTCTGTGAATTGTGGAACGTCCAGCGTTCAAAAAGATTCTTCGATATCTATCTCGATATTTTAGGGGGAGGGAATATGGATGGGGAAGACGACAACTCACAACGTGTTCTAGTTCTTGACATGATTGTTCTGTTACTTGCAGGCGGAGAATCAACGTATCACTCCATCGTGGAAGGGATTATCGATTCAAATTTAATGGAGAAGTATTTTTCATCCAAGCTACCGTGTTTTTTGTTGTCTGATGGCATCTGGAGAGAAGTCAGAACGCCGTTGCTGATTGGAAGCTTAATATCTGCATGTATCACTACGCTGTCATCTCCTTTCCGAACCAGATCGATGGAGAATCTTGAAAGACACCTAGATACATCAAGGCGGTTCATTTGTCAGGTATTTAGAGCTCTCCGGGACAATGGTAAAGCGTGCAAGAGATTGGCCGTTTCTATGATCAATTTGGCGAACGCGGCGAAAGAGACCATCGACTCTGAGAGTGGCTTGTTTGAGAAAAATGACGAAGCTGCAGATGCGATCTACTCTTGTATCTTTGGAGCGCTGGATACGGCTGTATGGGATGGCTCGGGAGCCATGACATCTACAAAATCTTTCATTAGGAAACACTTACTCAAAACCCTTTCAACTGGGCAGCACAACGATGTGACGTTAGAGCAAGTCTGCGCTACTCTTTGTAACTTGGAGCCTAAAGATGACAACAAGGTAGAAAAAAAGGTGCTCTTTCAGCTACTTCAAAGCCTGTTATTTTCTTCGACTCCTTCGGTCAGCGAAAAGCAAACAATTCAGAAATGTCGTGCTGGATTCCTTTTGGCGTCGTCGATGATTACGAACATTGCAGCCTTGGACGAGAAATCGATTGCCGCTATTTGGAATATTCTAAAATCTGTGCTGTTGCCTCCAAGCACGAGGATGGTCAACCCTACTATTGGGTTGCAAGGACTGGAGGTAGCAAGAAAGCTTTGCGCCAGCACCAAGACGAGCCTATCCTTGAAGAGACAGGTTTTTCACACAGTTACACATATGGTATCCAAAACAAAGTTGATTCAGTACGCTGCGAACTTCGAAGAGCGCCGTAGGCAAGATGTAGCTCTCGCCTATACGGATCAGGAGGGGGTTTTGAAGTCACCGAGAAAGTCGACTAATACTCGAAAAATGGTATTCTGCTTTGATGCCCTCATTCAGGACGATGCCCTTCTCGACTCATCGAACTGGAGAAGTGTCATCGACTATGTTCTAACTCTTATTGATACTTATCTGGCGATTGGTAGACAGCCCAAGGACTCGGCTCGGTCACAGTCATGGACGCCAAAGCCATGGATTGAAGGTGCCATCGAGCTAACGTTGCTAGATATGACAAAACTGAAAATGCCAACAACGAAGAAAAGGGAGCTCCAAGACATGTTGAAGATAGAGATGGGCAAAAGTTTTTCAAATCTACACACCCCATCTCGCAACAACAATGAAAAAACGCTTCTTGGAGTGATTCAAAGCATCAAAACTGACGTTGACTTCCAGGAAATCATTCATTCCATGCTTCGATTGACTCTATCATTGATAATAAGTCAAGCAATATTGGTTGCAGTGATAAACAACACCTTTGGTCAGTATGAAGGCTTTCTGAATGACCACAAAAATGGTGTTCCGAAAGAAGCAAGCGACGCACTTCGACTCATTCACTTACAATTGGCCAAGTCATATGATCTAAGGAAAAGATGTAAAACGATTCAAAAGACAATGAAAGCCATGGTCTCAAGAAAAAGTGGGAAACGGAGTGGGCGCAAGCGTTTGAAGATTTCCAGACTATCAAACAATGAAATGGTACGAAAAATATCATGTGTTTTGCTTACGTGCACTTTTCCAACTAAATCCTGGTGCACAATTATTTTGCGAGTAGGTTCAATCGGCTGTTGAGAAAGTAGCTTCAATTACACGTTCACTTTTTTGCCAGGTTCGGGCAGAGATGCTTTGGAATGCTATCACTGATCCGATTCACGACGCCAAATTGATCGAGCTTGTAGATCCTGTGACGGAGAGTCGTTCCGTTCCTAGTGCAGCAGAGGACGAAATGCCCTTGCTCCATGTTGTGGAAATGAGATTGAAAATTCTTGATCATCTGTTGCTTCATTTTGGCCACTGGAAGGAGGTCAGTGGCAAGGGATCGCATAAAAATATATTGAAATTGATCTTTGGTAAAGGTCGATATTCAATGATAACTCGATGCCTTCGACTTGCTTCGCACCTGTCTCTTCGCCTTGCAGCTTTGGCTGAAGGAGAACGCAAAATTGGAGACAGGGCACTGAACTCGGACAGTGCAAGCTTGGACGAAAAATTGACCCAACTTACAGCAGCGTATTTTAACCTGCTTTCGAGTGCGACAGCCCTACTTCTTGAGACCCAAAGGGAGCAAATTGATCCTCAATTGATGACCTCTTGGAATCTGCTGGCATTGTTCAGCTCAGCTCTCAGAAGCAAGTCGCATCTTCGGGAGGAAATTACGATTGATGATGATGGAACAAAACCGCCTTTCGAATCATTCCAGCGATTGATATCTCCCTTTCGGTCGCATCTCAGCATCTGTCGTAATGATCTTGTTAGGTTCGAGCTTCTTGAGATTCTATCCGTCTTCTGTATTGAACTGGGAGACGACGCTATTACTGCGATGGTTGACGTTAGCAGCGATTTTTTGCACTCAACAGCGAAAACCTCATCGGTTGGAAGCCATCCGCCATACTCCCTGCGTCTCGCCACGCAGCGATTGCTTGCTTCGGTTGATGACGAAGCTGGAGAAGAAAAGGAGTTGGTCCAATCTCTTCTTGGTTTCGAATCAAGAACTGGACTTCTCAAGTCGGCAAGTCGCGATCCATCCACAACTTTTGGTATGCTCAGGCACTGGGGCATACTTGCAGTAGGCTCTAGGCAGTCTGCTGAGCTTCATAGGTATTTGCATCATCTACTATCCAATGCGACTATTTTTATTGGAAATGTTCCGGATCTTTCTGTGAATAAAAAAGAAACGGCTGAAGCAGAGGAAGCAGCCAGCGAAGATGGCGAACATATGCCGTGCAATGAACCCAGTATCAAGACAGTGGATCTGCTTGCGAAGTTGTCTATTCCGGGAATTTCTGCAGATTCATTTGTCGTGTATTTTGAGTTGACGCTGCAAATGATCGTTGCGTCGACTTCAGTTTTCTCCTTGTCCAGTAAATGGGAAGGTGACGACGAACAACACCCGTTTGATCGGCTGACGAGACTCTTCGATGTGTACGGATCTTCTATTAGCATTTATTTGCAGAAATGCCACGCTTTCCCTACACAAACCCTCCAAGTGATTGTGAAATCATCCAGAGATATTTTGAAGGCGGCGATTATAAAATTGCGTTCCTGTATGCGATGGCGGAATTTGCAACCAGTGGTATTGGTCCATGAAATGGATGATGAAAAAGACGACGTTGCATCTCCGCGACACTTGAAGCGTCTCCTCGATTCGATTGACAGCAATGTAGTTGCACGGATCCAATCGATGTGCAAGGAGCTACCCCGGCTGAAGACCTTCAAAGGCTACGGCTCCCTACAGAAATTGAAATCTCTCAGAGCGCAAGCAGAGCGAATCCAAGCAGAACTCCAAACGACTTCCAGTGTTCTTCATCTCTCTGATTTACAATATGATCAAAAGTCAGACGAAGTCCACGGTGCCAGCGTGAAAAGAGGCCGACATACAGATGGAGCCGTTGCCCACGATATTTGGCAAAACAATCATTCGCCAAGGAAAAAGCCGAGGACTGTGGTCAGCCTGCCGCCTGGATTCAATGAGGTGCAACGTGATGGCATTTCACTTTCTAGCGAACAAAGTCAAGACTCGTCGTACTCTTCAAATGGGTCAAGATCATTTGGAGCGAGCGGCAACTGGGGAGAAGAATCAGAAGAAATGTCTGAATCGGGCGACGAGATATTGTTGAAATCTAAATGGATACAAGGGGATGACGAAAGGGGGTTTCGATGACTTATGTTGTGATCTTTTTTAGCAAGATCTCGAAGTTTGTCACGGCGCAGATGCCCGTATCCTTGCGCTCAAACAAAGTTTGGCCATTCGAGTCAGTAACAACACAACCACCCAGCTGAGTTAGGACACCTGCCTGAAGTGCCTCATCGTCTGGAGCGAGCTCGCTCCAGTTTTCAATTGAGATTCCAATCATTGACTGCAATCTAAGGGTAGCTAGTTCCAATGGACGCCTCGGCCAGTCACCAACGACAGGAAGCTCATCAAATTTGTTTACAACGCTCCCATCGTCTCCAATTTGCAGTGCAGTATCTGGCCATCGTCCCTTTTTCTGGCCCACTGCAAGAGCATCTTCAATCCACGGTTGAGGAACGAATGGATTTCCAATGTAGCCTCCGATAACTGCTGGCAATGTTGCCCAGGCGCCCAGCCCAAAAAGCATTCCGAAAAGTTTGACGTAGGGATTGACGTCATCGTTGTCCTTAAGCCAACCTGTGTTCACGCCAAATTGTTTACGAGAAACTCCCTCGTTATCCACGAAGATATCCACTTCGGATGTGTCTAAGTCAACCATCTCGGCAACGGCAAGAGCAGCTTCTGGTTGACAATTCAACACGACACCAAATTTTGAAACCCCACATTCTTTCAGTCGTGGAATGTAATGGCGCAGTCTCTGGAGATATTCAATGGCATTGAAATCGGCGGCATATGTCCCAAAAATAAACAGAGTCTTTCCATTTGGATTCTCTAGGTACTGTTCTAGATTGACTGCATCGCCTCCTTTGACAGGACTGACTGCAATGCCACTTAGACTAGAAAATGCCTGCACATTCAAGGCACAAGCTAACAGTGCTAGGATACCGCGTACGATCTTCATGTTATGCGAGACAATCAATGATTGTGACTGATTGACTTCCTGACTGACTGACTCATTCCTCTTTGATGAAAAAATGGCATAAATCACACCACGTCCGTCATCCATCAGAAATCAGTCACGGATTTCCAATCGTGCCCACAGAACCATTGATAACTTGCAACCTGAAACCCAACCTTGAAACCCAACACAATTCGAGCAAACTGTCGTTTTACAACTTTCTGCTCCGTGTTATTGAAAAACAGCATGGGAGAAGATTCTGAAGCTAAAACTTTACAGAATGTCAAGAATCGCTTGCAATTCTTCTTTTCGGATGCCAATGTTCGTCAAGATCGATTTATTCGAAAGTTGTTGATGGACAAGGAGGGCGAACACAAAGGAAAGGTTCCAATTGAGTCTCTATTGCGCTTCAACACTATTAAAACACATACAGAAAAGGCCGAAGTACTTGTCAAAGCTGCTAAGGAACTTGAGGAAATATTGGAATTTGATGAAGGAGCTGCTGCAATCGGCCGAAAGGTGGAATTCACATCGGATATGATGGATGGACACATTCCAAAGTCTCTTCAAGTCATGAATTTACCAGTTGCAAAAAGTGACGGAGAGAGTGCAAAGTATGATTGTACTGTAGATGACGTGAAGGACGTATTTCAAAAGTACGGAGAAGTGGCCCTTGTCAAGTTGAGATTTTCTGGCTACAAGAAGCCACGAGATGCTGACGGTTCTGCCATGATTGAATTTACCACTAAGGAGGGCTTGGAAAAGGCTGCAGAGGCCACATTGACAGTCAAGGAGAAGGCTGATGTCGAGCCAAAAGAAAAAGTTACTGTCAAGGATTCCACATTGAAGGTTATGCTTCTTTCCGAGTTCCTAGAAGAGAACAATAGTAATCGAAAGCAACGGGACAACAAGCGCGACAGAAATGATGGAAAAGAAGAAAACGAACCACGTACTTTCAAATTCGACTGGAAGCCGGGATGTGTCGTCAAGATTAAAGGGCTGCCCGAGGGAATTAATCGAGAAGCAATTCTGGATTCCATTGCGTTGCACTTGGACATTTCTGTGACCGAAGTTAAGAATCAAAAGATCTATGCCGATTTTTCGATTGGCCAAACCGAAGGAGCTGTTCGATTCCTGGAACCCGCCGATCACGTGAAGGAACTAGCAACCAAATTGAAGAGTGGCGATTTGCAAATCTCTGGGTCCAAGGTAGAAGATGCCTTTATGCTTGAAGGAGACGAAGAAAAGAAATACTATGAAGACTTTATCGCCTTCAAGAATAAACAAATACGCAATCATGACGAGAAACAGCGTTCTCGAAAGAAGGGACGATTTGGAGGTCGAGGTCGTGGTCGTCGAAACTAAATAAGATCTATGGTATAACATAGTCTTTTATATATCCATCCATGATTGATGATTTCCAATCCCGCTGCTATTTTAGCCCGTCTGGCTTCAACGTAAGAGAACTTCAGAATTCGCTGTTTTAGGTGTCAGATCGGAATCTTATCTTGGTCGTCACAAAACTCACACGTGTGTCTTCTCATACATGATCTGCTCCTTACTACCAGTACGGTGATGCAAGTTTCAGATAACTGCGTTGAGACCACAAGCTTGAACCCCCAAGCAATTCCCTTGTTGCCAGGAAAAGAGACAATGCAACGAGATGTCAGCACCTCGTCCCAAGCCTACATTTTGCATTTGACATCGCAGACCGGGATGATGCCACGTCAATTCAACCTAGGCATGGTCGTTCACTCGGACTTCAGTGAGAAAAGACTTGTATCCTCTCTAGCCAAGCCAGGCTCCGTCTGTTCTCTCTCTGATTTCGTGGTTCTAGATCACCCAAGTTCAAGTGATGCGACCGATGTCGTCGAGTCATCCTTGCGGAAAGGTATATTGAAGGATCACCAAGCCACCAAAATCCGATTAGGAGATGCAGGTTTCGAAGAAGTGTTGAAATCAGACGTTGATGCTGTCTATATTTACGTCTCTGCAGAGTAAGAGGGAAAAAGTGCATTTTCATTGTCAGGCGTTCCGAATCTGAAAATGCGAACTCACACAAAATTTCTTTCTTTCAGGTTGCAGAAGGATTTTGTCATGAGGGCATTGAAGGCCAGAAAACACGTTTTACTGAATGATCCTGTTTCAACCTCACTGAGCGACTTCAAGGAACAGCAAGAGTGTGCAAAACAGAACGGGAAATTCATACAATTTCGAACCATGTTTTTTCATCAGTTTAGCGTTCGAAAATTCTTTGAGAGGGTTCTTTGCGATGAACGGTTTGGACAAATCACGACCATTAACTGCAATGTCCGTGTGTGCTACACGGATGTTAAAAAAGTGGGGGTTAAGTTACCTCTTGGGAAAAATGATGGAGCCATTCGAATTATGGGTCGCTTTTGCATATTGGTCAGTGCTCTCGTTTTTTCGAGGGTGGGAATTTTTGCTCATTCCGCAAAAGCAATAAGTGCAGAGTATGGAAGTGAAGGTCAAATTACTTCCACTCGATGCATTGTCAAATTCACAAATGGGTGTGTGCTGGAGTTTGATGTGGGATACACCAATTTTGCAACGCGACAGTCGATAGACATCTTGGCAGAGAATAGATTCGCTCAGATGAAGGATTTTATCATTCAGCATCCAGATGGGTTGGCGACATATCGCGTGTATGATAGAGTACCTGCCGCTTCGGGTACCATGGAGATTATAAATGGCGAAGCAATTGACGTGTATGGTGGACCAAAGGAAGAAACGATCATGTGGAGACGATTTGCCCAACTGAGTCAATCTCTTGACGATCAAGGTGGCTGGGACCAAAGTGATCGAACTGCGGAGTGCAGAGAGCTTGCAAATGTTGCTCTGCAAACAAAGAGAATCATCATTGCTCTCGGAAAGAGCTTGGACAATTCGTTTGAAGAAGTCATTATTGACGACATTGATTACGAATAGATATTTATTAAAAAAATAGGGTCATTAATATATTTTGATGATAAACTGCTTCCGGACAATTACAGATTTCTAACTTGGTTGTAAAATCGCATACTCCAGGAATCGTAGCCTTCTAGAATGACAAAGCCAACCAAAATATACCTCTTTCCCGTCGTTATCCCATGGCCACCGTGAAGGAGAGCTGATGAGTGGCTTACTATCTCACCTTGATTGATCTTTACGGCATCATCTAGCGAGGCAAACCATGTTCCACCGCCTTCAAAATCATCAGCTGAATTCAACGCAATGTTGAAGGAAACAACAGAACCGTCACGATGAGGTTTCAACTCTTTTTGGCCTCCAGCCGCGTCATACTTCACCACAAATCCATCGGCCAGTCTTAGTTTGGATGGATCGGGGAGGTATTCACCGAATTGAACCTTCAGCATTGGATATATTCGTTCTACAAGTGCCAACCTGAGAAATCTCATTGTCTCTGGAAGCTCCACCAAGGGAAGATCAGTCGTAGGAAACTGCAGAACTTAATGAGCACACAGCAGATCGTTCCGAAAAATTTCGTCACGATTTTTTTGTCACTCACATTTCCGTGTCGGTTCTTTGTCCATTCTATCTTGCTGGCAATGTCTTCTGCTTCGTTTACTATTCTCTCGCATTCTTCTTTGGTGAAAATTGGAAATTTGGTCTTGTGAAGCATGTGACCAGTGTTGTAAGGAATCATGGACTCAAAGTCGTCATCACGAAAAGTTCTCTCAACAGGCTGTATTATTGTTGTCGCTCCTTCGGGACTTGTCTCTTTTAGATGGTCGACTTTTAGTATGAAGGGAAGCTTGGATTTTGCATATGCTGGTACGTGGAGCTCCGACACGCCCAAAGAACTCGATTTTCTTCCACTCTGTCGCCTCGCAATGGAGAATATCAACTGTGAATTCTGCAAGGCCCTGCAATATATCGGAAGAATGCAAATTGTCGATATGAAAAGGAGAGCAATCGTCGTCATGAAAGACGGAGAATCGTGTAGAATATGGAAAGCAAGACGGTTTGCTGTTGCCCGTTGACAGCAGAATTTCGAATTTATGACAAAATAAGCGATGGTGTTGGATGTCGGATGTTGATTGCAGTGTGACGTTTGCGAACGATGATTTGATTAGTGTGACTGCTTGGGCGATTTCCTAGCTCCATTTCTTCATATCATCTTCAATCTGTTCGTGGTCAAAACAACTATGGCTCCAACAGATGAGAAGTTGCAACGTTACCGGTTGATAGTCTCCTACAATGGAACCCAGTATCAAGGATTTCAACGCCAGAATTCAGGTGTCGTTGAAGCCAGGCCCAACAAGCGACAACGGTCAGAAAAGGGAAAGAAAACCAAGAAGACCAAGTCGACGATACAGGAGACTATCGAAGATGCCCTTCAGCATTTGAGCGGTCTCGACAGGCTGGCCTTGAAAGTGCGCTTTTCTAGTAGAACTGACTCGGGGGTCCATGCTCGAGGACAGGTTCTCGCGGTCTCCCTTCCTCCGAGTCTTTGCCCAGAGTTCTGGCAGCTTCGAAAATCCATCAACAGTCGGTTGCCAAAGGACATTTCAGTCGATGATGTTTGTGCCTGTTTAGAAACTTTTGAGCCTCGTGAACATGTCTTGTGGAAGAGATACTCGTACACTTTGAAATATCGACGGAAAGTTGTGAAGGATGATGGAGAGCTGCTTCCAATCTGCACGAGTGGCCCAAACAGTATGTCGAATTTTTTGTTTCGCTTGAGCTATTTGCTTCGTAGTGTCTATCTCACATTTATTCATAGCAATTCGAAACGGACTTGATCCTACTGCGATTTGGGTGGTACCATGGGTCCTTGATGATTCCAAGTTGGATGAGTACTGTGAGAAGTTGATCGGAGAACACGATTACTCAGTTTTCGTTCACAAGCACGCACGAAGAGAGAGGGAGAACGTTCTCACCGTGAACAGACTATTTTGTACGACCCTAAATGAGACGAAGGAAGAAGCACCAGTAGTCACAGTGCGACTCGATGTGGAGGCTAAGGTACGCGTGCCCAACCAAGCTTTTTGGAGTTATTGTCACGGGTCGTGGGATATCTAACACTTGTTATTAGGGTTTTAGACGATCCATGGTCAGGAATCTAGTCGGCTTTCTTGTGGACATATGCATGGGATCTGTTGATGAAACAATATTTGAGGAGGAACTTTGGTTAGGGAAAGATGACACCGCAGCGAAACTGAACATGGCGCCTGCTGTCGGTCTCTGTCTGGAATATGTTCAACATGATGAAACAAAGTGGAAAGAAGGGGCCATGGGTAAGTAGCTAGCAACTTACAGTAGCTTGCTTTCCTTCTTGGTACAATAAAATAACGACTTCTTCAGATCACGAATCACATTCGAATCGTTCGACTAAACTTCACCTTTGTGACGTGCATTAGAAAATGTTCATTCTTCCATTTCAATCTTTCTGCATCTCACAGTCTCGGTTCGTCAGAGGGTCACAAAGTCTTGACCCAACAACTCGCAATGCTTCGGCTCGCATACTGTAGGCAGGTTGGCCGACAACCCAGACTTCTAGAGTCGACAGTGTGCAGTGTTCAGACTCGATGCTTTACACATGGTGACAAAAGTAACAACTCTTCCCTCGTCGTCCCAACAAAATTGCGCTTTGGCGACGAAGCCCCGCGAATGCCACATGCTTTGGCTCTTCCAGTAACAAATCGACCTTTGTTTCCCGGAGTTGTCACTACTATTACCTTGACAGATCCCGCAACAATCGACGCCCTGGAAGCCCTGCAGCAAGATCAGCAAAATTCTTATGTCAGCGTTTTTCTGCGCAGGACGAATCCTACTGGAGTTTCGGAGGGCGGAGTACTACTACCGTTGCCCGAAGTTATTACGGACCCGTCCGAGCTTTACGACGTTGGTACATTTGCACAACTTTCGCGTCTGACAAGGAAATTACCTTCACCAGATTTAGATTCTGAAACCACAGATGAAGAAAAGAGTGATGATTCTGCGACGGCTCTGCTGCTGGCTCATCGCCGTGTGAATCTCGTGAGTGTCGATGAAATAGGCCCACCTATTGATGTGACGATTTCCCACTGGCCGCGACTTGAGTACACAGGAGCCGATGATACAATCCGAGCATTATCCAATGAACTTTTGAGCACCATCCGTGAAGTGGCTCAGCTGAACGTCCTTTTCCGTGAAAATGTGCAATATTTTTCCCAGAGATTAGATGCCAACGATCCTTATCGACTGGCAGACTTCGCTGCAAGTGTATGCTCCACAGCAAAAGCAGAAGATTTGCAGGCTCTGTTGGAAGAGAAAGATCCGGAAATGCGACTACATCAAGCTCTTGTCCTCTTGAACAGAGAACGTGAAATCTCCAAATTGCAGCAAGAAATAAGCCAAAAGGTGGAAGAGAAGATGAGTGAAACACAGCGAAAGTATTTTTTGAATGAACAGCTAAAGTCCATCAAGAAGGAATTGGGAATGGAGAAGGACGATAAAGAAAGTGTCATTGAGAAGTACCGCAAGCAGCTCGCTGAGTATCCAGAAATTCCTGAGGAAGTTATGAGCGTAATTGAATCAGAGCTTGAAAAGCTCTCATCTCTTGAAATGAATTCTTCGGAATACAACGTAACCCGAAGTTACTTGGATTGGTTGTGTGGTGTCCCTTGGGGTGTTTTGAGTGACGAGAACTTCGATATTAGTAGAGCACGAAAAATTTTGGACCGTGATCATTATGGTCTTGAGGATGTGAAGGATACCATTCTTGAATTCATTGCAGTGGGAAAGCTGAAAGGTAGCGTACAAGGCAAAATTCTGTGTCTCTCTGGCCCACCTGGAACTGGAAAAACCAGTATTGCCAAATCAGTGGCAGCTTCGTTGGGTCGGGAGTTTTATAGATTCTCGGTTGGCGGACTGGGTCAAGTTTCCGAAATCAAAGGGCACCGCCGAACCTATGTGGGTGCGATGCCCGGAAAAATGATCCAATGTCTCAAGACAACTGGAACGACCAACCCTGTGGTTCTAATAGATGAAATCGACAAGCTTGGCCATGGTTACCAAGGAGACCCAGCAAGTGCTTTACTAGAAGTATTGGATCCAAGCCAGAATTCCAGTTTTACTGATTTCTTCCTCGACATTCCAGTTGACATCAGCAAGGTATGTAAATATTGCGGAAAGAAGATGCATTGAAATCTATCGCGTACTCATTATTTCACTCTATACAGATATTATTCATATGCACAGCCAATGAACTTGAGCGTATTCCAGCGCCACTGCTCGATCGAATGGAAGTGATTCGACTCTCTGGATATGATTTTCCCGAGAAGGTTGCGATCGCCGAACAATATCTCGTTCCCAAGTCGATGAGAGATAGCGGACTCATGGAAGAGAAAACTCCAGCTGCTAGTGAAGCTGAAGCTGAAGGTGGTAGTGAAGATACTGGTAGCTGTGACGAGGTACCAAAGAAACCTCTCGACTCCTTTCAACATGTCGAAGGTGTTCCCGAAACAGTCGGCATCGCACCTGATGCAATCGATAATATTGTTCGATGGTATGCACGAGAAGCAGGTGTTCGAAACTTGTCAAAGTACATCGACAAAATTACTCGTAAGCTGGCCCTCCAGGTGGTGGCGGAAAAGGAAGGAACCCAATTGAGCAAAAAGAGTTCAAAAAAAGGCAATGGTTGGATGGTATCTGAGGAAAATCTCCATGATTACATTGGAAAACCCATCTTCACCAGTGATCGCTTATATGATAAAGACCCGCTCCCTCACGGCATTGTCATGGGACTAGCCTATACTTCAATGGGGGGAAGTGCACTGTATATTGAAACTCAAGGCATACAACGTGGTATGAACGATGATGGTAAACCAATTCGTGGGGGATCTCTCAAGGCAACGGGCACTCTAGGGGATGTTATGAAGGAGAGTTCTCAGATTGCTTATACTGTCGCTCGTGCTCGTTTGGCAATGTTAGACAGCTCGAATAACTACTTTGACAACATGGACATCCATATGCACGTCCCCGAGGGCGCTACACCGAAGGATGGCCCTTCCGCAGGAATTACAATGGTAACATCCATGCTCTCGTTGGCTCTTGGTAAACCTATTAGAAACGACCTCGCAATGACAGGGGAAGTAAGTCTAACAGGTAAGGTCCTTCCGGTTGGTGGGATCAAGGAAAAGATCATTGGTGGGAGACGAGCAGGAATCAAGAAAATCATTCTACCTGGAGCAAACAAAAGAGACTACGAAGAAATTCCTGACTACCTCAAGGAAGGTTTGGAAGTGTGCTTTGCGGACGAGTATGAACAGGTTTACGAACAGGTTTTTGGATCTTCATGAAGCTAGATAATAATAGAAAGGAAATGATAGAAAAGTCTGCAGTGTTATGCTTCCGTCTGAAGTACTCGTTCTGCAATCGGTCTCCATGCGCTTGCAGCTGATCGGTTCTGATGAAGAGCCATAGCAAGTCCCCGTAGAAGGATTGAGCAGCGTGACGCCATGAGTAACTCAGTTGGAAGCTGTACGATTGGATCTCGACTTTCCAAGTCTTCCATGAAGAGCTGAATATGCTTGCCCTGCAGTATTTTGTCGTTAATTGTATCGTAACTCACTTTGGCATAAAGATAGAGAACTTCTGGGTCCATTTTCTCAGTTTTCATTCCTGCCTTTTGCATCAGCCTCACAATTTCTTCTTTATTGTCATCATCAAGTGCAATGAGGAGCCGGGCAAATAGATGCCTTGTTTCCTTGGAGATTTTCTTAACCTGCCCATAATCAATTAACCCAATAGATGGACTACCATCAACCTCACGAAGAAGCATGATGTTTCCTAAATTGATGGAGAAAAAAGATGAGATATGACAATAAAATAAGATATCCAATCGACTCTCTCTCGACATACCGGGATGACAATCCCCATTAAAATATCCATCCACCAAGATTTCATGTCCATGAATGTAGAAAAGATCATCGATCATCTTTGCATGATTAACTAAGCAGACGACAATGAGGCACAAACGGTGCCATGTGACTCCCAACAATTCCTTTTTTCTACTGTACTTACCTGGAAGTGCAGACTTGTCTTCGATCACTTTCATCTTGTTTCCTGGGAACCATCCAACTGAAATGTTATGCAGCTTTCTCAGAGTATTTGAAACCAGTCTCTGCTTGTTCAAGACTGAAATGTACATGTCATATTCGCTTGAGCTTGGACCCTTCAGCTCTTCTCCTCGTTCTTTTGCAAGCCTCTCCTTCTGCTTCATTTCTGACATGTATTGTTCTGTCGTCTTGCCTTCTCGTCTGGCTTGAATCCCCATCTCGTCTTTGAGACCATCTGCTAATTTGACCCCATGAAGTTCTTCCATGACAAGAACACGTTCTGTGCAAAGATGTAGGTAGGGTTTTGGGACTCGGCACGCTTTGCCTGGTCCCTCTAGTCCCGCCTTTCGAAGATTCTTACGCACATTTTCGAGCTGTTGACCTTCCTGGACATAGTCAAATTCGGTCATGAACTGCTCTTCTATCTCTTCGAGTGCTGGTACATGGACTGGCTGGGCAATTTGTGCAAACATTTTGATCGTGACAACATCACTGCGGTCCAAGGTGTAAGGTTGAGGTATTTTATGAGTCACTGAAACAAAAGCCCCAAGCGGCCCATCCTTACCCTCTAAGAATTCTTTCGACGTTTGGATATCGGACTTTAACAACTACTGGGGTCCCATTTTTCAGTGTTGCTCTGTGCACTTGGCCAATCGCAGCTGATCCAATTGGCGTTTCTTCAAACGAGCTAAAGACTTCGTCAAAATCAAGTTCACTCGAGACGATATCCTTGATCACTGTGAAATCTTGGGGAGGGACCTGGTCCTGTAGAACGCTCATTGTATCTTGCCAAATTTGTGGAAAAGCTCCACCCATATTGGCCGCCACCATCTGCCCACCTTTGATGTAGAAACCTTCAAGCTCGTATGCTTTGTCCAGGGCTGTTTTCGAAGTATCCGTATCCAGCTTGTCCCAAACGTGATCTGGTGACTTGTTGTACATATGATATCGATATTCAACATATTTTGGAATGGCAAAACTTTCGAAAACAAGGTTGAGGTTACTATGGAAGAACCAAGCTCCTCAAAACTTCTTCACTCGTATTTCTCGTACGCACACCATCATCTTTTTCGATTTCGACCAAACAGCCACAACAGCCACAACAGCCAAGTATTTCAATAGTTTTTGATCGTACCTATAGAAGCTCAAGCTTCGAGTCAACCCTTCCGTTCCACCGACATTATCGTGGACATATTTTGTTGCTCCAGCGGTTGCAAGCACAACAGAACCTCCCAGCAAAGGATACAGAACGCTCGTCCGAGAACCAGCACTTTCAGAGGAAAATGGTCGTTTGCCGTCTAATCTAGACAAGCGAGCAAAGCGAACCAATCGGCTCTCTAGGTTTCCTTCAGACGCAAGCTTGCGTCGAATCATCACTAAAGTGAGAACAAACTGATGGTGAATGGCAACAGTTCGGGCAGATTTTGTTATGGCTTACGTCACGCGTGACTGAACGAATGAGTCAGTCAATCATTCAATCACGCACTGCAAAATGCACAGAGAAGCGATTAGTTTGAAGTGGCAAATATAAAATACGTGTACTGGTGTACCTGGTGTGGTACCAGGTTCCCGATACCCGTACGGAGCATGAAGCTGATCGGATTTGACGAGTACTGTAGCTGGTAGATCTTGAGGACAGAAACATGCATCAAAACGTTTTCAACAATCAAAGTTAGATGAATACCATCTGTCGTTGGCCTTGTGAGAGGCTTTTCTTAAAATCGAAAAAAATGCTACCCAAAACGACTCCCAGATGTTATTTGTCAACACTGAGAGGGAGGAGGATACTGTAGTTAACCCTCCACCCCTCTCTCAGCGTATGAAGTTTTGGAAGGACGCGACCTCAAATTACTCCCTAATTGTCCTGGTTCCGTTTGGCTCATCGACATCAAGCGACATTCAGCAAGTGGCACTGCCACTTAAATGGAAACTTGCAATCGTGTTTCAAGGCTAAGCGGTCGAAAAGAAAGGCTCAAAAACTTGAATGTATCCTTAAGTGTTGTTGTTTTTTGAGTCGTTCATTATACGCGAATCAAATCTGAAGGAAACCAAAAAGTCCGTAACGAAAATCTCTTGAAGCTCGGCAGAAGAAAACATAATTTCAAGGAGTCCAAGACCACAATGACTGTCAACACCTTACACGAGCAATTGGCCCTTCAGGAGATGTCTCATGCATCACCATTGACGCATACATCTTCCTTGAATGCCCAATTACGCCTTGCTCAGTTCATTGAACTGGAGGCAGCTATTCTCGCTCGGAGAGCACTAGTGCCATCTAGCTGGCTTCTTCGACAAGCCTTGGCAGACCGTGCAACCGGTTCATCAGGTGATATTGGCATGGTTCTAAAGAGCGCACGGCACTTTACTCCATCTTTCAGCACCACCACCGCTCAGAAGCCCAGCACTATCAAGCCTGGTGGAGCTGGCCTGTCCCTTGACGTACCATCTGAACTCGACATCCTTTGCGGAAGGGGAGGGAAGTCAAATCACCACGCAGGAAATAAGCGATACCGCCAGGTCATCAGCGATATGAAAGCTCGCTATCGATCAATCGGATCCAAGACTGCAAAAACCCATGTCAGCAGAGCCATTGTCGAACATGTCCATGGCTACGGTGGTAGGTTTCTCCGCTTTGATACAGAGAAGCGGAAATACATTGTGCTGAGTGCTGCCGAGGCACGAAAGAAAACAAGCCAAGCGCTAAGAGAAGCCAAAGAAGTAAAGTGGACGAAATAGACGAGCTATATCTCAGTATTGTAACAATTGGATTTGTAAGTCTGCAACTAGGACTATTATTGATACTGCCCCCTAGCATTTGGGTTTTTCTGAAGAGAAAATCGGAGCTCGGTCATAGTCAAAGCGAAACTAGAATACAGAAAGGTACAAGGTTGGACATTCTGGTTGCTTCAAATGAAGGCAACATACGCATACAAAGATACATCCTCAAAACATTTGATTTTCTATACTTTTATCCAAGCTGCCTTTGTATATGTGCAGTGTGCAATCTACTTTCAGCATACGTTTAACACAAATTTTCAAAGTATTCTCTTCGTGTATCAGACGATTGAACGCTCACCACCAACAATCACTTTACAAACAAGGAAGGCTCCCAACATGTCATTCACAAAAATCTTCACCTCTTAGTAGTCCTCGAATATCTTTTGCTGTTCAGGCGTCAGTGCAGGATGTGTCTTTAGTGTCTTGTCTTCCAGGTGGTCCCAGTTTTCAAAATTTGATTTGTCGAGCGGATCTTTGAGTTCGGGTATCCATGGTGCCTTGATCTCTTTGTGACGAATTGCACCGAAATCGACAGAATCATACCAGAGATGTGCGTAAATTTCATTAATGCCTCGCGACAGGGAACCCAACCGCTTGGCTGGATCCAAGACAAAAAATCGTTGCAGCAGATCTTCTACTTCCATCGACATGACGCCAGCAGGTGGAAATTGATATTGAGCTTTGCAGATTCTTCGGAAAAGAGTGATTTGATCCATACCGTCGTCAAAGAAAGGTGTGTACCCTGCAATCATTTCAAACAATAGAACTCCATAAGACCAATGGTCTGCCCCCTTATCATGACCACGATTAAGAATGACCTCGGGTGCCAAGTAGAGTGGGGTCCCGCACAGTGTGTAGGTTTTGGTTGGGACATATTTGGCTTTTCGTTGCGAAAACACAGATGAGGAGTGTGAAGCCTAGAATGGAACCAAATTGCGATGATATACGTACCAAAACCGAAATCAACAATCACTGGATATCCAGTACTATCAATGAGCACATTCTCGGCTTTCAAATCCCTGTAGAGAATCTGTTGTCTGTGAATATGCGAAAGGCCCTCAAGAACAGCTGAACCGTAGAATTTGGCATCCTTTTCACTCATGCCGTCGTACGTCGTTTGATGCATCAAACTGAACAATTCTCCACCTTGCACGACACCCAGAAGTAGGTATAAGTATTGCTTATCCTGATAGGTTTGCACAAGATTAATGACGAATGGATGTCGAACCTCTTTGAGAAGATTCTTCTCTTGAATCACTCCCTTTGCTTGGTGGTTTTGGATAAGTTCGTGTTTGGACTGGATTTTCAGAGCATATGGTTTGGTTCGACCTTCAGGACTTGCTGAGTTGGTAACAAGCCACACTTGGCCAAAGGTTCCTGCACCCAAAATGCCGTGTTTGACTAGTTGATCCAGATCGATATCAAGCTCACCAGTATCAAGGCGCTTTTCACTCTTTCCAGATGACAGCCTTGTGGTGTCAAAAATTTTCCTACAATCCGAAATTGAAAGCACACCGGCAACAAGACCATCACTGAATGTTGTTACTGTGTACTTGGCAACAGTCCTTGAACTCTTCTTCAGCCCCCCAACGTCGACTTCCAGCATGTCTTCCCCAAAGTATCCACCCTCATCAATGATGGTATCTCTTTCGCCATCAGCACTTTGCAAACGGACTTTTCCCTTCCGCACAAAGTAAAGCGCTGCTGTCGTCTTTTCTCCTTCCCTTACGATCGCTTTTTCGCCGCTAAACTTCTTATCTCTGAATTCACTGGCGAGTGCCGCAAGGGTCGGTTGTGATATCTTTGATGTTTGAAATATTCGTAGAGCAGCCTGTAAAGAAAATAGAAGGGAGTAGTTAGATACAGATACAAAGTCCTGATTCATACGCCGTGTACCAGGTACCGACGAAGTCAAATAGCTTACCAACTTTCGTCGATCTTCCGATTTCACCATGAGCATTGCCAGTTTTCCAACAACCTTTTCAAATGTTTCCTTGTCGATCGTCAGCGCAATTCCATTGGTATTGGCAACGCAATCTGCTGATCGCGGCTCCTTTGCTAGCAAGGCTCTTTCGCCAAAGTAATCTCCTGGTCCAAGGACTTGGTCCTCGTAGTCTCTTGATCCAATGGTAATATTCTTGACAGAGATTTGCCCTTCTTGGATGACATAGAATGTGTCTCCTTCTTCTCCTTTGATTACGATATATTCACCCTCCTCGAATTTGCGCGGAGTCATTGTGTGTACAAGTTTGTTGAGGTCGGAAGCATCCAGGTCTTGCAAGAAGGTAATACCCTGCAACAGATTTTTCTTATCACCTTCAGCCTGTAGTGTTTGCGATTGCATGATGTACCGAAAAGTTTTCTGATCTACTCGATACACTGTAGTAGGCGTCTCCGCAATGACAGAAGCGGCACGAGGACTGGTGTATAGCAAGGCAAGCTCACCAAATGACTTGCCCTTTGTGGCATACCCCACCACGTTTCCACCTAGCTCAAACCGGACCTTCCCGGCTCTCATGATGTAAAAGAAATCACCTATGTCTCCCTGTCTTATTAAAGTATCACCCTGTTGTATTTTGCAACTTTCGAATGCATCAATGATTGTTTTCATCTCCCGGTCGGAAAGCGCCCTGAAAGGAGAATAGGAAATGTAAGCATCGCAGGTTCAACACAGAATACGAAATTCGCGATGGTCAATCATCCTTGTCAATCACTCACGAAAAGACAAAGTTCTGTTCGAGTGCTTCATGAATAAATGATCTCTCTGCCTGGCCTTTGGGAAATACTGGGGCCTGGAAGGAATTAAGATCTTCCAGCGGTGCGGCGAATACATTTTTCAAATGGTGCACACCTGCACCCCTATCAGCACCTTTGGCAAGCTTGACAGCGGTCGTTTCCTTCAACTGGCTGACTAGCTGTGGCTTGGATGTAGCGTTGTTCATAAGTGGTCGAGCGTTTTTGCCATGGGCACCCAACAAATCTGGAGTACTGTCTGCTTGGATCTGCCTTATAATCTCTGATTCGCGTAGGTTGCTTTTAGGTGATGATGCATCCTTACCGCTGTTTTTACTGCCATCGACAACAGCGGCAGACGCCGTTTCTGGTTTACTTGACCCGCAACCCATGATTTTGTTGCTTCAATCTCCCCAAGACGCAGACCAATATCAATGTGGAAGAGAATAAGTATGATTTGGTGTAAACACTGTTGCCGAGTTCAACTGATAGGGTATTAGACCAACTCGTTGTGACCCTAGCATCACCGCTTAAGTACCAATGTCATCTGAGACACAACACTGGACGAAAAAAGATCGCGCGAGTTGATGTGCGGACACAGTGCGGGGCAATTTGGACTCGCACGAGTTAATGCGTTGCATCTCGTTGTCGGAGAGGAAATCACCACAAGTTATTGAAAGGGAATCAATCAGCCCGATTGGATGAGATACAGGGCCACTATCTGAGTGGAATCAAAAGCACGAGAATAGCGCGCTTCCTTTGCCTTTGAACATAGTGCCTTTGGTTGATTCCTTCTTCGAGTCAAAATGCGAGCATTAGACCAAAATGTGAGACAACGGCAGTCACAGGCCACAAGACTCGGCGAAAAGTCACAAAGGAGCAACTCAGCACCAACTTCATGGGAGCATAGATCCGACGAGGGATTCGAGTCATCAAATAGTGGGAACAATATACCGATGTACAATCCCCTTCACTTTTCCGATGAGATGAATGGTGCACCTGGAAGCCCTCCTCTTGCCTCTCAGCATTCGACGTCTTACGACAAGACTAACGATATGATGCTTCGATCATCCGTCGCTATGGATGGTATCCACGCAACGGGTGGAAAGCTTCATGCGCATTCTCTCGCATTGAATGCTGTTCCAGATTCCAGCTACCAAGCTTATCTGAAAGGACAGTCATTCAAAAAGAAAAATGGCTCCTTTATTGATGGGATATGTTTCGCCAAGTTCTGTGCCTTCTTTTCGACCGTGGCCATCATGTTCTTTATATTTGTGGGTATCATTATTGATGTGCAGCCAATGTATTTGCAGGGTATTCTGATAAAACACCAGCAATACAATGAGAACCAGAAGATGCAAACATATTACGATTTGACTCAGGGCGAACGACTTGACACAGCCCGTCGTGCTTACCAAGCAGCCTTCTTTTATTTCTTGACGGTCTGCGCCTGCCTCGCATATGCCTACAACTTTCACTTCTATTTTAACAGCAGGATGGGACAATATCATGATGTTCCAGATGCTGACCCGACCAATGAAAACTTTGGCACTGCCTCGTCAAAGGGTGGTCTGCCGATGTACAATAGCCACACAATGCAGGCGTACCAGCACGACCATAGGATAGGTTCTAAAGTATGGAACATGGCATCGTTGACCACGAACCGAGTTAGAATGCACATTGCATCCAACTGGCCAAGCTACGGAGAAAAGCGTAGGTCACGGCGGCGCCAAATGGGGGCAAAAGACGTGTAGCTACATCAAACGACTGCGAAAAAATTCCACCAATGCTATCATAACTTCTAGAATGGCTTCAATAGATCTAACCGTTGAGAAATTCCCCCATAGTCCATGTACCTTCATACAAGACGGTGCCATCGGATGCTGTTTGAATTCCCGTGCCATGCAACTTATCATTCTTGTGTTCACCTTTATAACGCCGACCGTCTGGATAGATATACTCTCCAAGACCTGAAAATCAAGCCATGACTTAGACAAGAGGAGAAGAAGCAAAATGTGATTACAAAAAGATTTTGGAAACTTACCATTCCGTTGATCTTGATGATACTCTCCTTCGTATCGCGATCCAATGGGCCAAGTTTCGATGCTGACAAGAAACGAATGTTGAGGCCAAAGTGAAATTATTCGATTCATCAAGAGGACCCAATACCACGTACCATCTTCCTTCCCGAATTCCATCCACGTAGTCACCAAGATAGACTTGCCCGTCCGGCCAAATATAGACGCCTGAAAAATTGAGAAAATATGTTGGTACATAATGGTATAATGATCCATGGGAAGTACAAGAACTAATCATATATTCACCTCTTCCATGAAATCTATCGCTTTTATAACCCCCTTTGTACAAATCACCATCAACAGTCAAGAAGACACCATCACCTACGAAGAAAGAAACAAAACAATGAGTCAACCAAAGATCAGTCACCAGTCACTCACAACCTAGCGGTCATCTCTAATCATACCATGTCTCTGTCCATGCAACCACTGTCCAACATAAATTGATTGGTCATCAAACCGAATCAGACCATGACCATCGGGATTGCCCTCGATATCGAGCCATCCAGTGTAAACACCAGGCGATCGACCAATATTGCATGCCCACTCGATTACGTGCTTCTTCCCCTGCATAACCTCACCAGGAAGATCTGACGGGAGAATGTGCGCCATTTCCACAGCACCGTACCCAAACTTCTCGCCAAAAGTAGAGTTCATAATCTTTCGCGCCTCACGAAGTTGACCAAGTCGCTCCTGTCGTTCCTCACTCTCTGGAGTTCGAACATCATCAAGATCAAGTGAATCCAAGAGATCTTTGGTTTCATCAAATATTGTTTGGAGCGCTTCTTTGTCTTCTTTCAGCTCTTCTAGTTCCAATTGCTGCTGTTCACGTTGTTCCACAAACGCTTGCTTGGTGAGCTGCAGCTCTTGAATAATGGAAGCTTGCTCTTCATTCTTCTGTTGGTACTCTTTCAATTGTGTGTTGAGTCTCTCAATCTGTGCTTGCTTTTGCTCCAGTAGAAGTTTATTTCTAGGAATCAATAGCTTCCAGTCATCAATCTGGCGCTCCCTTTCTAGGACCTGTCGCTGTAGCCGAACATTTTCGCGCTCAAGATCGTCGTCAGGGCCCTTTGTAGCTTCCACAGTCGCTGCAGCACGTGCCGCCGTCAATGATTCCTGTATATCCCTATTTTCGGCTGTGAGCTGCTTACACTCTCTTTCGAGCATCCCCAGACGCTCTTCCATTACTTTCACCCTCTGCTCTTCGTGAACACTTGCCAAGTCCTGCTCCTCCAGTTGTATCGTCAATCTTTGTTTTAACTCGTCTCTTTCTTTTTCAATGTTCTCCTTTTCAGTTGTGACAGCTGATATTGATTTCTGCGCCTCGGCAAGCTGTTCCTTAATCATTCCCAGCTCTAAGGAATTGCTGTCAGTAGCAGCAGATGCCTCTTCAGTGATACTTCCAAGCTTTTCAAGCATCTCTCGTTGTTGCTTTTTCGCACTTCGCTTCTGCTTCTTCTTTTCCGCTTTAAACATTTCCTGTTCCAAGGCAAAGCGTTCCCTTTGCAGGTCCAGCTTCTTCTGGGCCACTTCCAGCTTGGACCATTCGCTCTGTATTGAACTCATGTTGGTTTCAAGTATAAAATGAAATGGAACCTGCTATTATACCGCATACACTTCCGTTTTGGGAAGGTTTTTTGAATCCCGATGTGTGACTTCTTCGATCGAATGAGAAGCAAGAAAAATCAATTACGACTCGTCGGACTAACGTAGAGTACAATTCTTTCACAGGATGAATACCTGCTGTACCCAAAAACCAATCCATACAGCAATTTCACTTAGGAACCATTTTAAGCGGGTCCACCGTTGGATTTAAGTATTAAAAAAGAACTAGCAACTGTCTCTCGAATGAATCAATCAATCGATGAAACAAACTACGCACTACTCTTCATCCAGTGCCTTTATCAACTGTTCAAGCTGATTTGGATCGGCTCCTGAAAAACGCTGCCCATTCGAGAAGATGAAGGTTGGAACCGCCGAGATTTGGAACTCTGCTGCGGCCTCGGAGTTGTCATCCACATCAATTTTTCCAAAGCTAACTCCGTCGTATTTCTTGGCCAATTCTTCGTAGACGGGCTGTGGCGGATCGTGGTAACACCAAAGAATGCATTGAAAGCCGAGGTTAGAGGTATTGACAAAGAATTGCTATATGGGAGGATTTTGGAATTTCTGCTTACCTTGATTGCCTTGCAAGGTGGACACCTGAATTGACGGATAGAAGAATGAATGAACCATCAGTGCGAGGGTGAGTACACTAGTTGAATAAATACCATAGAAATGAATCGGCACCGTCGCTGGCTCAAAACCAACTTACCATGTGGCTGTGAAGTACATGATGTTCTGTGGAAAATAGCAGATGTTTAGAAAATAGATCTAGAGTTCCATATTCGGGAAAGTTGGATCCGGTTGCCAACTTTGACAGTGGCGCGTACCTTTTGATTCACTTCTTGGAACTTGGTGGTGGCATCCATGTCAGAGATATTGATGACAGACATGAAGCGCTGCCCAAGCATAGGGCTTGTCACCTTTTTCAATGAATACGTCAATCTCAAAGCCATGATGGTGTTGTTTGTGCGAGAATAAGATGAACACTGTCGAAACATCCGGGTCGAACGAATCAATCAATATTTATGAGATCGGCGATATGGTAGCTGTATAGCTACAGTAGAAAATACATTTTAAAAGTTTTAGTTGCAAGTAGGTCTTGAAAACTTTTAAAATTGTTTATAGTAAGAGCGTAGATGGGCTTTCCAGGTAGGACTTGAAGGCGCTGAGCCATTGTGCTCCAACAGCTCCGTCAACTACTCGATGGTCACAACTCAAAGTGGCTGTCATCACAACACTTTCTTTGTAAATCTCCTCACTGTCGAGGTCATCGTTCGGCACAATTCTGTTTTCCAAAGCACCGATTGCCAAAGCAACAGATTGTGGCTCTCGAATCACAGGTGCACACGACTTGACTCCATACATTCCCAAGTTCAAAATTGTGAGGGTTCCCATGGATGCAAATTCCGAAGACAATTCACCTTCCTCGACAGCTGTAACAGCGGCATTCAATTCATCGGAAATGCCCTTGAGGCCCTTGGAACCGCAATCTCTGATAACAGGAGAGTAAAGATTATCTCCAGTTCCAACCACGACATTGACATCGACCGAATCGTACACACGGACTACACTGTCCATCCAACTGGCATTGGCAGAAGGAACAGCCTTCATGGATTTGGCAGCAGCCTTAATAATGAGTTCGTAGACTCCCAAGTTGCTCTCCTCTCCAAGGACACTAGACAAAGTGGATCGAAGCTTGAGTAGTTCGTCCATGGTAACATCGACTGTCAAATAGTAATGAGGAACATTGCGTTTAGATTGTGCCAATCGCATGGCAGTTTCCTTGGAAGAAGCAGAGATTGGATAATCCATATATCCAACTCCTGGAATGGGATCTGCTGCAGCAATGGCTGCTTGGCCAGGTGATCCTTCGGTAGGCATGGCAGCAGAAACAGTGGAAGGGTCGAATTCTTTGACATCATCGGCAATAATGCGGCCATCAGGTCCAGTTCCAACAATGGACGAAATGTCGTATCCCATATCTTTGGCCAACATGTGTGCCAACGGAGAGGCTACGACACGTCCACCAGAAGGTGCGGCAGCGGGTGCTGGTGCAGCAGCTGGAGGTGGTGTGGGAGTTGGGGCAGGAGTTGGAGCTGGTTCCGCAGCAGCAGGTTCCGCTGGAGCAGGAGCGGCAGACTCCTCCAAAACATAGTCCGCAAAGGCAGAGATATCCTCTCCTTCTTCGACTGTAATCATGATAGGTTGCCCGCATTGAATCTCATCGGATCCGGCTGGAACGAGAATTTTTGCCACAATACCATCGTCCTGTGCTTCAAAGTCGACAGTTGCCTTGTCGGTTTCCACACTACACAAACTTTCTCCTGGCCCAAAGGTATCTCCTTCTTCCTTGTTCCAGCTAGCAATTGTACCAGTTTCCATTGTCTGTGAGGAAAAGAAAATTCGTGTAAGACATCAGTTTCATGTACCAACTCCATCTTGTTTCACTTCTCCTGATAGTCACAGAGGATCCGACAAAGATTGTCACTTACTGGCGATAGAGCTGGGAGTCCAACAACTTCATGAGGAGGATAACTGGAGAACCAAGACCGAAGAGTCAAAGGAGCGGCTGCTCTCTTGGAGTGCTGAAGGGAGAGGGAGGAAGAACGAGCCGCAACTCTTGAGAATTGCGACAATCCTCGGCAGATGGAAGTGGAAGCCATTTTCGTTGTCGTTGTTGATTGGGTGAATGTATGACTGGATACCGGATTTATCCAACTGCAGACTTGCGGTTCTTTCTATTTGATATTCAAGAAAGACTTGTTGCAACAGGGAGTAGTTGGAATGATGTACAGTCGCAAACTAGGCTCACAAATATCGTTCGTTGGATCTTCGTCGGCTTGTTCCTGTCGGTGGCGGAAGTTCGCAAGGCCGAATGGGCAGCAGATTGAGCGAGCGGACGGACGAATATTCGGTCATTGGATCGGATTGGTCAACACTTCCTCCAATCATCATCCCTCCAACGTCACAACCGCTGTCGGTGGCAAACCTCCAAGCTTTCTTCTTGAGATACACAAAATATTTACACGTTTCGCACCCAATTACAAGGATATTCCATCATGCCTCAAAGGTTCTTCTTGGCTCTTAGTCTCATTTTGATGGCACTTTGTGTCACTGGCTTTGCGCCACAACATTCCTCGTCTACTACTACTACTACTACTACTACTCCTACCACCCACCAACCACAATCCAGCAGACTGTACGCAGCGGACGCATCCTCCTCGCAAGAGACAGCGGCCGCATTGACGGCTTACATGGCCAAGGCGCACGAAGAAAAGGTTGCTGCCATGGCCCGCGTGGAAGCCCAATACAAGGACGAAATTGAAGCCTTGAAAGCCCAAGTGGCGGAATTGCAAGGTCCAACCACTGCCGCGCCCTCTTCCAACAACTCCTTTGCCTTTCCTGCCACCAATCGAGGCCTAGCCGAAAAGGTCGTCTCGTATCAAAGGTTCATTTCCAAATATATTATCAAAACGCAAGCTGAAAAGCAAAAGGCCGTAAAAGAAGCGGAACAAGCAACGGCTGCCAAGTACGAAGCCAAGATTGAAGCGATGTCCTCGGCGGCACCTGTCGAGAGTACACTGCAATAGAAGTACTATTATAACAGAATGAATCATTGGAAGTGCTCTAAACTCGTTGGATTCATTGCAGCTGTCTGTACGCTGGGCGAAACAATCATGCTGGAAACATGTGTAAGCGCCAAGTATCATAATAAAATAGGTCTGCATAGCAAATATCCTGTTCTATAGTAGGCTGTAGTGTTACACGCTTTTTATTCTATTTTTCATGTTTCATAGTTTTTTGGCGTTTTCTTTTTTGCAAAATTTTCATGACCTCTTCGGAATAGTCATGCAAAGCATCATCAATGCGTTTCCATAATCTCTTTTCGGCTCGGGCAATCTCAGGGTCATTCGATTGACCACGTTCTCGAGAAGGGAGAGCAACCACTGGTGGCGAGTTCCTTTCTTCGACCTGTAATTGATTTTCTTGAGAAGCGTGTGTTTCCTCCTCTTGATTCTGTGGATCAACACGCGCCTCATTAGCTTTAGCTTCCTTCTTTTCTTGTGCTTCTGTCTCGGAACCCCCATCCAAGTCAACCGGCAAAGCATCAATGTCCCCCATATCCAGACTTGCGCTCATGTTGCACAACTCCATCTTGTCGTCTTCGTCTCCTTCTTCTTGCTGTTGTTGATGATCTGACTCCTTGTCATGTTCTTCAACGGGGGCCTCCGCTCTTGAACTTTCTTCTTGAGCTTGTAGATCCAACTGAGGCGATTCGACTTGCAGCACCTTCGATTCACTAGTGTCAGACAAAGGCGAGACGGGCTCTTCCATTGCGATCTCTTCTCTCAACTTAGTCTCAGTCTTTAACTGTCGACTCGCGTCTGGATCTACAACTTCAGTAGAGATCATCGCCTCCTCTTGTTCTTCCATGACGACTTCTTCTTCGTCTTGATTTTCAATCAGCTTCTCCTTCCAAGCCTCGGCCTGTGCCGCTCTATTACCAGCACCATTTTCGATAAAGGCCATGTATCGGTCCTTGTATTCGGCCGGTGGGACTTTGTTACTGGTTTCCAACGAATAATAGCGGTACTTGCCAGATCGAGTCCCCTTCTCGACCCGGCATCCAGTAGCATCCTCGAGCATTTTCGTGTCGTGAATCTTGCGCTTGTCCATGTCTTGAATGACCGGTGCAATCTTGCGCAAAATGGAACGGCGAAGGTTTCGAATCGGCTTGTCATTGTCGCTTATAGGAGAAGCAGGACGATTGACGTTATTGTGCAGAGGATAGCCAGTAGATTCGAGAATGGTTCGTGCTTGATCCGAAATGTCGCGGTCTTCCACAGGCAAATCACAATATCCCCGCACCAGGGCTTGCAAATTCTTCATGTCTTGTAAAGATCCTTCAAATTTCTTCTTCATTGTGGCGGAAGATGGAGGGGAAACCTTTGGCAACACCGCTTGAGCAGTGTCCAACGGCTGGGGAGGAATTATAAGCTCGGATGGAATTATCATGCTTTGGCGCTTCTTACGACGACGAGAGCCATTTCTGGAACTGGAGATGCGTCGATGGACAGTGCCATCATTGTCCTCATTCTCGTCGTCATCGAAACAAATGGAAGTCTTGGCAGAGGTGGGTGGTTGATGATGATGATGATTCACCATCTCTTGTGCGTCGGCTTCAGAAGACTCAGGTTGACCTTCTTCCAAACGATGTGGCACCAAAGGTGGAATCACAGGATTTTGCTGTACAACGATAGGTGACGGAACATGACACAAACTCTTGCGGGCTTTGCGCTTCTTCTCGCCATCATCTCGCTTGGAACTTTTGTTGGCACTGGGATTGTTGGTCACATCTTCCAATGATCGCAAATTGACTGGAATACTCAATCGGCGCTTTCTTGGTTGCGGTGTTGGAGGATCCGGGATGGTGCGAACGTCCAAACAGTCGTCAACGTTGAATCCATCCAAGAAATGGGTGCTCCGGCAGGAAGATGGTCCACGAGGGATTCCACTTTTTTCAACATGGTCGACATGGATGGAAAGGGAAACTGCATTGGGTGCACGCGGTGGCCGTGAAAGGACCAATGGACTACTTGGAGGTGCCATTTGGTAGTTGATAAGGATAGAAGCAGAAGTTAGAGCGTGTGATTTGCCTTCTTTCCTATACAAAGAAGTGATTTAGAATCTCAACGAATCCAAATGTCAACCAGTTTTCGAAACTGTTCGGGTCCCTCCCAGAAAATTTTCGATGCACCGTGCATTGATTGAAACGCACTGAGAAATAGCGCGTTGGATCAGTCGTTGGAGTTGGTACTCTCTCTACGCAACGTACATAACGCCCAACGGTACATGGAATTCAAATTTTGGAACTGCCAATGATGATTCGTTGGACTACTGCGGTCTGCGAGTCGACGGAACTTCCAAAACCACAAAATCACGAGACTTCATTCTTTCGTTTTCCAAATTTTCAATCGAGACCGACGACGACATGAGCAACGAGGCAAAAAATGGTGGCGATTCCAAAAGCAACACGGCTGTTCAACTAGGCTTCTCCGTTCCCTTTGATGACGATGAACATCGCAGTCTAATCTCCCATAAGTCTCCACAGTGGCAAGAATGGGACGGGGGTCAAATTGGTGGTCGTCCTTCCTGGCTGCAGCCCAAAGATATTCCACGTTCAGGCATGACATGTGAAGGTTGTTCCGAGCCTCTGGTCTTTGTGTGTCAACTTTATGCCCCCGCGGATGAAGTGACTCCCGAGGCTTTTCACCGATCCTTGTACCTCTTTGCATGCGCTTCCAAGGAATGTGCCAAGACTTGCGAAGGAACCGTCAAGGTGCTACGAACGCAATTGCCCGAAGAGAATCCATATTATCCATCGCAACCGGAAGAAGAAGTGAATTGGACGAAACACGCTCCTACTGCTTGGGATGTCAATCTTTGTGCCGTGTGCGGACAACGTGGAAAGGGATTCTGCTCGCTTCAGCAAAAACACTTTTGTAGCAAGCAACATCAAATTGAGTGCAAAAAATGCAACCCCCAATCTACAGACAATAACAAAGCCTTCTTCCCGTCGGTCTACACCGAATCGGAGCTGGTAGTAGAGGAAGAACCATCCACTAACGAAAGCAAAAAGTCTTTGGAATCCAAGGGTATCTTTACAAATGATGGCAACGACGAAGATGCCGATTTGGAACAAGAGGATCTCAATGCAATTACCGGTGCCATTACCTCGGAGGCTTCCAAAGACCCCACCACGAATGAATTTTATGCCCGTACCAAAGTGGTTCCCAATATTCAGGATCAGTGCCTGCGGTACATGAGGTGGCCTTCGGAAGAATCAGCCACCCTTGCCAGTATGCCTCTATGGATTAGGAGTGATCACCAACCTCCCAAGGACATTCCTCCTTGCAGTTACTGTGGTGAAGACCGTAAATTTGAATGCCAAATCATGCCCCAAATGATTCATTACTTGATGAAGGATCATGCCAAGCAATCTCTCGAAAAAGGTCATGAAAAAAACGAACAAGCAAAGGAGGCCATTGCCCAAGCCAGTAGCATTTTGGAACAGGCTCCAGCGGAACAAGTTCCTCCGGAATTGGCGGAATCCAACGAAAAGGCGGTGGAAGCAATGCGATCTAAGCTAATGGATGACAATGATGGTTTGAATTGGGGTGTGATCTCCGTGTACACATGTACGGCAAGTTGTGGTGGTGGTTTGACTGTGGAAGAAGGACAAGAGTTGGGAGCCTATCGGGAAGAATATGCATGGAAGCAACCATCATTGGACTAGGACGAATTCAGTGGAATTGTAGTTCGACCAAAGGCTGGATCAGTAGAGGTATTTTGAGCTCGCCGACAACCTCTATCTACCTGGGGATCATTTACGCGGCTCCGATTATTGGAAAGGCAACAGCAATATCTATTCTGGGTTTAAAAAGGAATGGACTATTATATACATAGCCCATTGATTGATTCCAGCTACACAGACATCAGAGCGTAGTCAGTCTCTTGGCTAGCGATCATGACAAGTTGATCTCCGAAGGTATCTTGGAGCTCCTCCCATTCCTCTTCAGAAATGCGATGATCGTCGGTAAACAAGACAGAAAGCGAATCCTGTCATAGTTTTGAAAAAAGCAACTCGTTGAATGAGAAAGTATGAACAACAAACTGATAATCTCCTTTCTCATTTCGTTTCTTACCAATGCAGCTTGTTGGCACATTTGTAGCTCCAAGCGCTTTTTGGCATCATTGGTTTTTTCCAATTGAGACGCCCATTTCTTCCAGTTGCCCATGGCCAAAGGCAACAAGAATGAATTGATGGCGTTGGGACCGAAGAGCGTGATTGCAGTAAATCCACCATAGATAGTTGGAAGTGCTTTTCCTGGTCCAATAGCCTTACAGAGTGCCTTTAGAACTCGTGCTTCGAGCATGGCATAATCATCCCCAAAGCTGCAATGCCGACGGTGTTAATGATATCTGAAATGGTCAACAATTGAAAATAAAATATTGAATTGTACTCACGCATGACACACTTGTACCAAAGTTGAGGCTGCCTCCCTTCGTAGCGTCCAGTGATTACCCCCCTCCCGTGACGATAAGCGCTCTGCAACCACGCATGTCAAAAGCGCTGGAATAAGTTGATGTAACTAGTAGAGGAAAAAACGAGACAAAGTGTAAGCACAAAGCCAATCCATTGGTAGCACTAAAAATCCCCTTTTTCCTTACATGAAGTTCCAAATGTAAGTATGGATTCTGTAACAGTGATCTTGCCATCCGAATCAATGTCCTGCAATGCTCCGGGTTTCCAAGATGCTTGGAGAGGGACTGAGAAACATACAACACCAAAAATGGAACCAACTCTTGCAGTCCGGGATCCCGGGCAATTCCTGCCAGGGCAGCATCTTGCTGCTGTCGTGTGATTGGTGTGGCCCCACCTCGTTCCACAGCCGATGTGACTCGAGTAAAGTACAGTCTCAATTCTTCACTCAACAAACGAGGAAGCAATTGTGTTACGTGAATACCACCTTCGGCAGCTTCATCAGTGACCGCTGGTGCTGCTGTTGAGCGTGAAGCCATCTCCTTAACCTCCCTCGACTGACTTCCCGGATTTTGAGGAATATCCGGTTGTACCCCGTCGACTGCCAACCAATGCACCGTCAATCCAACTTCTTGTGGCGGACGTAAATCCATTTCGGATTTCAAATAATCTTCCAAATTCACCTTATTGCTTTCCGAACTCTCTTTTCCTATCGTTCCAGTACCATATATTTTCTCACTACCTCTCCACTGCAACGCCATGTTAACATCGTCCGCGTGCAGACGTCTCCGGATAATCCCCGACTGTTCGCTGTCACCATGAGCATGCATCCGAGCACGTTTGCAGTGTCGTTGGACACAAGTGGCTTCCCGCACCAAGGAGCTAACGTGCTCTTGTACCAAGGTGACCAGAGTGCTACGTGCGCTTGCCTGAATACTGGGTACCGAAACAACCATGCTTGTGACACTTCTTGATCTTGACCTTTGATGATTACGATGAGATGATTTGCCAAACTGTACAATATGCTGGGCGATGCAGAACGGGGGTCAAATGAAACGAAATGAAATAAAAGGGAATGTTTTAAAATTCCCCCGAATAAATACAACAGTTGGTGATGGCAGAGCAGACGGCCAAAATCAAAAAGTCAATACTCCTTACTCATTACTTGTGGTCTGTCTGCAACCGAAAATGAGATTCAGCAAATCTGAGTGCATGTACTTGCTACTGCTTTGTCATCTCTTTTGAAGTGAGTCTATGAGATATCGGAAACTTGTTTGGGACTAATCGGGCGATAGGAAGGATATAGCAGTAGTCGGGATGTGTTGTGTTGTAGTTTTGGTTTTGGTTTTGGAAGGATCGTAGATTTTGTTTTGGAGATTTCCTTTCCGCGTCCTCATGCAACAAATTCTCTTTGAACCATCATCTGACACCCGACTTTTTTCTTTTCAACAGGAACTCATAATAGACAATGGTTAACGTACCCAAGGAACGCAGAACCTACTGCGCTGGGAAGTGCAACAAGCACGCCATGCACAAGGTCACTCAGTACAAGGCTGGTAAGGCTTCCAACTTTGCACAGGGAAAGAGACGTTACGACTCTAAACAAATGGGATTCGGTGGACAAACCAAGCCCGTCTTTCACAAGAAGGCGAAGACTACCCGTAAGGTTGTTCTTCGATTGGAATGTAAGAAATGTAAGACCAAGAAGCAATTGTGCATCAAGAGAACCAAGCATTTCGAACTTGGACAAAAGGCAGCAGCATCTGGTCACCAATATTAAACAATAAAGCAATCAGCAAATACCTTTTTCGAGATCCACCATTGGATTTTTGTTTGTTTGGATGTTTTTGTGTTCTCGCGATTTTGATGGGATGTGTGATTGGCAGTTTTGAAATCAGACTGGAATTTGAGTTTTCGACATCAGTAGAACAAGTACAGTAGTAGATCTAGAGGCATCGTTTATTTGTATGTGAAGTCATTGGACCATGACACGGCGGCGTTCACGATGCCTGCTGCCAGTATGTGTCCCTTTGATGTGTCGAATTGTGCTCTGGTCCACGCTGAAACAATGGGAAAATGAGGAGACATGTTGCAATCAAAGTTACTTTATTGATCTATGAATAGTTAGACTCTGACCCATTGAGAACTATGCAAATCGACCGTTGGGATAGACTAATGATTTCCTCATCATCTACAAGTGTGCTTGTTCTTGGTGCATCCTTTTCAGTGTGCCGCAATGGTACAACTAAAATCAAAGTGGTCCCCCGTTTTGGGACCACAAGCATATCCACATTCTGATCCCCACCCACTTCTTCCTTTTCTGTGTTTGATACACCTTTTTTCTTTTGTTTTCTCTGCGACTGCAATGTTGCCACCGCCCATGTCTTCTTCCGTTCGCTCACTACCACCCCATAACAGCTTGTTAAACCCTTTCGTTGGGAGCAGGATCCAATGCGAACATGAGCCCCAACAAGTTCTACGTCCTCTCGCAGGGCTGCAAATCTTGACATGATGGCCGATGTGTCATTTGCACTATTATTCAATTGGAGTGCCGAACGGATGTATTCGTTCCACCTTGCATTCAACTCTCGCAGAAATTCGATTGACCCAATTCTGGAAGGCATTGACGGAATTGCAATTGTTTGGCGCTTCACAATCTCCTCAATATCGTTCCAGCTTATTTCTTTCCGCTTTCGCTTTCGATTCTTGGTGGATGCACCGGTCGTCGTTGATGTCATGGAAGCCGTCACTTGACCGCCAACAATGGCAACGGCACGTTGCCTAATCTTAGACTGGACATCTGACAATGATGTTGGTCTACTACCATTGTTCTTTGGATCATTTGGCATAGCTTCTTCTCGATGATAATCCTGGCTGATGCCCTGGAGAAATGAAACCAACGAGGATTCCTGTATTGCTTTGGGAGTTGATGTCTGATTGATCATGTAAGCCGATGGCACAACATCTGTTTGCTCGTAGGCAACCAATGGTGCATAAAGATTATTGCGCGATAGCATGGTATCAAACTCGCTAAACTTTTTCCGATGCGGAAGATGATACAGTCAACTTCGGATGTTTGACAGAGTGGCAAAAAAAGGGCCAGACAAATTTG